AAACATGCGACAAACTGCGGAAAGCAGATGTGGACCTCTGGAGGATGCAAAGGGTAAGGGAGTCAACCTCCGAAATGCTGAAGGTATTGGATACCCTCATTGAGGCCTTTGAGGACTCAAGTAACATGTAAATATTGATCAATGTCTGATAGTAGACACATTGCAGTACTACTCAGTAGGTAGTCCTTGGTACTTGTATACTCTACCTACCCAGTACTCGCTGCCAGGTTTTCTGTGCTCGGTACTTGGGGCTCGGTAGTTGGGGCTCGGTACTTGGGGCTCAGTAGTTGGGGCTCGGCAGTTGGGGCTCGGTAGTCGGTGCTTGGTACTCGGGGCTTGGAACTCGGGCCTCGGAACTTGGGCCTCGGAACTTGGGCCTCGGAACTCGGGCCTCGGGGCTCGGTACTCGGTGTTCGGTACTCGGGCCTTGGTACTCGGTGACCGGCGTTCGGGCTTCGGTATTCAGGGTTCGGTACTCAGGCCTTGGTACTCGAGATTTGGCATTTGGCAATTACAATTTGATTGTTAGTACTTTGACATATACATAATAGCACTTATGACATTACACATGAGGGCAGGAAGATATATGTACATTAAGTGTGTCCCTGTGCTCTGGTTACTCTAGGTGTACTGTCTACTGGCATTTGCAACTTACTCCGGGTTGTCCTCGTGGATGGTTCAACAGTGACTCGAGTGCCCCTCCTCCTTTTCTGTGCCGGCGGTGTGATACTCTCTTCCATTTCGACATCATCTCTAACCTCGCCCGTCGTGTTGTCAGTTAACCCAGCGAGGAGGTCTCCCAATTGTGATGTCAGTAATGCACCTTTTTTGGCCGGCTTGGCCGGGCGAGGCTTTGGAATTGAACGTGGGACTGCCGGCCCTCTGGGTGTAGGACCTCCCATCCTGGGCTTCTTCAGCGGAGGTCTCCCGTCAGCCAGGTCATCATCCACATTATGCTCCGTATGATGAGTGGCACTCTCCTTATCACTCTTGGCTTCTGTCAATGACTCCCGAGGCCTTCGGATGGTAACCCTCTGTTGCCTTCTCACTATATGAGTCTGAGGAGAGGGCGAGTTGCCAGATATGACAGATGGTACCATGTCCCCATCTTTGTTCTTCCATGCTTTGAACAGAAATGTGGGCCCTTCGCCTGTTTCTTGCTGAGCGAGCCAAAACTGGAGCAAGGTAGTGGTGTCCCAAATTTGCAGCTTCGAAGGTTCCTTCAAGTCAACATCCACCGGAAGATATGTCCGGGCCACGAAGTCATCCTGACTTTGTACAATGGCACTCCATGGCACAACCGCCTTGTCCTTCCCAGAGCATATCCCTTTGTCCATGCATTGAACAATTTGTCAGGTGATGCGACGACAAACTCACGATAGTGCAATGTAAGAAAGGCCCTCACTATGGCCTTCTTATCCTCAAGGCTGGTTTTCGAATTCGTTTTCGACCTCCCTTGACCTGACGTCCTCCATCCCGTGCCCCGGCACCTATCATTGTGATGCTCAATATGTTCAATCTGGTATACATGGTTCACACACTCACCGAACTGTTCCTGCGCGTACTCCTGCCACACTGGCTCAATGTCCTCCCAGTCCTTCATCTTCATGAAGCTGTCCCCATCTCCTAAGGCCTCATTATCATCATGCCTGCATGAATATTTTGAGACGAAAATCTCCGTCAATGGATAAATGTACTCACATCCCGAACAGCACCTCGCCCTTTTCATTCTTCCAAGCCGACATCACAAACACTCTCATCCCACATTGCCTCCACATCTCGTTTCGAAAAGTGCTCCATATATGCTGGACCCTTCTTACGAGCGACTTGTGCTTGTATCTCCAGAGGCGGACAGTTGTTGGACCACTCTTCGGCTGTTTCTTTAGCCTTCTCCAACTCGTCGTCGTCCAATTCAGCCATGATTCTCTTCACCACCACCTGATAATGTTTGAACATACCAGGATCTCCTGGCTTTACCCCGGACTCGTCCTCAATCCTCTTCAGCACCTCTTCGCGTTTTTGCTGGTAGACCACCATCCTGGGCATCCATTTCCTCCCATACTTGATCATGTCCTTCCTTTCCTTCTTTTTCTTGTTGTTGAACAACCAAGTCTTGTGCACCTAAGAGTTGATGAAAGAATGTGACAGTTAAAAATTTAGTTTTTCAACACAACAAAGAAGCCTCACCTGCTTCCTCTTTTTCCATTGTTTTTGGTCCAACTTTGAAGCAAACAACCTGGCCGCCCTTGCTATGGCAGTGAAAATCGCTCGCTTCTCACTCCTTTTGGCAGCAGTCCACTCAGGAAGGTAGTTCTTCAACTCCAAAATCTCCTTGTCCGTGAGCTTCTGAGACTGTGGTTGACTGCATCCTGTGTCTTCCGGAAGTCGTGTTGGTGGAATGACCTGTTCTTGCCATAGTGAATCAGAATGCAGAAATGGCTAAGGATTTGCAAGGTGAAAGTATTAATGAATTGTGCGAAGTTGAACTTTGAGCAAAGCCTAATGATAGGTTAATCGGCCCATATTGGACCCTGAGCCATTAATGGAAATGAATTTGTAATGAAGCCAACAGGACTGCACCACATCATATTGCAATAACAATTCATTACACCTGAGCTGATGCCTTGCTTGCAACATTAATAAACAAGATGAAGATAGGTAGATGCACCCCAGTGCAAAAATCTCACAGGGTGGAAGCAAGGGGCAGCAAAGGTAGGAAGACTTGGGTCAAGGTCCCACTTGCAAGCACGAGGCGACATGCCTACAGGTCCATGCCTAACTCTCCCCCGGAATCATCAACAATTCAGCCTGTTGAGGCACCACCTCCTTGGGAAGACTTTCCTGACAATACTTACGAGCAGGACCAAGGCTCATTTGAGCCTTTGCAACTCCCAAAAACCATGGCAAGTTCATGTACAATGTTGGAGTGTCATTCAAACTATGGCTAAGCATTCAAAATACAGAGTCAAAATGACTACCTCAGGCAATGGCTGCCAAGGCAGGAATCATATCTACATCACCTCCTCGATCGAGAAGCTCCATCCGAAGACAGGAGATGCATCATCTGCCAACAGGATGGGGTGTACAAATGTCAAGATTGTCTTGGCGAGCCACTTTATTGCACGGGCTGTTGCAGGAGTCAACATCGTCGCAATCCTTTCCACTGGATCAGTCAATGGAATGGGCGATTCTTCGAGCGGAGTTGTCTAGCTCATGTGGGACTCATTATATACCTTGGCCATGATGGCAAACAATGTCCGGCGGTCACCTGATCGGTGGAATTTGTTTGAAGAAGATGAACCCGAAGACTTGCTCGAGCCTGAAGATCTGCCATTTGTGTCCGGACCCGAGTTCCAGCCAAAGGAAAACACCATGGTCATCGTGGACAAGTCCAGAGTTCATCACCTGGAGGTTCAATGCTGTGAATGTCCAAATGCCATGAGTCCGGACATTCAAATGTTTCGACATGGATTTTTCCCTGCATCTTTTAACAGGCCAAAGACTGTGTTCACCTTCAGAGTGCTCAATGATTTTCTACTGGACAGCCTTGAATGCGGCACCTCGGCAATGAACTATTACAGCAAGCTCCGGCGAATGACCTCCAGCATGTTTCCACACCTTGTTCCGGTAATGCCTTACCCTCATGATCTACTGGACATCATATTGACAAAGCACATTGCAAGGACCGATACAGAGAGCTCATGAGGGTTGCTCGACAGTGGAGGCAGTTGAAGACAATGAAATGGCATGGCTTTGGCCATCGTTCTGATAACCCAAGCACAGGAGAACTTGCATTATTTTGCCCAGCATGTCCTCAGCCTGGGATTAATGTGCTGTTGTCAGAGGATGAATCTCTTGATGAGTGAGTCCTATTCTCAACCTATGTGGCCTCCATAATAATACTAGGGATCCAAGCTGGAAATACACCCAGTCATTTGTGATGGACGGAAATTTCAAAGCCGAACTTCTGCATCCCATTAAGCCATTCGATGAAGTTTGGCTGTCCGATAGGGCTTGGATTCATGGTAGGAAAGGACAGGTATAAAATGCATCTGGCAGAGGCTGCTGACACAGTGGAAAAATCAAGCTGCAACAATCACCAGGCAGTAAATCAAGCTAATGCTGCTCGGCACAAGCTGGAGTCCACCGGTATCGGGGGAGTTGCCTGTGCCAGACACAGTTGCTTTGTCCCTCACTCCATGGTGGATTTTCAGAAAGGCGAAAGGCAAGCCACATCCACCATTCCCCATTCACAAGTTAACCATGGGTCACTTGCAGACAAATGAACATGGACTATGCCCTTTGCAAGGCTTCCTGGCACAACATGGAAGGCATCACCAGGGCTGTCACCTTCTATGATATTAATTGTCAATACAACAAACACTTTCAGGTTCGGGTGGATCGAAGTCGATTTCTAGAAATGGCACCACAACTAACCATCATTCCCGGAATTGGGTTATGGCACGTTCATGGCCATCAGGACAGCTGCTATGTCCGATATGCTTCTAACTTTATTGAAGGCATTGGTCGGATCGATGGAGAGATCATGGAGATGCTATGGGCATGGCTCAATTTGATATCCCCTGCTGCTCGGGGAATGTCATCTCCCCACCGAAAGGAATGCCTTGATTATCAGATGAATGACTCCAATTTCTGCAAGATGATTTGCATGAAAAGGACTCTATGCCGGAAATACAAACTGGCTAGGAATGGTATCTTAGAAAGTGGAAAGGCATTCGACAGACTCGATGAAGCAGCACCCTTACATTTGAAGACAGAATGGTTAGCCAGGGAGAGGATAGCTCAGTCAAGCAGATTGAATGAACCTTCAGCCATGGATGAATATGAGATCAATATCAAAAAGGGTACATTGAGTTCCATTGTCTCCGTCGAGGTCTGAATTAATATTGCACTCAGCACCTAGCAAAAAGGAGATCGAGCTTAGATTGTTAAAGGAGGGTAACGCCCGCAATGCAGCACCCTCTCGCAGATCTGTGGCGACATGGATATCAACAGGGTTAGCAATTGAAGAGGCTCAGATTGCATTGCTCATCGAGGTCCGAAGGATCGGAAGAAGATCCACCGAGACACAGAGATTAGACATCGCCCATCAAAGAGATTGGCTCCAAGGCCAGATAGATGGATTTGCTCGGTCTGCTCTAACACATCTCGGGGAGGGATTTGATGCAGATGATGAACCTAAAGACTTGGACGTAGACATTCTAGATGATCTCGATGATGACCCGGCGGATTTCACAGAGACATCTCACACATGGACAAACTCTCCCGAGCTAACTGTAATCCCATTGCCATCAAACCTGGGGGTTGATAGATGCAGACAATGCATGGCAAAGGATCTGATTCCCCTGGAGATGTCGCTTCGTGAAGGGCAGGCCAATGATGCCCTTCACAATCTCCGCATTTACCTTTGCAACAAGGCCATCCTGTTCCGAACAATCGTTAGGCAGGCCAATTCCCAGGCCCTGAAAACTCGAGCTTGGTCCCAGGTGACGTCGGTGCAGCAGGCAGTCTCCCTCCATGCCAGCATATATACAAAGACAAGGAAGCAAATGATGAAACTTGAGCCGGGGCAAGACCAGCTTCAGAAATACAAACCCCTGCTTCGCGAGCAACTCAAAATCAGCACTGCAGTGGGTGACCCAAATGCCCGAGGTCAATGAAATGAATCTTTGGCTTGGTTTTGGTCTGTTGAAGTCGACCTTGGGGGTCCTGATCAATCATGGAATGAAGAATGTGAGTTCCCGCTTGCATGTCATATCCCGTGGTTACCTGACTGGACCCATGCCAAGTTTACCAAGTCCATTGGCTGAGGGCAAAGGCACTACGAGATCAATGGAGGGAAGAAATGCTATTGGTCACATTGGAGATGGATTGGACATGTAAGTTCTTTTTGTGGAAAACAACCATATGGGGCGAGCACATGCAGGAATCATTGGAGAAACGACTTCCGGGTCACGGATGCTACGCCGGAAGGCAATCCCACATGTATTCATTGCTGGCACAGGATGCACAGGCAGCTTTTCAAGACCTACAAAATGTGTTGATAGAGGCTGGAGATGAATGAACATTGTTTTCTCATGAAGTCCCTTTTTCCACATACATAATTGATGCCCGGGAATTGTCCGGGTCAGCCCATGTCGGAGTTTGAATTTCGTATCCATCCATAAGTGATTCTTATCTTCACATCTTGACCATCTTTCACTTGTATTGCCAGCGCCATAGTCCTGTATTAGCCATGTCTGCATCTCATGCATCCACTTCTGGCACTCTGAATCCCGGAAGCCATTACCGACCTCTGAAGCTGAGCCTTGCAACTATTTCCTGCACATTGGCAATGGCTGGATCGCACGTCCATGCAATCATCTCTCAATATCGGACGGAAGCTGCCAACAATGGTCTATCTGCTGACTGGATCAAGTATTTTAAAGCCGGGCTGCAATGGGAGATGAATGTATGTTACCACTGCCCTGATGACTTTGTTGGTCAATGCTAAGAATTTGAGCAGACATTTGTCACACCACTCCTGCAGTACTCCGCTTCACAGAATATTGTGTCGGTTCTTCCGGTCCCTGTCGCTTATATCCTTAAGTTGTATCCCATGCTGACCTGGAACACGGTTCCGGACGACGTCTTTTCATTTCATGATGAGCCAATTGCAGGACATCCATCCCAGATTGTGTTCGCATATACATGTCCATGGTGGAGGGGAAACAACTGGATCCTTGATCAACCATGGCAGTGGGATGAAATAATGGCTTCCTGCATCTCTCACTACCAGTATTGGGCGGTAAGATGTCAGCTGAATTACCTTGATTGATGACTTATCTGTTTCAGCTTAATGTTGAGGATGATGCTTTGGTACTTCCAGAGAAGTTGAAAAACACTTCAACTCCACCACTCATGGGACTGAGATTCATCAAAGAACGCATGGAAGCATTGCTGAAGGAGCAAGATCATGGCATCGAAGCTAAGATGGGAGAGGTGAAGATGTACACTGACATGTTAGAGAAATTGAGGAAAGGCAAAGGAGTGTAGTCCCATTCACTCTTCATTGTATACAAGATGTAACATATTCTATGCATTCGAAAATCTCACATTCGAGTCCCGGACGCCCAGGTCCCGAGTCCCGAATTTCAGAGGTCAGGGCTCGGAGACCCGGAGCTCGGCAACTGTGTTGGGTGTCAGGGTATCCAGACCATTGGAGATAGCATGTGTCAGTATTTTGCGTTTCATGGTTTATGTTGGGTGAATATGGAATCGGGGATCAGGGACTCGGTATTCAGAACAGTGTCAAGTCCCAGGTCACGAGCTCCGAGTCCCAAGTGCCGAACCCCGAGTCCCGAGTCCCGAATTTCAGAGGTCGGAGTTCGGCGACCCAGAGCTCGGCAACTGCTGGGTGTGGGTTTTGGGACTCGGGACTCGGAGCTCATGACCTGGGACTCAACACTGTTCTGAATACCGAGTCCCTGACACCTGATTCCATAATCACGAAACATAAACCATGAAACTTAAAATACTGACAAATGCTATCTCCAATGCTCCAAGTACCCTGACACCCAACACAGTTGCCGAGCTCTGGGTCGCCGAACCCCGACCTCCGAAATTCGGGACTCGGGACTCGGGGTTCGGCACTTGGGACTCGGAGCTCGTGACCTGGGACTTGACACTGTTCTGAATACCGAGTCCCTGATCCCCGATTCCATATTCACCCAACATAAACCATGAAACGCAAAATACTGACACATGCTATCTCCAATGGTCTGGATACCCTGACACCCAACACAGTTGCCGAGCTCCGGGTCTCCGAGCCCCGACCTCCAAAATTCAGGACTCAGGACCTGGGCATCCGGAACTCGTCGAGCGTATTTATACATCTTCCCCCAGTCTCAAATATCACGTACTGAGGTCCAGGTGTCGGGACTAAGTACCCCAGCACTCAGGACTCCCATATGTCAAGTCCCGAGTTCCAATTATCGAATACCGAGGCTTGCATCCAAATTATTTAGTCCCACATATCACTTGGGAAATGCTCAAAATTGAGTATTGAGGTCCGGATCACAATTGGTACATGGTATTCATTTGTTGGAATGTATATAGGTCACAATGCTTGCTCTTTGTTTGATCTTTCACACGCTGTATGGACCATCCACACTAGCCCATCCACATGATGGAACACCAGCATAAATATGAACAGCATCCCTCATATACCATGCCCAAGCAATCTGATCCCCTTCCACATCATACACTCCATGTCTCACAATCTTTCCGGAAAACGCAATCATACAGCCGGAATTGTACTTGAACTCCAGCTGAAGGTTTGGCATTGTCATCCGAGCATTAGAATAGTCCCCCATGGTGGTGAGAATGTCAAAGCATTCAGCAATGGACATGTGGTCTCGATGATGGGGGGTTTCCCGATTGGAAATGATGGAGAGGGTGTTAAACACGGATGCCCAGTACTGCAGGGCCTCCGGCATCTGTGGCAGATCATTGCTTACTGCTATATTTCCAAGGTTTGACAAGGTTCTCAACCCTGCCCAGTACTGCTCAGGATGCATGACTCTGAGTGCCGCAGACGCAATGGCTGCTGGCCTTGCAATGGCTTTGAGGATATTCTTGCAGGAAGGTCCCTTCAATGATGCAGATACCTCCGGATCGGACACATTCTTTGGGATTGGTAAGTATGACTGCCGGAATCACCATCTCATCAGATCCTACCTTGTGTCCCTGTTGAAACCATGCCGGAGATAGATTGATGCATCCGGGAGTTGCTCCAACATCTTCCAAGCCCCGGTTGAACAACCTTTGATTAGTTCGCCAATTGCCATCAGCCCTTACACTTTTTTCGAGGCTTGGAGAAAGCAAATAGGTGGCCTCCCTGATTTCCTTCTGTAGGTTCCATTAATATTCGATATCCATCGAGTAACAATGTATATTACACACCTGGGTGGTGTCTGTCAGGGCATCTGAGAGATACCATGCAATGATGGCACCGGATGCATCAAGAATTATTGCAGGTTCATCGACCAACCTTTTGCCTTCATGGCCAGGAGGACACCTCTCAAGCAACCTCACCTCTCTATGTTCATTATGCCTGGTGTCCTTCGGGGAGATCAATTTGCTATATCTTGCAATATCCATCTGCATCTGAACTGTCATGCAGGAATTTGAATGATAAATAGAATTTTCCGAATCTGCAGGAAGACCCACTGGGATTTTTAGATGCCTTTATGAGTACATCAGCCAAGTGATCGCACGCCATCACCAGATCAGTGTCTAGGTTGGGGGAAGGTATGACTGGGCCTCCTCCAGTCTTCTCTGCCTTGAATTTCTGTTCAGTATATTCCCCTGCTTCATAAGTCACAGTCAGGGCCCAAGTGCGCCAGATTTTTATGCTATCAGGAGGGGAAGGGGAAGAACCATTCATGCTGGATGTTAATCTTGGGAAATCAGACGCTGAATGCTGGATGTCCGGACTTTGGTGTTATAGGGGGTGGAGATAGAGAGGATCAGATAAGGGAGCCATGGATAATTTTGGCTGCTGTCAAAGATGTATTATTATCCATTGCTCAATGAAATACTACCTGATTGGAAGTGTGCTGGTCATCAGATATTCATTTGTCGACTCCCGGGTCCCGGTACTCGGAAGTCGGTACGGTTGACCCATATTTGGGTGGTCGGAATTTGGCGTCTCGTAGGGCAACACAAGCTTCGTACTGCCATATCAGGAGATCACCTGCTGCTCCAGGAACTCGGTAACTGTGATTTATTACCTCCTCTGAGTAAGGTTGACTCGCTGGTCATCAGATATTCATTTGTCAACTCCCAGGTCCTGGAACTTGGAGGTCGGTATGGTTGACCCATATTTGGGTGGTCGGAATTTGGAGTCTCGTAGGGCAACACAAGCTTCGCACAGCCATGTCAGGAGATCACCTGCTGCTCCGGGAACTCGGTAACTTTGATTTATTACCTCCTCTGAGTACGGTTGACTCACATTTTGGTGGTCGGAACTTGGCTTCTCGTAGGGCAACACAAGCTTCGCACCGCGGATTCCACATTCTGCAAGACAACCTAAGCACCATCAGAGGCCATGTCAAGAGAGCACCTGCTGCTCTCTTCAGAAACATCTCAACTTCGGTTGGCCATTTAACATGGAAAGTATTAACTAAATTATGTGTTGAGTTCCGGGTCCCGGAACTCGGTACAGTTGACTCCAATTCTGGTGGTCGGAACTTGGCTTCTCATAGGGCAACACAAGCTTCGCACCCCAGATTCCACATTCTGCAAGACAACCTGTGCACCATCAAAAAGTATTAACCAACTTATGTGGTGAGTTCCGGGTCCCGGAACTCGGAACTCGGTACAGTTGACTCAAATTCTGGTGGCTGGAACTTGGCATCTCATTGGGCAACACAAGCTTCGCACTGCCATGTCAGGAGATCACCTGATGCTCCGGGAACTTGGTAACTTTGATTTATTACCTCCTCTGATTTGGTTGATGTACAACTACCTCAGCTCCATCATGTCTACAATTATGATACACATGGGCCCACCCATCTATATTGTATACCACCCTCGGCCCACCGGTCTAATACAACATCCCATACAACACCCTCGGCCCACCGGTCTAATTAATATGCGTCTGGGCCCACCCGTATAATACAATATTTTATAATACCCTCGGCCCACCCGTCTAATTTAATATGTGTCTGGGCCCACCCGTGAATGTGATAACAAGTACCTACCCATCTATCTCATACACATCTACCTTAATACACCCATCTGCATAATATCCAGCTACCTCGGCCCACCCGTCTATCTAATATTCATTTACATCGGCCCACTCATCTACTCTATATATTCCCTGCATGGGCCCACCCACCTCCATCGGGAATAATTTGCCTCCCGGCCCATCCGTCATAGTCGAGAATATTTTTATCATGGGCCCATGATCCGCTGGCCCATATCATACGGGATATTATGCACGTCCGTTCCCTCGTATTATATGGAGATAGGTCACTGTAGTATGTGGCCCACGAACGGCGATACACCCTCCAACTCGCCGATTTCCAACACTGGCAACCAACCTCCAAGTACGTGTTTCTGTGGCATGCATGATTGTTAATTTATTTCCAATTAGGGTTCAACTTCGGGTTTGGGAATTCGCCCAGCCATCTTACGGCAGACTTTGCGCGTATGAGGCGTACCGTCCCCTGAACCTTCAATTTTGGGTTTCCGGTGCGAAAGCAAGTCATGGCAGATGCCCTTGAGCCGGAGGCGGCACATCACACAGCTGTGACACCACCACAACCTCAAAAATTCGACTTTGGGTTTACAGCGACCAAGCATGGCCATGCAGGCAGTGGACCTTACATCACCTTCCCCAGCTCCAACAAAATTTAACTTTGGCTGGACTCAATCCCATACCACAGAGCAGCCGGCAGTTCCGGCACGCCCAGCGGCAGTCGACTCAGAGCCTGCACCATCTTCCCCAGCTCCCATAACATTCAATTTTGGCTGGACTCGGTCCATTGCCACAGAGAAGCCGCCGGTCCAGGCATCTCAACCATTCAACTTTGGAATGAATGTGGAGAGTGAGATTCCACCCTCACTGCCCTTGCCGCAGGATGTCTGGCACAACCGCTGTAGCTTTTCCAACACTCCCGACAATGGAGTGCCAGTGTCGGTGATACCTCTCAAGAGAGCCATATCTCCACCACTGCCCTCAACTCCTCCTCAGGCACCGGTGGCCAAACATACAGCCAAGTTCAACTTCGGCTGGAAGGAGCCACCTTCAACAACAGCAGCTGTTGCTACCCATGTTGGGTTTGACCATAATAATAAATGTAAGTCGCTCATCTATATGCATTAGTTATTTGAAGATTAACCACCATTCTAGCATTCCAGTTCGGTTGTAAGGTCCCTCTGGCAAAGGTAGGGGAATGGACACTGGCGCCTATTACAGCCGCTGTGCCACAAGCTGCACTGGTGCCGATGGTAAGACTGGCGCCTAACATAGCCGCTGTGCCAGAGGCAGCATCGGCTCCTGAGCCAGACCCTTACATGCCCAAGGCCTTGCTGAACTGGGAGGGTGCTTTCCCCGCTGCCAAACAACGGAAACTCGATTCCACCAGTCAAGTGATCCGCCAAGGCACCATCAGAGGCCTTATCGGTGATGCTGAGAAGGCTGCCATTGACATTGTGAAATGGCTCAATGGGGATGAATGTAAGTCCCGCAACTGACATGAGTCTTCCAACTTTACTGACTTATTTACAGTTGATCGACTCGCCCAAACAATGCTGGGTAGCCTCATTAGGCCTGGCGATGATGTACGAGATCCCACGCCGGAAGATGTCTTGGACAGCAACCGCGCTGTATTATCGGTGTTCTGTGAGTCCAGAGATCGGTTGACTAGGATCTTCAAAGATCTTATCACCCTTCATCATGCATCTGAGCACCACATATGCCAGCTTTCGTTCATGGACTCTCTCGCAAATGAGGTTGAGACAGCAGAGAGGACCGCCGGTAATCCATAGTACATACATTATATCTTTCAATTAGTTGCGGCTATTTCTTTAGTACCACCAATGTTATGTTAATGGCCATACATTCACATTGCCGATGAGTTACACTGATGTGCACCGGCGGACAGTGCTTTTCATTCTATGCCGGCGTATCCTATGTACAGATGTAATATGACATAATGATTACTTCCTGCCCCGCTTAGCCCTTGAAGCTTCTGGCGCAGTGGTTTTACTCCTGGTTCGCTTTGCCAGCATGTCACTCACGGCGTTAGTGCCATGGCATTTCAAGTTCTTGGGAGGCTCATGTGATGTATATGCGACCTCCTTGCTCCCCTGTGACTTGAGAGGCTGTCTGGAGGGAATAGAACCTTTCATCAGAGGCTTCTGAACCCCACTGATCTCAGTGACAACTTCTTTGGTAGCCCGGCGTGACCCTGCAGCCCATGTCTTCTTGGTCGGCAAGGCGACCTTTGGGGGTGGCGAAATCTTGGGCTCTCCACTGGTGGATGGTGCTTCCTCATCTTCACTGGATGGACTAACACCATCCTCTCCGAGATCACTGTCCAACTTGTCCTCCGAATTGCTATTCTCCACGACACGGTGGCGGTTGGCTTTATGGTTGGCTTTGCCCTTACCCTTGCCTTTGCTCTGCTTTGTGGCATTGCCATGGTGAGCAGTGGGTGGACACATGTCTGCCTCTTGCATCTCACCATCGGAGTCTTTCCAGGCCTTGAATGAAAATGCCGGTTGCATGTTGTTTTTCTGGCGGTCAAACCAGAAATCTAGTATGGTGGTGGCATCTGCTTTATCCATCTTGGATGGCTCCTTGAGCTGCACGCTGGCTGGCCAGTGGGCACCGTCAAAGAATGCCCATGGGTCATGGATTACATCCCCCCATGGCACCGCCGCTTTCAGGTTTTCTTCACCGGAGCACATTCCTGTTAAGAATCAGAATGATGTACAATCTGACAGAGCAAAACAAAGTACTATAGAGCTTCGTCAAGAAAGACTGAATCATGTGCTGTTGTTCCGCTCATTTCCATCCTGTTGTGTCGGGCAGAATTGGCCACCCATTGGCGTCTTCGTCAAGTTCAACTAATTTCCTGGGGACTCGTCTCTTTGATTTGACCATCTGGGGTTCCCCGTCGTCCTCGCCATCTAAACATTCATTTGCCTCAGTATGCTCGCCGGTAAGACACTCACATGGCCTCACCAAATTGCTCCCCCGCATATTCCACCCATTCAGACATGATGATGCCTTCCCAATCCCTTGTCTTGATAAAGCTCTCTCCATCCACAAATTGTTCATTGAAGTTGTGGCTGCAGTGACTGTTGAATAAATTGCCGATTGATTGGCAATGACACTCACCCTCCCAACATAAGCTTGCCTTGGCTGTCTTTCCAAGCTGATAGGATGCAGACCCTTATTCCAGCTTTCTTGAACATTTCAGTGGCAAAATGCTCGATCATGTTGGCGCCCTTGCTCTCGGCGACCTCGGCCTGAATATCCGGCAGCGCCGCTTTGTTGTTCCACTTCTCCGCCATGGCCTCCACTTCCTCTCTCTCCTCTGCTGACAAACAATTAATGACTGTCTTTGCTGCCTTCGGCCACTTGGTAATCATCCCCTCGCTTCCAGCCATATCTCCTGTCTCCTGTCGAATCGAGGCTTTGTGTGTGTGAATCAAGACTTGCCTCGCCGTCCAATGACGGCCATACTTGATAAGGGGCTTTGCAGCTCCTCTCCGGCGAGACTGGTTCTGCAACCACTGCTTGTAAATCTTTGACAGACATGTTATCATGCTCCAGGATCTCCGATATGTTATAAACTGTTAAATACCTTTTGCCGAGCTTTCAACAGGGCCTTTTCCTTGGTGGGAGCTTGGAGGGATGCTTCCTTGTAGATGGCAAGCAGCACCCTTGAATGTTCTTTACCTTTCACAGACTTCCAGTCTTCTAGGTGGGCTCTGAGGACCAAGACTTCAGCCTTCTGCAAGCAAACCTTTTTTTGTGGAACCACAATAGGAGATTCACTTCTTGGCATGTTGTGTTATAAAGGATGGTGATGGTGAATCTTTCCAGACTCAACAACAGTTGGTTGACTGTCGTTGGTGTTCCATGGTTTTGTTCTGTTCTGCTCGGTTGATTCACCCTATATTACAGTTCATATCATGGATATATAGTGGATATGATTGCTGTGTTCTGCTCGGTTCAGCTTATATTATAATTCTTATTATGTACTTGTAACCAATGGTGATCAATCAATATGACCATATTGCATCGGTCAATTGAAACTTGTCATTCTTTCAGATTCTTATCCAGTACTGGGCTCAACAAATGGGAGGTTCTAGACTACAAGAGTGGACTCCAAAATGTAAGTATGCAGTGGTGGAATGGCAGAGAACATATAGGACGAGAAAGGTGGTCGGCAAATGGGTGGAGAGACCTATCATTAGTAGATCAGTTCCAGCAACCCCTACTAAGTCTTCCTCAAAGCAGGAATCTTATGGTATGCTTTATCATGGGGGAGATGACTTTTCAGGCAACCTTGGTGATCACATGGTGACTCCACTGCACCTGCCAAAGTCCTTGGTGAGCCATCCGCTGATATCACCTCTATTTCACCACTGATCTGTATTCAGAGTCAAAATGACTATATACGTCAATGGGTCCCAAAGACCAAAGCATATCTTGACATACTCCTTGAAAGAGAAGTTCCATCAGATAGGTCATGTATCATCTGTGGGACAGATGGTGTCTATAAATGCCATGGATGCTTTCGGTGAGCCTCTCTTTTGCACAAGTTGTTGCAGAACCCAGCACCAGAGGCTTCCCTTTCATCGGGTTAGTCAATGGACAGGCTTGTTCTTTGAGGAAAGTTGCTTGGTCAAGAGTGGGATGGTGATCTGGCTTGGACATGGAGGAAATGCATGTCCATGGGATGATGATGTAGGGGAGTCAGCTCTGTTCACCACAGAGGAAGGAGGTTCCAATGATACGGATGCCGAGAGCACATTGGAGGAACCAAATGCCGAGCAGAGCACAAAGGAGGCCCATGACCTACCGACCGGTGTGCCGTTCATTAAGAACAACAAGGCCATGACAACAATAGTTGACAAGTCCGGAGTACATACCCACATCGTCAAGTATTGCACATGCCCAGAGGCCGACACCGCAGATATACAGTTGTTTAACATGGGTTTGTTTCCGGTGTCATTCATAGAACCGAAGACAGCATTCACCTTTGATGTCTTGAATGACTTCTTACTCGACAACCTGGAGTGCAGGACTTCGGCGATGAATTATTACAGCAAGTTAAGGAGGATGACCACAAGCGTCTTTCCTCACTTGGTGCTGGTGAGCTTTGTGGTGCACCATCTGCCATTTCATTAATTGTGATAAAGGACCGTTACCAGGAGCTCATGAGGGTGGCAAGACAATGGCGGAAGTTGAAGCTCCTGAAGTGGAATGGCTTCAGCCATGAGGAAAAGGAAGTGAGACCAGGCGATCTAGCCCTCTTTTGTCCGGCATGTCCTCAGCCAGGAATTAATGTCACATTGCCCGCTGGAGGCACCGCCGAGGACATCAATGCTAACAATGGATCTGCTTGAGAGACTCCGAGTTGGTTATACACAAGATCACTTGTCATGGACGGAAACTTCAAAGCCAAGCATCTTCATGCCACAAATCCCATTGATGAAGTGTCTCTCATGGACGGTCATGGTTTCATGGTCGGTGATGCCTTGTACAAGGAGCATTTGGCCATTGCCAAGGATGCCATGCAACAACCACCGCGCGGTAAATTTGGCAAATACATCTCGTCACAGATTAGAGGCCACTGGCATCGGCGGATGTGCATGTGCGAGGCATGGTTGTTTTGTCCCACACACCATGGTAGATTTTCAGAAGGGAGAAAGGTGTGTACAATCACTCGGACCGTGTGCGTTATCGCCGACTGTCAACAGACAGATGAATATGGATTATGCGCTGTGCAAGGCACTGAAACTCAATGCCGAGGGCATCCGCCATATATTGACCTTCTATGATGTGAACTGTCAGTATCATAAGCACCTCCAGGACCGCATCGCCAACAGTCCATTGCTGAAGATGCATGACAAGCTGGAAATCACCCCTGGCATCGGACTATGGCATGTCCATGGCCATCAAGACAGCTGCTATGTCAGATATGCTTCCAATTTCATACAAGGCGCAGCCAGGATCAACGGCGAGATCATGGAGACCTTATGGGTGCCATTAAATATAATCTCACCGGCGGCCCGTGGCATGGGAACTCCTCACCGAAAAGAATGCCTGGATTACCAAATGAATGATTGCAACTTCATGAAAATGATCAGAATGAGTGGGTGTCTCATTTATTCTTTGCATGAATCTGATAGCAGAGACCGTACAGGCAAATCGCTTTGCCAAAATACAAGGAAGCTATGAAAGGGGTTGCCGACAGCAACATGGTATTTGAGAGGCTTGATGAGAGCGCCGATGCCGATAAAGTCAAAGATTGGGAGGCCCAAGAGAGGTTGGCACATGAACGGCGGCACCATGATCCAACAGCAATGGACATTTATGAAGTTCAGCTGTGCAAAGGTATGTAGACTTATCATACGGACAGTCAGTTCTGATTCTTGCACAGTGCCGACAAGAAAACAGCAAGAGTTAAGGTTGTTAACGGCGCAAGGCCGGTGGCCTGGCGAGGTGCGCCGGAGAGGTGCGGCAATGTGGCTGGCAGAGGGCCTTGCTATCGAGGAAGCCCAGGTCATGCTGCAGATGGATGTGAGAAAGCTTGGACATCGAGCAACAGATACTCAGTGATTGGCGATTGGTCACTGACGTGATACCCTGCAACGGGATATTGATCGCTGGACGGCGGCCAGAGCAATCATTCTCGGTGAGGAATTAGGCGACAATGACATGCAGATCATGCAGCCAGATCTGTTAATACTTCAAGAAGACGCTGAAGAAGCTATGGACACCGAGCTTAGAGCGTTTGAGCTGGAAAAGGCGGTAATTTCTTTGCCTTCCAATATGGGGCTAGAGAAATGTGCGGCCCTTGGTGTTGCTGATATCGCCGATCAGGAACTCATGCTCCGGCAAGGTCAGGCAAATGATGCCCTGCACCACATCAGGGTGCATTTGGCTGACAAGGCGGTCATTTTCCGGAAGACTGTCAGAGTAGCAAAATCACAAGCGTTGTCTACCAGAGCTTGGGCTCAAGTTCATTCAGTGGACAGGGCAGTCAGCATCAATGCAAGTATCTATTCAAAATGCCGATCGCAATTGTGCAGACTCGGCGCAGATGATGCACTGCTCAAGAGATACCAACCGTTGACAAGGGAGCATCTCAAGGTCAGCACTGCCGTCGCCGATCCAAATTCAAGAGGGCAGAGGAACAATGTGTTAGCTTGGTTTTGGTCATTGGACATGGAAGGGGACTCCGATAGCAGTGACTGGCTGAATGAGTGTGAGCAGGTCACCAATACTCCATGGAAGCGGCACTTATACCGCCGATGTTGCAGTTTACCGTGTTCACTGGCTTCGTGCCAAGGCTATGAGAGACCAATGGGCAGAAGAGTTGTTGCTTGTTCAGCATGAAATGGATTGGACATGTAACTTTTTGCTTCGGAAGGCCGACAAATGGATCCGTCTCGGTGCCATCTTGAAGCTAGCCCAGAAGCATGGACATGTGGCATACTCAGAGAGGCAGTGCAAAATCTATCAACATCTGTTTGGAGAGGCGAGAGATTCATTCAACTGGGTGATGGCTGCATGACCGCCGGTGTAACACACTAGTATAGTGAATGCCAAAGGTTGCTTGAATATATGCTCAATTAGTTTACTATCACTGAAGCACACAGGATGGCACTCATCAGCAGTGGCTGGGGATCATTGGCAATGGTAGCCAATCTACGTCCATGAACAGGACGGTCCGGCTTGTTGGTCAGGCTGGTGGTCTATCGCTGGAGCACACTGCCATTGTTTTGTGAGCCCGGCAATGTCGTTCGCAGGATTGTGCAACTTCGGCAATGATAAGAGGATTGACCGCCGTGCCCACAAATTGTTATAGATGAAATGAGACCAGTATGGCCATTGTTGAATTGCATGAGCCATTGAACCAGCATCCTGTCCAGACAGCCATCTTTGGAATCTATTCATATCTCAAAGGACCTATTACTACATAGAGGACATTATAGCTAACTACTCAGACCAGCCTTTATGCTGTGGCCTCTTTTTCAAATACTTTACTAGTTTGTCGGATGCCGTGATGGCTTGCAGTACATCATCCCCTAATGTCGTGTCCATTCTCAGCATAGTGGCTGCCACCATCTTCGCCTCTAGAACCTTGTCTTCCAACATCTTTAAAAGATATTCTCCTTCTTCCCTAGCCTCGGCGCAGATGGTGGCTAGCTGCTGAGCAATCAGCATCGACATTGCTTGAACCGGTGTCACCAGTGTGACTAAGGCGTCTCCCTCAAACTGCAACCGGCATTTGTTAGTTGTCATCCATGTGAAGTCAATCACTCACCAATTGCGCAAAATGCGCTGTGACACATTCCTTCACCTCAACGCCATTCGGGTATCTGGACAACTTTTCATCCAGCTTGATGGTCGCAAGACCCGTCCACCAAGCATGGCGATACTCCCGGACAAGGCGGCCCTTAGTCCATGGCCCGGATGGCGAAACCGGCAAACTGAGGAATGCCTCATACACCTCTGTGTAGTCTTTCAGCATGTCGAGCTGTTTCATTGAAAGCATGCCGACCATGTGACGGAGGTGCTTGGATAGTGGTGGGTTGATAGACAACCTAGCACAAAACGCCATCCAAGGGAGTGTGTAAGCCTGGGAGGTCAATTGACCTCTGTGCAAAATAGGACAAGTTGAAACTTACTTCTATGTCCCAATTCAGATATTCACCGATCACCCGGCTATCATCTGGCAATATTGTGAGCTTTGTTTTTTCTAGCTCAATGCGAATGGCGAGCAGGTGGGATCTGGCATGCTCGAAAATTTGTGTGAAATCCTTTAAGGTAAATTCCAAGTCTTGTTGGGAAGACATGGGTGGGAGAATGAATTTTGACTTCGAAATGTGTACGAAACAGGGTTTAAATAGATTAATGGGTCAGGATTTGAATTCTCACGGTGGGTATCTTTGATTGGTGCTTGGCCACATCCTTGGAGATCCACAAATTCATTGTGCAGCGTGCTACTAATGGTGAACGGTCACCAAACATTTGAGTGTAAACTGTGGTCTTTGTGGAGAAGGTCCTGTACAATTGATTGTACAGTACCTGTGGGCGGACAATGGGAAAATGACATAATCAGCCACCACTGTGGCCACATGAAATTTGTATATATTATGTTGTGTTCTGTTTGTCGCCGTTCCTCATCTAACTACTACCACCATGTCTCCATCAAACCGTGTAGCCGCCGCTAACCAATCTTTCCGTGATCTTTCTGACAAGATCGAACATATCCTTGGGCAAGCCTGCCAGTTGCAGCCAGGCTGATGCCACGCATCTCTCACTTGCCACCACGATGGGGCAGGCCATAGTAAGTCAGTTTCTCTTGTGATTTGTGGCGTGTCTGATTGCTCTTTAGACTGAAGTAGTTATGACCCACGGCTCTTGGGTGACAGTATTGTCACCTTTGATTTTGTCGGCTGCTGCCGAACTACAGGAGCACCTCGACGGCGACAACGCTGTAAGAGCACCCCACCTGTGTGGTCGCAGATCCGAGGGGATGATCGCCACATTCAAGGCCACCCCCTCTTCCCTGCCACCGTCCATTACTGAGGAGAATCTCAGGTCGCCATCTCCCAAAGCCGGCCCTTCACAACCTCCTTCCTTGCCTGCTGAAGAACGGGGGCGAGGCACTCAGCATGGCAAGCATCCCCGGGCCTCAAATGCCCATAGCCGAAGCCGCCCGGCAATCTCCAAGAAGCAGCGCGGCAAGTCCAGGGCTGCCATTGACACTGATGATGAGCTTGATGAGGATGAGTTGGTGCCACCGACTAATAAAGTAAGTTTTTACCTTTTCTGACATGAGCCTCGATTGATGGTACCTTTAGCTAACAGTTGTAGACCCACCGGCCCAAAAATCAGGCCAATATGTAGAAGTCGCCAGTGAGGAAGAGATGGATGCCAATGAAGAACCCATTATCCAGATCAAGCCGACGGTGATTGTCAAGAAAGGGAGTCGTATTTTTTTCATTGTTGCCTTATCTCACTCACCATCGGCACAGATTACCACCAACTTTTCAGGTGCCGTCTTGACAGAAGATGAGTTCGCCGATACTTCGGCGCCCACATGGGCTCCTCGCTGTGGCCAATGTGTGGCCCGCGATCTCATCTGCCGTCAGGGCATCAACAAGAATAACGGCCGGACCTTGAAGGTTTGTGCGCTGTGCAGCCACCTCAAGATTCGTTGCGGTGGGAAAGGCTCCAATCCTCCCCCAGCCAAAGGCAAGTCCTCGGCTGGCCGCCGAGCGCGTTCCAAGTCCCGGCGCCGCCCTTCGCCGATTCAAGGTGAGATCATTTCTACAGCGCTGAAGACATGCTAACTCCCAGTCTAGAAGATCCAGCTCCAGACGCCGGCCCATTAGTTGAGGAAGAGCCGGCGCCTCCTGCAACACCGGCGGTTGCCAATCCCGAGTTGTCCCAAACGCTGGACGATCCCGTGGCCGCCGGCCCATCATCCATCTTGGCGCCATCCTGTATCGCCCATGACCAGGAACTGCAAGCGCTGAAGATGGAAGTCACTGCACTTTGTGCAACCGTCGAGGCTCTGATGGGTCAAGTGGTGGCAGGCGACCAGCTGCTACAAGCTGCATACATGCGCGTGGATGCGCAAGATAACTGCACCGATCTGCTCGCCGGCAAGATCGCCGACATTCACCGCCTTGTCGATCCGCCTTCCTCGGTGACCCCCACAGATATCGCCGCTGATGAGTGTCCTGACTTGGCTGCTGGTCCAGCCCAAGAGATGGAGGATTCGGCTTGCTTGCCAGGTCACCATAAAGACTCCTGAGGCGGAGGACTCTAATGTTTCTGGTGAGCCGGCAATGTAATTGCACAATACATGTTGTGCCGGCGTAAATAATTTTCCCATGTCATGCAATGTACAATATATACCCACTGTAGTTTAGTGTACATAACATTTTTGTTTCCCAACAATTGTAAATCTGACTGTGAATATGGATATCTGCCCACATCGCCATGCTTGATTCACTGGCATTGTGAGTGGCCAGGTCATGTCCTGCCGGCGAGATTAGCTGACAGCAGCATGTTCATTTCTCGCCTGTTCAATTATGCTTGGCCACCGTGTTTGATCGGCATTGTGAGTAGCTGTGCATGTGCTACCGGCCGAGATCAGCCGACAGCAGTATGTTTATGTCTCACCTGTTCCGTTATGCTTGGCTGCCATGTTTCATCGGCATTTTGAGTCGCTGTACATGTCCTGCTGGCGAGACCAGCCGACAGCAGTATGTTTATGTCTTGCCTGTTCCGTTATGCTTGGCTGCCATGATTCATCGGCATTGTGAGTCGCCATACATGTCTTGCTGGCGAGACTAGCCGACAGCAGCATGTCCTGAATTTCAGGATATGGTGTAACATGGGCCCACCCACGTCTGCTGTGTACCTCGCATAGGCCAACTCTATTGATCTGGCGTGCATCAGCCCACTCCTGACACCAGAATACATCGTCGGGGCCCACCTGTATGCAGAGTTGCATCTGTATGAGCCCATGCGTATGAAGGGATGGAGTGGGCCCACTCGCTAGCGAGTGCACATCTGCTGGGCCAACTGCTAGTGTCCGAGCGATCCACCAGGCCTGTCCGCCTTTCCTGTGACTGAGATCAGGCCCAGCTCATGTATCAGATCACCAGCGGGCCCACATCTTAGCAACATGATGTATTAGCCAGGCCCACCTGTATCATCTGTGCAGTTCCCGGGCCCGCTCACCTGTCCAGTTGATTGCCGTTGAGCCCAGCCCATCTGTCACATCACAGGCGGGCCCACCCGTGGGCATATTGAAATTGGCTCGGCCAGCCCTACAAACCAGGGAACTGGCCTGGGCCCACCCTTCCATGGCTTGGAAGAGAAATGGGCCCAACCCACTCATCGGCTGATGGCAGGCCCACGCTACATGGACATACATCCTTCAGGCTCGGCCATTGCGATGTGACGCGTCGTGGGCCCAACTGATCGATAGAATTCATGTGGGCCCACTCGTTGTCTTCTTAGATAGATGATCTATAGATAAACACCTATAAAAACAAATATCTCCACAGTCAGTGATTCAGACAAATACCAATGACTGATAATGTGGTCGTTCGTGGGTGGCTAGTTGTATACTACCCAAAGTATGTTCAGCTAAGGATACTTCTCCAAGATCAGTAATATGATGGTCAATCCAATCTATGGACTTTGACAGGAAAACAAACAAACAATGGTCAGCCCGACAGTATGACAATGACCAAAAGAATATACGGGATTCTTCCTCAAGTTCCCTTTCAACAACAGTGCTTCATACCAACTATACTCCAAAGAAATGGTGCAGAATTACAATGATAAACCCCCTCAGCACAAAACAGGTAGAATCAAAGGTCAAGACTAGTCAAATGCTTTATTGTAGAACTCTTAGCTCAATATTGAACCTGCTGTCAAGGAACTCTTCTTTGAGTATTCAAACAGACTCAGGAACGGACGTCCTTGGGTTTACTACCAAGTCCCCTCTTCAATGGCTAAAGCCTAGCAGGCACAGAATATCTTGGCTCAGTATCGCTACTCAGATGAGTGAGGTCAAGCTTCACTATCAATTCCTAAAGTCTCCCCACTATGCTACTTCTGAGTCTTAGGTGGACGTAGAGACAACACGAATATTTTGGAAATATATTTCTGGACAAAGACCACCAAAGGTTGGTGAAAGTAAAAGAAAAGAAAAAGAAAATAGAAAATAGAATATAACTGTGGCTGTACCTTGTTTGCTGGTTGTTGCACACAGTGAGCTCACAGCTGGTCATTTAGTATGATGAGCTTGCAGTATTACTGTCTCTTGAGAATGTTCCTCTCAGTCTTAAGACAGTTCTTGACACTGGTACTGACGCTTATCACACCTTACTCACAACTTAGTGTTGGATGGGCTGAAAAACACCCTACTATCTGCTGCTGTTCGCTTGTTATTATTTCAAAAACTGGGGTCATTATATACACAATAAATGTGGCTGTGCTACTAGTGTATTCAAGAGTCATCAAGAGTCATAATGAGTCATATGTGCAAGGTGAGTCATAGTGAGTCATAGTAAGTATCTAGAGTAAGTCATAGTGAGTCATTGGGTATTTTGCTAAGTCATGTGACCTGTCCAACCCCTGATGACAAATCCAGAAGGAGAGTAAGAAGTGTCACATGATATGAATCCTGTGTGTGGCTATCTTTGCTTTGCTTTGTTTGAAGGGTGAGAATGACGCGAGCCTAGTATTTAGGGGTTTACTAATGTTTTTCCAGGACAACATATGTGGGAAATATTTTTCACAGTCACCTGACATGTGTGGGATTTTGTCTGAGTCATCACCATGGCTGACTAAGCAAAACTCATTGCAGAATTAAATGTACTAAAATATTCAGGCTGCTGGTATACAGACTTGGAAAATAAAAGAAAAGCAAAAAATATTCCTTTAGCCTCAGTCCAACTTCAGATAAGAGGGAAAAGGGTTTCATAGTGGTATTTCAGGGTATATGACTCATGAGAGAGTATTGGTCGTCCATGCACCAAACCGGTGTAGAAACAACAATACAATGAGGAACAAGGATGCTCCTAACTGTATCTATAAAATGTTGTGAGGTCGCGCATTACCTAGTCTGCTATTCTTGAGGAGACAAGTGCGTTCGACCCTAGGGGAAGCGAGTGCTGCGAAGATCTAGAGGTACGCGCTTCAGCGAAGCGTGAGAAAGCACAAGTGCGCGCAAGGTACGAAGGCGCGGGAACGCGCGCGCGTATTAGCGCGAAGCGCGGGAAAGCGCGCGCGCGTAAGCGGAAATAAAAGAGACTAAGCTTAAGTGATGATATAAAGCAATATAAGAAAAGATAGATGCAAAGTGTAGACCAATAGACTTCTACTATGTACTGCTAAGTAAATAGTGGGTGATAACTAGTAAGTTCAAGGGAAAAGTAAGGTAAGTAATAGTATGTACTGCTGGCGTTTATATAGCGCGCCTAAGCGCGGTCATGCGGAGCCGAAGCGCTACCGAGTAGGTATGTAAAGATATATATAAGTGAGAATTCATGATAAAAATAAAGGTGGAATGATATGCTAATAAAAGAAATGGAAATATACGCACTAGAGGGCTTGGTGGACAGTGGATGGATGCTTCTGGATGGCTGGCGCCATAGGGCGCGCAAGCGCGGGAACGCGCGCGCGCGTATACATCGCGAAGCGCGGGAATGGTGCGCGCATGGCGCGCGTTGCGCGGGAAAGCTGCGCGTCATATAGAGATAGCTGCGGGTAGCGCACAGAGTAATGCTATGAGTTCGTGCTGTATACTCCTTGGTGAAAACTACCATATCACGCCATGAGAGGCATGATTCTCTACACCGGTTTGGTGCAGGTCATCGTATGAAAGGACTGCGCATCAGGAGCACCCGCCGGACAACATCGCTGATGCACGGTGACATTTTTAATAACTTAATTGTGATCTAGTCGTGATTCGCACCACTGTTCGCCTGGTTGCAAAATGCCCAATTGCCGGCGGTTGTGCTCAATCTAATTTTAGCAGTAATTCCCACCTGCCGTTTTGAATGAATTTATAATATTGGGCGCCAGTGTAATTCATCGCCGGTTGCGATGATAATAATTGTGCCGGATTTGACATGTCATTCTCGCCTGCCAGCGATGACATGCATAATCCTGCCGGTTGCACATCTTATTTGTCTTTGCCGGCACAACTTGTGTTGCTCGCCGCCCTGTATTGCGCCGGTGATCCTGTAGACATGCATGGGCCCACTCGAAACTCTAGGGGAAATACCTTTCCAGTGTACTATGGGCCCACCTCTAATGCAATGTATGCCCATATAGACTCATGTGGGCCCACTGCAACATTTCAATAAATATGTGCAGTAGGCCTAGTCATAATCATGGGTTACATGGCACACACAGGCCCACTCGAACACAATGACATACCATGATAAGGTGGGCCCATGGCGGGCTGGCCCACGTCACTCAGAAGAAATGTCAAGGTGGGCTGACCATGTTTACAGGGTTAGGTCACTGAAGGGGCTCGATACACTGGGAGTGAAGGAAGACTCAAACAACTTTGAACAGGAGGATGAGTTGAAGAATGGTCTGGTACCGGGTCTGCCTATGGTTGAGGAAGAAGACGTGTACAACTGCAGATGGGAGGATGCTGTAGATGCGCAACCCATGGCCTCTTTGATGACTCTCGGCCATCAAGATGATCCATACAATTGTGGATGGGAGCATCGACCGGATGATGGTGCGGGGCTCATGGACTCAGTTATGACAGTTGAATGCGCAGAAGATCCATATGACTGCAGATGGAGCGATCAGCAGGATGATGGTGCAGCATTCATCTCAGGTGTTGCAACAGAAGACCTGTACAATTGCGGATGGGAGGAAGAAAAAGATGCCGACAGTGCGTCCCCGGTCACAATTCCGGAGGACCCTTATGACTGCAGATGGGGAAGTGATGCCGACAACCAGGATATTGCATCAAGACATGACCCTCAAAATGGACAAATCGGTCGCCGGACGAACAGTCCGACTCTGATGGATGGGCTTTATATAATTGACCTGACATCGTCTTCTGGATGTAAGTTAGTCCTGATATTCTATACTTGTCGCTAATCATATTGCAGCTCCCAAATCAACAAGAGACGCCAGATATGGGCCGATGAGCATAGAGATACCGGAAGTAATCGACCTCACGTCGGATGCTGGATGTGAGTGTTTTCGGATATGTTGTATATGCTGCTAATCGTGTAGCTTGCTCAGCATCTTTGCATGGAGTGTCCCAACGGAACACGTTTCAGGAGGCCAGCCTGTCGATGCACTTATGCCATCCAGCACCTGAACAGCATCAGTACTGATCAGCGTAAGTCGTAGTGACTTGTAGAATGGTTATACCTTACATATATTTGGAACAGGAAATGCATCTACACAAAATATGGTCAAGCAAAATCCTGCTGGCATGCCTGACTCACTTCCGGCAGCCACATTGCGGGCGAACCAAAGGCTCATAGGTGCATACGCAGATGCGCAGGGACAGAGTGACAGAGCTCGGTGAGGATGTTGTTGCAATCTACCGATTGCTGGACATCCACAGGCGCATTATGGATCCGTTGGATGCCATGGTAACAAACCTTCAGCAAGGTGATCGGTAGACATCGGTTGATTTGAGAGGATTTATAACTTTCATTCATAGAAAGAACCATGTAGTAGTAGCATTATGTATCACCATACAAACAAAATGTACAATGTCCATGTCTCTTTATCCGAAGAAAACCGGAATAGAGAGTTATGATACAAACCATGCAGCATAATTTTGTGCTCAAGTTCTTACATAGTCGGTAGCATATCGGGAGTTTGGCTTGCGCGCACGCATCGTGGGAAGGCGGTTGGATGTTTTGCTCAGGTGCGTTTTGAAGGAGATCCTTCCATGGATTCTTCAGCGACCCGTTTCTTCAGTCTCTTCGCCACGGGCTCTATCTCATTCTTGGTGACCTGTTTTACAATTGCTCGGCCTCTTTTCCCTTTAGGAGGTGACCCTTCTAAAGTTTCTTCGGCAGCACATTTCCTTCCTCCCTTCTTTGCATGTTCTTTACCGGTCAGATGGTGTGCTATGGGCATTGCAGGTTCTGCTGTCCTTGTTGATGCGGATTCCATGTGACTGGCATTCGCCCGGAGCTGGGTGCGGCGCCGCCAGACCGGGAGGCTGGTCCTACCGTGCAGGTGGGTGGTATCACCAGTCGTGTGATGCCGGATTTAGATCCCTCGCATGCAGTAAACTTTGCAGTCTGTTTGACATCATCTATCGTGCTGCTATCTGTCGAGCTGATATCGAGGATCTGAGCCTTGCTATTTTTTACCATATCCATCTTGACATGTTTGTCTGAAGGTGCAAGGGCCTTTTGAGGGAGATTCTGTTCGACCTCACTGTCAGAGTCATTGCTACTTGTGACAGACGCTCGGTAGCGGTGCCTCGGCAACCCCATATGCGACTTCCTCCCCTTCAACTGCCTTCCTTTCTGTGAAGGCAGTACATCATCATCCAATTGCTCAGATGGTTCAGCAGAGGACTCATCGGTTGTCCCGATACGATCTATGTCCTTGTCGGAAGACGTGCATTTGTTCTTAGATCCCTCGCTCTTGTTTTCGGGAGTTGTAGATGAGGCGCTCTTTGTTGCCTTGACTCTGGAACGATGTGCAGGGGCTGGCTCATCGTTGCTCCCCTTGTTACCAGAAGATTGTCCACCTGTGGATTGCCCGTGATGGCCATGCTTCTTTGACTTTGATCCCGATGGCTTCTTCGTCTGGGTGGTTGGCTGTGCCTGGCTTGTGACACGCCTATTGTGGTCGGTCGCAAGGACGATATCCTGGCTATCATTGTCCCACCATCCTGTAAATTCGAAGATGTGCTCTTCGCCTTCTTCCTGTCTCCTATACCAAAATCATAAAAGCTCTGTGGCGTGGACCTGCCTTAGCTTTGATGGCTCGGCGAGATTGTGACCTTCCGGAAGATATTGTATGGGAATGATCTTGTCGTACCTGGGTATCACATACTTCCATGGTATAGAAACTTTAGGGTCCCCACAGCACGTCCCTTCATGTTGTTTGAGTCACTGAATTCACCGGAAGAAGGAAATCGACGCACTGTAGTGCCATGTCAAAAATGCCTGGACGACTGCCTTCTTTGTATCTAAGTCCATGGATATGTATTCAGGGATTACAGGATATCCATCATCCTCCGATGTCAAGGGTATACATGTTGTCCTGTCTGCCTTTCTTCCGAGCAACCGGATTCTTGTCCACATTGCCCTCTGATCGCAGTTAGTTTGCACCGGATACATAATGAAGTGGCTTACCGAATACACTGGTGGCATATGCGTCCCATTCTGGCTCAATCACTTTCCAGTTGTAACTCTTCATGAACGACTCGGCACCACCGAACTCTTGGTTATAGTCATCTGTCTGTGGGGTGAGACATTGTGGATCACAGCAGTTGGAAAACGCACCCGGCCACCTGGACCTTGCTCTCTCCATCCTTCCAAGCTGATAAAATGAACACTCTCATTCCCGTGCGGTTCCACATCTCCGATGAAAAATGTTGGATCATGTCGTCGCCCTTCTTTCTCGCGATCTCGATTTTGACATCATCTGGAACACCCTGACTATTCCATTCATCGGCCATCTCTTTGGCTTCTTGAAGGTCTTCTGGTGACAGTGATGCCATCAGCCGGTTTAGGTGGACTGTGTAATGGTTCATCATCTCCTTTGTTCTGGGTTTGGCACCAGTCTCGTCCTTGATTTTCTTCAAGAGCTCCTTTTTCTGGAGTGTGTCTGACGCTTCTCTCGGTCCATTTCTGCCCCATCTTGATTGGGGGTTTCCCTGGTTTCTTCGCTTTGGCATGGTTTTGGAACCATGTCTCATATGTCTGAATAACGATGAGGAGCGTATCATATACCAAAAAATTAATGGCCACACACCGCTTTATGAGCCTTGAACAGCACAATTGACATGACTGGTGCTTTTGTCCGGGCTTCCATTGTAGCTGCTTTCAATATATTCTTGCGCTCCGATGTAGAAGCAAAGCGCCATTGCTCGAGGTAAGATTGCAGGACAGCAACCTCTTCTTCATTTGCTGGAGGTTGTTTGTTGGACTCTGAATCAGAGGCAGAGTTGTGGTCGGACATCATTGAAGGACAAGGTTATTTTGAATGGGGTCTTATTTAAAATCATGTCCTTTACTTAATTTGCGCTTCATTTGGCTATTAAGTGAGCCAAGTGTTAGCATGCAAATTTTGCTTGTCTTAAAATTCACACAAGTCTCCAGTCACCACATGGGCAAGTCTAGGGCAAGGACATTGGCTCCACGGGGAACGGCGCAATGGGTGACTATGGAAAACAACAGAGACCACTCGCGGCTTGAAAGGGAAGTGGTGTCCAGTCAAACCCAGTCAGCCAAGCCCATCCGTGCAATCATCTCCAGCAAAGTCTCCCAGAAAACATAATTCTGATAGGGCATGGGATCAATCATCAACCGATTTCAATGCTGACTATGAGGACTTTGGTAATAAGGAACCAATTGGTGCGCTCAACTTACCATTAGGGAGAAAGAAGACAAAGGTGTACTACAATGTTCATGCCATATGTTTTGCGCTGACCGATGTCCTAGAGCCCAAATGATTATCTCTGGGAATGGAAATTTCAGACTGATGATTACCTCCGGATCCTCCACGAACGAGAGGCTCCACCAGCAGATAAATCATGCTGCCTGTGCAGTGCTGAGTCAACTGTGTATAGGTGCCACGACTGTCTCGGCGAGCCATTATTTTGTTTGAAGTGCTGCAGAGATGAGCACCAGAGACTGCCCTTCCATAAGATAGGGAAATGGAATGGAGGATTTTTTGAGGAAACGTCTCTGACTAAGATGGGCATGGAAATTTATTTGGGGCATCAGGGAAAGACTTGTCCAGTACTTGGGGAAATCCACGAATGGGAGGACACCGACGAGCCAATACATCAACCGGAAGAGGACCTCCCTACTATACTCGAACTTCCATTCTTGAACAGCAAGCAATGCATAACCATCGTTGACAAGTCCGGAGTACATTCGCTCATGATACAGTTTTGTCAGTGTCTGAATGCTTGTACCACCAACAAGCAATTATTTGAGATGGGCATGTTTCTGGCATCCTTCACCCGGCCGAAGACCGCATTTACCTTTCCGGTGCTGGATGGTTTCGCCTTGGACAACTTGGAATGCGGAACTTCGGCAATGAATTACTACAACAAGTTGAGAAGAATGATGTCAAGTATATTTCCGCAACTAGTCCCTGTAGGTGTTGCATATAGAAATTCAACATCATCAAAGCTCAATTCCCCACAGGACCATTACAGAGAACTGATGAGGGTAGCACGGCAATGGCGACAGCTGAAGCTGCTCAAATGGAATGGGTTTGGTTATGAGAGAAGAAGGCCGACATCTGGTGAACTCGCTCTCTTTTGCCTGGCTTGCCCTCAGCCCGGCATTAACGCCCCACTACCGGCCAATAGGCACCCCGATGATCCCAGTTGGCTATATGCCCGATCGCTGGTCATGGATAGCAACTTCAAAGCAGAGCACCTTCATCCTACTCACCTGGAAGATGAAGTCTGGTTGACTGATGGCCAGTGCTTCATGGTTTCCAAAGACCGATATAAGGCTCATCTAGCCATTGCCAAAGACGTTGTTCAACCGTCCGAGTGCAACAATCACCAAGCTGTAAACCAGGCCAATGCGTCACGACATAAAATAGAAGCTACTGGGATAGGCGGGTGTGCGTGTGCCCGCCACAGCTGTTTTGTACCTCATTCGGTTGTGGATTTTCAAAAGGGCAAACGGTATGTTTCAGGATTCTACCGATTTGATTCACGAGGTGACTTCCGTGATTAGGCAAATGAATATGGACTACGCCCTATGTAACGCGTTAAGCCACCGCACAAATGGGCTCAGTCAAGCTTTGACATTTTATGACATTAATTGTCAGTATAACAAGCACTTCCAGCGTCGGGTGAACGAGAGCCTCTATTTGAGCCTCCCTTCTGGAATGGAGATCATACCGGGAATTGGCCTCTGGCATGTTCATGGACACCAAGACAAATGCTATGTTTGGTATGCATCAACATTTATCACCGGGGCCACTAGGATCGACGGAGAAATCATGGAGACGTTGTGGGCGCCTCTGAATATCATTTCTCCTGCCGCGAGAGGGATGTCAACTCCCCATCGGCAAGAGTGTCTTGATTACCAGATGAATGACTCTAATTTTATGAAGATGATTCACATGAGTTGAGCTATGAATCTCCTTGGTAAAGATTTTCTAATGGCATTGATATAGGCAGTATTCTTTGCCGGAAATATAAGGAAGCTACTGAAGGGCGTCGCAGAAAGTGCCTCTGCTTTTGACAAGCTCAATGAAACCACCGATCCTATCATGATTGCAACATGGGAAGAACAAGACCGATATGCACATTCATGTCGAGTCGCCGATCCATCAGCGATGGATGTATTTGAAGTTCAGTTAAAGAGGGGTGAGTTTCTGCTCCCTCAGCTGTCCGCCCCACAAAACTGATTGCATGGACCAGCACCAACTCGGAAGCAGCAGGAGCTAGCTTTGCTGTCCTCCCTGGGTAGGCCGATTGGGTGGGAATCTGCAATGAGGTGCTGCTACATGGATTGCATCCGGCATTACCATAGAAGAGATGCAGATTGCGCTGACTATGGATACTAGGAGGCTTGGCAGACACCCCACAGAAACCCAAACCTTGGATATATGCCAATGTCAGACAAAATTGCAAAGTCAGATAGATGAGTTTACAATGGTGGCAGCAACACATCTCGGCGAGGGCTTTGACATTGATGATGAAATCAGAGATCTTCACTTGGACTTCATGGATGACGATTCAGAAGATGAAGGGATTAATGGCAGTGATACAGAATCTGAACCCGAAGCACATGGATGTCGGCTGCGGGATCTCTTCTACCCCGAGAAGACCGTGATACCTCTGCCATCTAATTTCGGCGTAGCACACTGTGCGGAGCTGGGAGTTGAACACCTCATTGGTCAGGAAATTGCACTTCGGGAAGGTCAGGCCAATGATGCCTTGCAAGCGATCAGAATGCATCTAGTGGATAAGGCTGTGCTCTTTCGTACCGCCATGCGTCTGGCGAAATCACAAGCCAAGTCAACGAGGGCATGGATGCAGGTTCATTCAGGTTGAAAGGGTCATCCGACTCAACACGATGATTTATATGAAATGTCAGGCACAACTAGGAAACCTAGACGCTCATGGCCTACTTAAGAAGTATCTCCAGATGGAAAAGTGCCATCTCAAAACCACTGCTGCCATGGCGGACCCGAATGCCCAGGGGCAGCGAAATGCAACTCTCCCGTGATTCTGGTCGCTAGACGTACAAGGTGATTCTGTCAGCAGCGATTGGATGAATGAATGTACATCAGTTGTAATCCGGATATTTCGAGCCGAGGCTCAAGACACGACAGTTTACAGGGTTCATTGGCTTCGCACGAAAGCATTACGTGACCGATGGGCGGAAGAACTCATACTCGTTGAACCTGAAATGGGGTGGACTCTGGAGTGTTTCCTCTTCAAAGCAAGCATGTGGTTGACAAGGCTCACATCGAATGGCGAGGCACAAACGGAGGGACACAAGTGTTATGCGATTCGGCAGGCCCATATGTACCAAGAACTTGCCAAACACGCACAGGCTGGCTTTATAAAGACAAATCCAACCTTCCGGCCAATTTCTTAATATATAGTCGTAAGAAGTCGTTCATAGACCTGATATCTCATAGACAGCCAACTTTTTTGTAAAATGGAGCATTCTCAATCCTTACTGCATTCAGTGACGTTGAGCGGACGCTCAGCATTGAAATTGATAGCACCACAATGTATCTTGTTTTGGGTGCTATGCGTTCACCTAGCTGGGATTTATCTATTCGCAAAGGGATCCCTCCTCAATCGACTCGCACTCCCTGACATAAGTGTAGATGCCCTATGCTTTGATTTAATCACAGAAAGCCTGCCAGAACCTGTTTCACCTTTCCATCACAGCATTCGGACACTACTAGAAAATTTTGGGTCCGGTTTTGGTTCGGAACCCAACAAAACCATACTGGACCACAGAGAACGGTTCTCCGTGGTCTGGTTATGGGTTCAGACATTTCATAGAACCTAATTGCTGGTCCAGTTCTGGGTTCTCCTCAATGACCCTCTGAACCAGACCGAATCTGACCACGGCAGCACTACTACTGGGCTACAATTGCCAAATTAGCTAGCTCATTTCATACATAAATTATATCAGTAGTTATCTGTTACATAGGCTACTTGTTCGGCCGCACTTGTCAAATGCATTCACAACTGCTACTAGTAGAATAATTGCAATGCAGTGACAAAATTGTATAAGCTGGGCGGCGAATAAGTAATGGGGCTTTGACAACAAATAAGTTCTGGCCAGTGGATCCGAGCATAGGGTTTCAGAAGTATCACATGTGGAAATCGTGGGGAAAATGAGCATAAGAAGTTGAATCGCACCCTGACCAAGATGGGTGGATACAGGGCAGCAGACAGTTTGGCTCGTTCAAACATGCAGTATCGGTTTATCCGGACATTGATGGATGGATTATTAGTATTACATCTGAATGCATAGGACAATAATAGAACCACTCCCAAGTACAATACCGTTGCCACTAATCCACATTTCCCTATCCACAAGCCACAAGTCCCCAGCATTACTCATGACCGGATTGATTACAATCCAGACTTGTCGGAATTTTCTAAGTCAACTTCTCATATCTGCCGTATTTACCCTGTTCACTACCGTGTTTTCTTTCAATCAGACATCATGGCCGTACCTCCCGAAGTAGCAAATGATGCCCTGAATGCCATGCTCGCTGTCGTGCAATCGCTCGCTCAGCGCTGCATCAAGGTGAAGAAGGGTGATCCCGAGGCCTTAAAGCTGTCGGACGAGATTGCCAGGTGTGTGGTGAGTGTTTGTTATGTTTATTGCAAATTCTCCGTGTTAAACTAAGACATTCGACACAGGCAAAAGACTTAAAACTATACAGTGGGAATGCTACATTATTCTCCCCACAGCTACTCTCATTTGCCGCCATTGTGAGACAGCACTCAAAGGGTGGGGCCTTTGAAAATGTCTCCAACTGGACCTCCGTCACCAACGACGACCCTCGGATAAAGAACCACCCACAATTTGAGAAGACCGTGGACTATCGCCCCCTCTCCACATTTAACATTCCCGCCATCGCGACATCGACTGATATTCCCACCACCGTCCCAATACCACTGGCCCTCATCGTCCCACCATCGACTCCCTCGACTCCGCCATCTATGCCATCCCAAACAGACCTGGATGTCATCGCTAAACCGGTAGAGGAACCGAAACGACGGGTGTGAGCGGCCAAGAACCCGCCCCATGTTGGTCGTCCAGCACATCCGCCCCTAAGATACCGACACTTGTATTTTCCAGAAGCTGAGAGGGAACAGTGGAAGATAGCTTTCACGGCCGGCGATAGCAAGAAGAGGAAGGCGGAAGATGAAGATATTGATGGGACCACAGTTGCCAAAAAGATGAGGAAGGTGAAGTCCGATGTCGAAAAAGAGCCAACCAGAGGAGTCATCCATGTAAAACGAAGGGTATGTCCATTCATCTTTGATCAGGCATCTAACAGCTTACCACTCCAGGAATTGCCGCCTGTCGCTACTGACAAGGACATTCTCCTAGTCACAGACAAGGATTTCCTGGATGCAGAAACTCGGGTAAGTGATTCTCACATAAGCATAGCGCGGACATTGAGCCATTTTTAAGCCTGCAGAATGGGGCTCGGATTCTGATGTCGCTACTCCTTGGCAGGTAAATCTGTGTATGCATCGTTATAAACATGGGCTAATGAATTTGAAGCATTCCGTTCGTTACCACCCCCGGCGCTGCGACAAGTGTGCCAAGTTGGACATAGCCTGCCTTGTCCTCCCCGACAAGAAATTTGGGTACACACACCTCGCCTGCGCCAATTGCGACAACATGAAGATCGCGTGCGCAATCGACGGTGTTGGTGTCCGGCAGAGGTTGCAAGGTAATGCGGCGAAAGCATCCTCTGATGCATGCAAAACCCCCAAGACGTCCAAGTCCCGAGCTGTCTCCAAAAAAGTCGCGGCACGTCCTTCTCGCTCTCAACGGAGCATTGCTGGTAGCAAAGGTATGTTTTCTCATGGCCTCGGAATGAGTTGAGCTCATTGGATTCGGTAGGAGCGGAGAAAAAGCCCATGGAGGTCCTTCCGGTGAAGGTACAACAATTCAGATGGTGAGTCTGAACAATATGTTGGGTCTTGCAGAACCTAGCTGCTATTCTAGTGCCTCCGAAGTCCGGTTCGGTCAGGTTCATGGCCCTATGTCTGCGAACCCTGAACTTGACCATTGGTCAGGTTCAGGCATGGTGGCCGAACCTTGGACCGGACGCCTTCGAACGCGTTCGGAAGGGTTCAGTTCAGGTTCAGAACACGTTCGAACTCTCGAACCGTTGTTTAAATTGCAAAAAAAATTAAAATTAACAAAAAATGAGAACAAAACCTGCTAGTACAAATAACTACTAAAACTCTTCCTCGACGACAACGCAGTTATCATAAGGAGCAGCAAACTCAGCCTGGGATGTTGCAGAAATGTGGCCTTGACAGTATGCGCTCTTGAGCAACTGGAGAGCCTCGAATGTTGCTGGCTGCAAACAGCTGCGACGTGCGGTCCCAGTAATGCTGCCGCTTGAAAATGCACGCTCGGACGCAACTGCGGATCCCTGGATGGCAAGGTAATCCTGCAATCATTGTACCAATCAATCTCACTAGCATCTTTCAGCTGAACCATCAACACGATGTGCGGAGGACATGGTGGCAGCAGTAGCGGTAGCAGGGAGTGAAAATGGCCATCTTATACAACAAGTAAGTATATTGTAACTAAATTCAAAATGATTGCGCACCATAAAGCCCTGATACACGAACATTCCACACCAGAAAACGCCGGAGTGTGAACAAATGCCAGAACAGCAGTGTGGTGAATCAAAAGTGTGGACAGTATGTCCTGAAATAAATGGCATTAGAAGTTAGCAACGACAAACAGTGAACGTGTTGTGAATGTACTGGCACCTTGATAAGTCGCATTGCTGAAGAGACCAAGAGAAGAACATGGATGAGGGCAATGTAGTTACTGCAAGTAGGCTAGAAGGGGGGGAAGACAGTAAAGTGACGGGCAAGCACAATGCTTAAACAGAAAACCTTACCAAAAACATGAGGCTTCGTTGCCGGTTTGAGAATCTAAGTTGGATAAAAATACATCAGGTTCAAACCGGTCCTGGACGCGTCTGGACCGGTTCACGTGCTCCAGGAAAATACCGGACCTCGGACCTATTAGGGGGTTCGGTCCAGCAGAAATACCAGACCTGTGACTGAACCAATGGTCCAGTCTGCAAAGGTTCGAGTTCGAACCTAGGTTCGGGACCGGACTTCCGAGGCACTATGCTATTCGATCCTAAAGGGTTTCTGGACTAGGCTTAAGGCTCAGAGGAGAGGAAATATCATAGAAAACTGCTGAGCACTCAGACTCATACTGGTAACTGGTGAAAAGATTGCTTGATTATGTAAGCTACAAAAGTGCCAACATAAGGTAAGGTAAAAACAGTCTCTACCAGCCCAGCCAGAAATGAATCCCTACATCTCATGGGGACTTTGAATCATGACTGTCCCCAGTCATCTACCTATATAAACCAAAGCTAAGCTAAACTTAAGTAAACTAACCTGGGGGTCCTCAAACATCTTTTGTTTCCTTGACGCGTATGCCAGGTAAACTGCGCCAGTGAGTGAGAGTCAGGCAATGCAATAAAACAATATCCTCCAGACTTTGCTTTTAGTACTGGAGGAGCAGTGATGCTAAAGTGAAAGAAATGCGATGATGGTTGCATGGATGACGATGGGGAGTAGACAGATAGAAAGAGGCGAACAAGGGCTTCGAAATGAGTATAGGGTTGACTAGGTTTGGTGGAGAACTGAGTGAGAAACGAGGGAAATGGTGGAAAAGGGCGGAAATTGCGAGAAGTGCGGATAGCGAGGGCGCGTGCGGGCGTATCGGAAATCTGATCGGATGGATAGAAAGAGCGGAGAAATGCGGTCAGAACGCGCCTAAGGCGATGGGCGCGCGATCACGGGGCGACGAGATATAAAGAAAACACAAAAAATGGGGCGAAAGAACAGAGGGGAACGCGCAAATGCGGATAGCGAGCGAACGGCTGAGCGCGCGAAGGCGCGGATATGCGCGAATGAAAGCCATGAACGAGGGCTTCAAAACGGATATAGGGTAGATGCGATTCTGATGCGAAATGGGCTGGTGAAAGTGCGAAAAAGTGCGGAGGTGCAAGAGAGAGGAGGAGGAAGGGGTAGGGTGCAGGGCAACAAGGACTGGTCCTATCAAGAAGCTGATTGGGGCAATTGACAGAGCCACTGGGGGATGGTAAATTGCCAAAAGAGCTAAATGAGACAGGCCTTAGAGCACCCAGAAAACCCTTATCTCCCCTCAACTTCTCAAAAACACCAAAAACTCGATATCTCCACAACTACTGCTCCAATTTCGATGAGCCAGGGCGAAAAATGATCGTACGGACGAGGGGAATACGACCCTAAGTTTGCGAGAGATCCGCTCGAAAAACGCGTGGGAAAAATGCTTATCAATGCGCTGGGGAGGAGGACAAGATGCTGAAAAGTGAGAATTGTGGGAGAAGCTGGTAATTAATGACTGTGGTGGGATAATAGGTGAATTTGGGGGATGATTGGTGAGTATGAACAATGTGTTGGGTCTTGCAGAACCTAGCTGCTATTCAACCCTAAAGGGTTTCTGGACCAGGCTCAAGGCTCAGAGAAGAAGAAATATAATAGAAAACTGCTGATCTCTCAGACTCATACTGGTAACTGGTGAAAAGATTGCTTGCTTATGTAAGCTACAAAAGTGCCAACATAAGGTAAGGTAAAAACAGTCTCTACAAGCCCAGCCAGAAATGAATCCCTACACCGGGTCAGGCTCAAATACAGCCGGAACACTGGCAATCACCTGCGCCCACCAACCTGCTGGAACCAGAGCCCACCACAAGAGACATATTGCAGGGCATCCAGGACCTCGGTTGGAGGTTGGATCTCCTTGCCGCCAATGAGCGGGTAGACCCGTTGGAGGTCAGAGTGGGTTCAGTTGAGACCAACCTGCTTCAGTGGTTGGACGAGTTAGAGCAATGGCTCAACGAATCTGATGCCCGGTGGAAATCTTTGGAATCCCTAAAATAGATGGACGACGTTATGACAACTTTAAATAGTCACTAGTTATATAGGATAGATCTGATTGTGGGACCCCCACATGTACTGTAGATATTCCAGAGGACTGTGTACTGTTAGAATATTGCATGTTCAGCCTGGTGCTGCATTTGTATCCGAGTTCAATAAGTTGAGTCCATGCAAATTGTGTATGTGGTATTGTTATCAGATCTTTGTCAAATCATAGTATTGCTTCATTCTAACTAAAAGTTGGGACCTGAGCATGCGCAAATCATCTTCACATGAGATTATTGTACCGGCAAGTGCATCCAGGAGTCCAGTGGACGAAAGCATGAGTCGGGCAATAGGAGTACCCTCTTGGTTCCGTGAATCACCGTGATACTGGCCAGACGGCGCCTGCATATATCCGACATGATTTAGCATCATACACAGAAGGTGCATCTGGAACTGATTGTGATCACCCACCATACCAAGTGGTGATGACCTGATATGTGGTTGTCTGATTGTACTAGCTTCCGGAACCAGTCATCACGGTGCAGTTCTGAATAGCGACAACCAATCTATTTAATACTGATACAGTGCTGAAAATTTCTGTTTATAATGAGACATATCCATTTGGGAGTTCGCATTCGGAGTCACCTTTGTAAAGGCCCACGTCGCCATCAACATCCGGGACCACTGGTGCTCGATTATATTTTGCCGAGATTTTAAACTACCAAGGTATGATGCTGACTACTTAGAGTCCAAAACAGCATGTTCATGTTCCGGCCCCAACATTCCCAAGCCCCAACGAGACCTGAATGCATTACTTACTTGCTTTGCTGATATATTATATTACTGACTGAGCGCATCCATCAACATGTCCCGAGCATCAATGTATATGCATTAACTAAACTCATTGATTGTGCTCAAAACGACTAGCTGGGCCCTTCCATTTTCCCTGCCGCAATGCAATATCAATGGGTGGCACATCGTGTCGCTTGAGCCTTCCGGAAGTTGCCCAAATCAGGATACACACATACTGGGCCTACAATTTACCCACTGGGCCTGATCCGCATGCCGAATTAGTACCAGAATGACCAGTTGGGCTCCTCCGGGTGCTTGTGCACTGGGCCGATCTGCATATAGAGTTTCTATGCACTAGGTTCAGAACAACCGGTTGCACCAGATACTTCTGCATTGGACCGATCCGCGCTATGAATGTGTATGGGCTGGGCCAGTTGGGCCCCTCCGTATCAGCACTCTCTGGGCCGATCCGTACATTGCCTTTGCACCGCTGTCTGCAACCGCAACAAGCCTTAACCCACTTCTCACCCATGTGGTTTGTGTCCGATGCATCAATCGCATAATAAGGACATCGTCGGCTGTGTTGACTTCTAGCCGGAGATCGTAGTCTTGTGCAAAAGATCGCTCGGACATCCTGATGCATTCCAGACAGCAAACATTATAAATAGAGGAAGGCATCAAGAGCAATGTCTCTGACAGTCCGAGGTTCCATTGATGGCGCCCTAGCTGATTATAAATCAATGGCCCAGCGGACGTATGAGCGGGACAGAGGAAGCATAATTGGCCCTTGTGCAAACAGGATATCAGACAGGTCTGGCAATGCCAACTCTTCGTTAATGAAGGGCATCTCGGACGGCCCAGTGAATGTTAATGGCCCATCAAATGGCGTCAGCCCCACGTACGATACACTATATTCCTGCCAAGGCGCAAATAGGATGTCAGAAGTGCCTGGCGGACCTATCATTGGGATGTCGTCAGAACCCAGGGTCGGTAAGGATCTTTGCCTATCTGCCGCTCTGGCCGAGCACAAACTACATGAAGGTTCTGTCTGCCACCCGACCAATTTGTTATCTTTGCCCAATGGGCCCAGAAATCATTGCCATTGCAAGGGATGACAGATGGTCCATCTGTAGCCCCTTTCCATCATGCAACATACATGCTGCACACATCCGTCACCATTCTCGGGAATACACACAAGTTGAGTCCACCCGTCGCCTTCACCGAGACCAAATCTACGGGCTCCACCATTCTCGGCTATATACGATGAGTGCTGGGCCCATCCGTCGCCCTTTCCAATTCCACGCTCATGGGTGGAAGGGTCTATTCCTGAGTCCCTTCCAAGCACATTCAGCCCATCAGCCACCATTTTCGCAAGCAAATAAGCATGTTCTGGGCCCATCCATAGCCTTCCCCGAGACTCCACTCGAAGTTATTTTACCCATGGGGGACTGGGCCCATTGGTTGCCTTTTCTGAGTCCAAACACAGTGGACTGGGCCCATCCGTTGGATAGGTGGCACTCAGACCAGACAGAAGGAACAGGACAACTGGAATGGGCAAAGGATGACTACTGACATGCTCTAGCTATATGTACCTATGGACCTCGAGGCTCAGGCAGGACCCCTGACACCTCGGACAGACCCTCGGAAGTCCCTGATGCCAAACCCCCTAACACACTGTCACTGTTTCCAAGACCACATCTGCATATGCACTGGGCCAATTTGCCTTTTCTGATATGAAATCCACGGTGGGCCCATCCCTCGTGATTTTCAACATTACATGCAATTCGCTGGGCCTATCCTCGGGCATTGCAGGCCTACCCGATCGCACATTTTGGGCCCATCCATTACCCTTGTTCCCGAGCATGCCTACAAGCTGGGCCCATCCGTCACAATTTTCGCAAATCCGCCTGGCTTATTCTCACCCTTAGGCATGCAGGCCCAGCCGGTCACACATTTTGGGCCCATCTGTTGCCCTGTTTCCCAAGCCCATATGTACGCATACATGCAGGCTGGGCCCATCTGTCAAAATTTTCGCAAATCCGCCTGGCCCATTCTCACCCTTAAGCATGCAGGCCCACCTGGTCACACATTTTGGGCCCATCCATTGCCCTGTTTCCTGAGCCCATATATACGCATACATGCGGGCTGGGCCCATCCTGTCAAAATTTTCGCAAATCCACCTGGCCCATTCTCACCCTCAAGCATGCAGGCCCACCCGGTCACACATTTTGGGCCCACTCATCTCTATGGACCTCACACCTCAGCCCAACTGCCAGTGTCGGTGATTTCTGTACTGTGGGCCCACTTGGATGGCCCGGTTACCTGGGCAGAATCTCAACCTTTGGCTGTCTGACTAAGTCGGAAAATGTTACTGAATGGGCTCCATTCATCTAGTAATCCAAGCACTCCTTTCGGTGAGGAGTCGACATGCCACAGGCCGATGGTGAGATAATATTCAGGGGCGACCACAATGTTTCCATTATCTCTCCATTGATTCTCGCAGCACCAGGAATGAAATTGGATGCGTAGCGTACAACACAGCTTTCTTGATGTCCATAAACGTGCCACAGGCCGATTCCTGGTGTGATGTTGATATCGACTGGCATCCCTAAATAGGGACTTTGGCCTACTTGGCTCCTGAGATTCTTATTGTATTGACAGTTAACATTGTAAAAGGTCAGAGCACATGTGATTCCGGCAGTATTATAATTCAGTGCTTGGCAAAGCGCATAATCCATATTCATTTGCCTGTGGTAGAAATGATGTTAAATAAACTAATTAACATTGTGTTCATGCCACCCACCGTTCTCCCTTTTGGAAATCTACCATTGAGTGAGGAACAAAGCAGCCGTGCTGGGCACATGCACAACCATCAATTCCAGTTGCTTCAAGTTTGTGCCTGGATGCATTGGCTAGATTGACTGCCTTGTGATTGTTACAGTCCGACTGTTCAATGTGGTCCTTGGCCTGGTCAAGATGAAGTTTGTATTGGTCTTTGCCCACCATGAAGCCCTGACCATCCATTAACCAAACTTCATCATTGGGATTTGCCATATGCAAATGTTCAGCCTTGAAATTGCCATCCATGACTAACGATTGGGTATATAACCAAGTGTTATTAGGATCTCGGCTGGCCGAATCTGTTTCCGGGAGAGTCATATTAATCCCTGGCTGTGGGCATGTGGCGCAAAACAGGGCCAGTTCCCCCGATTTTGGTTTTTGTACTTCATGCCCAAAGCCATTCCATTTCAGAGACTTTAGCTGCCGCCATTGTCTCGAAACTCTCATCATTTCTCAATAATGGTCCTGAACAAATCATTGAGCATTCTCATCATGTACCTGATAATGTGTCGGCCGAAAGAGACTTTAGACTTACTGGAATGATATGAGGGAAAACACTGGATGCCATTCGTCTCAACTTGCTAAAATGATTCATGGCCGATGTCCCGCATTCCAGATTGTCAAGGAGATAGTTGTCCAATCCCGCAAACGTAAAGGCTGTCTTTGGGTGGGTGAAGGATGCTGGGAACATACCCATCTGAAAGAGCTGCCTATCTGGACTGAGAGAGTTCGGGCATTGACAGTACCTCAAGATGAGCAAGTGTATCCCAGTCTTGTCTACTATCGTTGTGGCCTTCGTATCAGAAACCCATGTCATAACAGTCTCGGGGGGTATGTCGTCTGGGTCAATCTGATCATCTGTCTCAACCCAGTCAAAGACATCACCAGTGAGAATGTCTGGATCGCTCAGGCATGGCTCGCCGCCGTGGCCAAGATAAAATTCTAGGCCAGCCTTTGTTAGGGAGGACTCCTCAAAGTATGTTCCATTCCATTCAGAAATGTGATGAAATGGCAATCTTCTGTGCGCAGTCCGGCAGCAGTTGGAGCAATAAAATGGTTCTCCCAAGCAACAATGATACCTGAAGACACCAGCCTGCTCACAGATGACACATGCACGGCCGATGGGTGGTGCTTCTCTGTCTAGTAGCAGTATGAGATACTCCTCAGTGCGCAGTTGCCACTGCCGAAGATAGTCATTCTGGCTCTCCATTTGCATGTTAGGATGCAATACTGTGACACACTGTGGGATTATCTTACCAGGGACTTTGGCAGCGCTGGAGCCGGGACATGCATAGCACCCATATCATATTGTTTGTCTCCACCACTGTATAAGATGCTTTGTTATCGGTGGGGTGTTGATTTGCTCGGTGTTTCTTGCTTTTGCTTGGAGCGTTGGTTGCATGCAATGTCGACCCACCGGCCTTTGTCCCCTCTGTTAGTGTTTCTGCTTTTCCATACTACAACCCTGACACTCTTCTGTGGTGTCCATTCCTTTACTATAGATTTTCCCATGTGGAGAGTAAATAAGGTGAGGATGGTAGCCTATACTAGGGCATTACAATTTGTGTGATAATAACATTATTATTTACCTGCTATTCTATTAGATAATGATATTCCGACAGCTCAAATTTGACATGGCAACGTCATTTTGACTTGACATCCTCCCTGCATGAACATCACCACCAACTTGCATCACATCATTGAAATTGCTTTTTGACTCATGCCTTACATCCGACAATTCACTAGAGTCACCAATCAGATACCTCTGAATGAATTCGAAGTCCTTGCCCTTGAAACTCATCTGGATGACTGGAACCCTGCTACAGGCGCCGTGCGCAAGAATGTATTGATGGAGGTAACAGAGCATGTACAACCTCTCGCACCTCATATGCATCAATGGAAATTGAAACAGTGGAAATGGGTGTCTGAATTTGTTCATGTAATCAACGATCATCTGAGATGACATTTACAACAGTTATACCTGGAATGGTTTTATACCAATGCTTCTGGCCGAAAGATTATATACAAGGATATCCTTCGAGGACCTGGGGCAATGAGTTCTGTCACTCGCAAAAGTAGCTCAAAGTGGATGTTACAGAGGATGTCATGAACCAATGATGGTACAATTGCAAGTATCATGCAACATCTCACATTAATCAACAAGGTGGAGGAAGAGATAACTGAAGATGTTTTAGCAAGAGAGGCTCGTTCAAAATAGTATTAATCTCGGGGCTGAGGTGTTTGCACCACTGCTGGAACTTGGTGGCTGAGGATTATTGAACACCATTGGCCTCTTCATATTTAATGTTTGTTAGAAATGCTAGTCAACAATAATAGGTTGAAACCAATATTTACGGAAAGCAATTTCGGTCGGACCAATGAGAAGTATGACATAGATCAGGACATGATGACATATTCATGTGTTTGGATAACAAGAATAAATCTGTACTAAATCTGTACCACATTCGTCCTCTGTTGCGTACTACCAGCACTTCATCAGAAAGATTCCTCATTGCAAAATGGCTTGACAGAGGACTCAGACAGGTGACAACAAGCAGATCACATTGAATGAGAATGAACGGCTTGCCCTGCAATCACACCTGGAGCAATGGAACTCTTGCAAAGGTGGAGAACACTGTAGGGACTGATTCCTGGCTGGGCTTGCAGAGGCTGTTTTACCTATAGTTATGTTTGCACCTTAGCTTACATAATCAAGTCATCTTTTTACCAGTTTTACTATGAGTCTGAGTATTCAGCACAGTTTATGATATTTCCTCTCCTCTGAGCCTGAGCCCGGTCCAGAAATCCTTTAGGGTCGAATAGCAGCTAGGTTCTGCAAGACCCAACACATTGTTCAGAATGACCATCTGAATTGTTGTACCCACAATGCCATGCAGTACTGAATGCTGCTGTCAAGGAAGCTCATCTTCTGGCCCTGAAGATGGACAAGGATGCACTGAAGTGTCGCAAATATGTATGTCACTCGGCCGTCTTTAAACACTCCTCAGTTACCATGCATGCCAGATGTACAAGCAATGGTTCTACAATAATGGTGCACGCAAGCAGCGCGTTCGAAAGCATCTCATCAAGTATGGCCGAAAATGGACAGCTCGAGAGGTGATCAAACAACAATGAAAGGCCAAGGTAAAAACCATCATCCAGGAGCAGACTGGGATGAAGCTGGGGGAAAAGGGAATGATGAAACATTACCAACGTGTTGTCACCAAAATTATGCAAGGTCTTACCTCCGATGAGTTAAAGGAGGCTGAAGCGACCACATTGGCATGGTCACAGGAAGGTCCGCCAGCAGATATACAAACCAATATTGCGAAGACAAAGGGTGAATCATTGATAAAGTATTTTGCAACAGAGATGTACAGGCAAGCCGGAATGAGAATATTTGTGGTATCAGCATGGAAGGAACAAGACAGAAAGCTAATGATTGGAGGGTGAGTACAGAAGGTCATGCTCAGTTATATATTCACACTGATATCCAATGCAGCCATGATTTTAACGACAAAATTGGCGGCGGTGAACGATTCATGGACACGAAGGATTGGCAAGTTATATTGGAAGAATGGAATCCATATGCAGAGGAACAGTTCAGTAAGTGATTGTTGGTCTGCCAGGATGCATGCTGAGTGTAACCCACCAGATATGCAGGAAGGGACCGACGATCGGGTGATCCGTGGAAAGACACAGGCAGGTTTGACAGCTGTTTCACTTTGAATTGGATAATGAGGGCATGCCAATCATCCTGGACAATCAAGGCCTTGATCTTCAAACCACAAAGGATCTTATTCGTGACTTCATGACAATACATTACCGTAAGCTCGATGATGGACATGCTTCGGCCAAACTGACATTGTGAACAGGACATTGTTGCCAGAAGGTGAAAGTTCCCGTTCCGTGGGCGACGATTATATCGCAGCAAGAAGAATTCATCAAGAGTAAATATCTCCCTGAGGCAACAAGAATAAAAGATCCGTCCAAGCTGAAGAAGGCTGAGGCTCAAATGCTTCTTCAATTCTGGCATCAGAGGCAGAAACACACAACTGACACCACATTTGAATTCAAGGGATGGGTGGACTCAGATGGAAACATACACTCTCCTGTTAGGAAACCAACTCAGAGGTCGAATGATCGAGCTAGAAGCCATCAGCCATTACAATGGTCTAGGACACGCAAATCAAGAGCAAGGAGCACTGGCAACCAGAATACAGACGAGGAGTCTTCTGAGGACAATGATGATGCACGCCTTCCACCACGTCAAAAGTCAAAGTGTCTTGCAAGACAGAGAGCAACCACTGGGTCATGTTGTAACTCTCCCATCGGTCCAATCATTGACATTGACAGCCAATCGAGCCAAAATGCTGGATGGAAAGGCAATGGTCATATGAAGGCGAGGGTTGCCTCCATCTCCTGTAGAAAGGAGCCAGAGTCCGATGATTCAATACAACCAAGGCCATTAGTGAAGAGAGGAATCAGGACTCGTTTACCACAGACCGACGAGAGTGATGTGACTTATCCTCCGATATCTATCTCTCCAACGGCAATGATGGTGATTGGCCAGGCAGAAAAAATCCAGCACATCAGGGGTGGGAAGAGACCCAGAACCGGTGCTGAGTCAACCCCGGACATTAATGCAAGCTCATCATCGCCTCACAACCAATGTTTACCAAAGAACCTTGGAGATGCAAAGGGTGGAGCTACGAGAAATCTAGTGATGCCATTGCAAAAACCACGTCCTTGGCCTGGCCTGGCCGGCTGGTTGAAGCAAGTAAATCAAAAGCATATCTTTCAGAATGCATTGACCATCGGTCCTATCACGGCCAAACAAAATTCTATGCCACCACACAATAACATCGTCCCACAACCTCACATACTTGTACCCAAGCCACCACCCCGGCTGGGGCATCCGGAGAAGTCTAAGTCATTGACATCCACCTCAGCAATGGTTGCAATACATGAAGGATCTCCAACAGGTGCCTTAGTGACACCAGTACCAAACAATCTACCTGTAGAGAGATCTCGGCCAAGACCTCGGCCAGCCGGAAAACTGCTTGGCACCAGCAGTCATCGTCCAACTGCCACAGGCAAACATGTTCTCCTTGATCACTTCGTGGATAAACAGCATTCACAGGCTCCTGTCGCAGATACTGTCAGGATGATTCATGGTCAAAATGGTACCCTGGATGAGACACCCAGTATGCTACCGCTGAGGGATAGGAAGACTTCCGAAAAGACATCCGGAACGACATTGACACCAGCTGAAGTTCACACATTCAGAGCAGCCAACAATACTTGTCAGAACGCAAATACAGCTGTATCCTCGAATTGCCAACATATAGATGATCGTTCAGGAGGGACGGGTGCAGATCTGATGCTGAGACCAGAACAGGGTAAAGGCGTCAAACGACGGAGAGTAGATGAACTGCCAGAACCTCCTAGGAAACAGGCAGTTAGACAAAGAAGGTTGCCCAGCAGGTATGCTGACCACGAATAGTGTTGTACAACACTGATTTGTTGGTGGTTCCCATGTATTGGCCGGCCGAAATGTGCTCGTTTGAGTGTCACAATAAATGTGATCTTGACTGTACTCAATTGCATGACTATGTATTACATATTGAACTTTGATGCTTGCTTACCTTCGGTTACACATTTCCAAATCTCCTCGTGGTAAACCATATGAAATCAGTCATTGTATTGATTCATTCAAGAACTTGCAATACAATATGGTACATTTCAGCATTAATGTAAATGTATGTAGACCATTTGACACCTATTGTACAACATTAAACCTTCAATATTAAGCATGGCCTTCCTACTTTATTGCTGGGTGCAAGGTTGATGATGAGAATCAGATAGGCCAGGTACATTGGTGCCAGCCGGTGCACCTGGAAAAGATGAAGACCAACCTAGTGACGAGGGGCTCATTGTGATAGCTATACCGGGAGGTGCTGATGCCCGAGAGGAGGTTGTGGTAACCATTTGGTCCGTACTAGCTGCGGGAAGTGATATATTGGCTGTAGGAGAGGGTGGGATGGGTTGGGTGAGCATCGGCACCGTGGAGGATCTGTCCGGCCTGCGCATGGGGTCACCATCAACAGCCGTTGATTCGTCGTCTGCGGAGTTTGGTGTTTGAGCATCAGTGATATTTGGAGATGCCTCCTGAGTATCTTGTTATGGTTAGTTAGGATATAGGATGGATATCAATAGTAAATTATATTTACCTGCTTGACCACCAGCAGATGACGTCTCGATTAATACAGATTCATCCCTGACCGCTGAGGCCTGTGTACCTGCCCTCGTCCTGGTGGAGGAGACTGGCCAAGCCCGAGATTTTGACCAAGTGATGTTTTTGTTTGTTGGCTCTGGTTGGCTGGTGGTGGCGGCAGGAGGGTTCACAACGGTGTCTGTAGGTGGCCTGCATCTCAGCTTGCTCTGGTGGCAGCAGGCACATGCACCAATGGGCCTCTTAGTGCATTTTCCGATTCCAGGCAGACAAGGCACTCCTGCTTGCAAGCACAGATCACAATCCCATGAGTGTTTTGGTGATGACGTGGCCGATGTCCCAGGTGCTGACTTGGACATACTGGGCAGATTTTTCTTCTGCTGTGGTTGTAGATCAATAAACAAATTGAAGGGAAAGAAAAAGAATCACTGACCTTTACTACAATCGATGGAAGCATCGACCGTCCTCTTGTAGCTTTGTCGTCAGTTTCTCACTTAGCCTTCTGCTTCCCTTTCACCTTCCTAACGGCAGTCCTCATCAGTTCATTGTCCTCCATGAGCGTGTCTTCTTCATCCTCATCTTGGTCTTCATCATCTGTGGTGTCCTGGTATTCTGTGTCACTCAAGATCACTCTTGACTTCTGAATGTTCTGGCATCTTGTGACTGGCCGATTGGGAGGGGCAGTTGGACTTCGAGAGCATTTCCAGCAAGTGTTTTGTGAGGCAATCGGCTGATGGGGCGTAGATGGTTCAGCTTCCTTTCCCTTCCCCTTGACCTTTCCCTTTGTCTCCATGAAGCTGGATACCAGTCCAAATGATCGAGGCCGGGAGGATGTGTGAGATTGAATATGAGATGGGCGAGGGGGGGTAGTATGGAAATGTCGGGCGACGTGGTCTGGCTTCATTGTGGGATTAGGATTGACCTCTACCATGGCAGCAGCTGCAGATGTGTGTGCCATGTCCAATGATCCGATTGCCAAAGATGGCATGGTTGCTGGTTCGATGGGATGATCTGCGATGTAAGCACGAGCTTTTTCCTTGAAGGGGTGGTCATCAATATGAGGGTTCGTTGTGTCGTAGTGATCGCCAGTTAATCGGCCTCAAGAACTTTCTCTGGTGGGTGGCATCCTTGATCTCTGTGGCAATGGACAATACCATCAGCGGGATCAATGTGGCCGATCGGACATGAGAACCTAATGCCGATGACTACATTGATAAGATGGGACTATTAAGTGTGATCACAACCGAGCTGAGACTTACAAGTTCAATTGCTAAGGAAAACTGTGTGCTTCTGATGCTCTGGGTGGCCATCTTGCATCTTCAACGCCTTGGAGACAATGTCTTGCATCTTGTTGTATGCAAGTTCCATGGCAGCATTGGATTCTGTGTGAGAGGACATGTTTTGTGATCGCCAAATGTACACGATTTCAAGTGGGAGTTGAATTGAAGAGAAGTACAAACAAAGTTATGAGATGCTCGGACCGGCTGGCCAACATCACGTGACATTGTACCTGTGGGAATTCATTGATTTCTACAACCTTAATCGTTAATGCGCAGTTAATTGTGGGTTCTCACGCACATGATGTACTGGTAGCTAGTAAGTTGAATGTGACATCATTGTAGCCCTAAGTCACTGCACTGATCACAATTTTGTAGATTTCGACAGTCTGTTATCGGCATTTGTATTATGGCGCATCGTGTACGATTCAATCTAGTATCCGACCATAGTTCCGACAGTGAGTTCCTTCCCATCTCATGTTATTGTCGGCTGAATCTCGGTTGGATGTTTAGATGAAACGTCCAGTTTTTTCACCGGCTATGATAATTTCAGTCAAGACCAAGATATTGCTGCATTGGACCAGCGTAAGTCCATTCTCCATTGAGGAGATTTCGGCTGACCCTTGGTTGTACTATGAGTGGACATGTTAGATTTTGAAACAGGTTATGCCACTCAATCCAGCGGCAACACTGATGACTGGCCAGATATTATTGAGTCCAAGGATGACATTACCATCTCACACTCAATTGTAGATTGTAAGTTTCACATATTATTTACTTCGGCTGACATCGCTCGCATCTACAGATGACATGTTACGTGTTTTCACTGGTGATGAAAAAGTTCCAGTTGAGACCGCAGAACCATTCAGTAAGTTCTATTTTCCATTATATAGCAAACTTACAGACAAACTGCAGATTTTCTATGCAGGCTATGACACGTCATCCTCGCCATCGGCCCAACAAGGTGTGGATTGTATTCTTGCACAGTACATACTAATAGGATATATTACAGCCTCATTCGATTGCAACTATGACGATGACGATGGCATATCCATGTCACAAGCCCTCCCTGTGACTGCCAACGCATCTGCAAAACCAGTTGCTGATACATCCAAGCCCCCAATGTGTAGGTCAGCTATTATTATGCTTTGGGAGTACTTATTGTTGTCTTGAAGTGTCGGTGCCCTTTGTCCATTACAGTGATGAGACCAGATACCTGCAACATGAGTTTTCACCCAGACAATTGCCACAAACTTGTATGTTTTCATTTTGGCACATATAATCATCCTGACGCTTCTGTTAGCATTTTCTGACGAGGATAATGTACCTACCGAAGAATATCTTGCAGAAATGAGTGAAGCAGGTAGCTTGTCAAATTTTATTTTACAACACAACTTAACGATTTTCAGACAAGGTATTTCTGGGATATGGCCATATGTTAGCAGAATCAATGTATAGAACATTACTTGGTCTGTGCAAGCCAAGGCCGGCTTCTGGTATGTCCTCCTCCATTACGTTATCTCAGATCTCACATAATAAATTTAGCCGAAATTTACCCAGGCTTTGATGATGACGAGGTGCAATCACAAGCCTCATCCGAAAATAGCACATCTGTGATCGCCGACTTCAGGGCCGACCGTGACAAATGAACCTGATTCAAAGACAAACCATCCTGACGGTCGCATCTCTGTTGATACACCATTGCCTTGTGCTGTCGACCTCATGTGCACAGGCAAATCGGCTGATGATGTGTTCATGGCTGATCTGTACCTTGGGTATGAGGAAGATTACATCGCAACCGCACCTCAAAACCCTCAAGTTTACCGGGCAGGTGTCGAGCAATCCCCCCAGATCCTATTACCAGCCGATCTTGACTTTGGTTATGAGGGCGACTTCCTGCCAATCACACCGTTAGATCGTCCAGTACATCCAACAGCAATAGAGTCATTACCTGACATTGAATTGCCAGCTAATCTTGACTTTGGATACGAGGAGAAGATTTTCTCTATGAAGTCATCAGATGATGCCCTTCAGTCAACTCTTACGGAACCATCACCTGACTGTGGTGTCGCTGGCCGACCTTTGCTCGAGGCATGAAGGTGAGACCATCCAAACCACGTCTTCAGGTGAGTCGGTCAATCATATTGTTCAACACTCGCCTGAAACTGTGTCCATCTTGTTCTTTCTGTGGTTATGCAGATGAGGCTCTCCCCACTACATCTTCAAATCATTTAGTCTGGCTAAATGACATCAAGGCATCTACTGATCCATCACTGCCAGCCGATCTGTGCTTGGGGTACGAGGATGAAGCTCTCCCGACCATAGCTTCAAATAGCACAATTGGACCAACACATATAAATCCATCGGCCAGCATCACATTACCAGGTGATTTGTGCTTGGAGTATGAGGATGAGGCCATCATGAAAGAACTGTCGACGCAAGCTGTACTCGCCAGTCAAGTTGAGAACTTGGGTGACCGTGCAGCCCCACACGTGTCCTGGAAATCCCCCAGGACGGCGGACGGCCTTCAAAACCACGATCCTTTGTATGCTGATGCTGCAGAGGCCATCGCCCATGTCATAGATCACCTGGAGGTCAATGATGACCATGAAAGTAAGTCAATACACTCTGTCACATATTCCGACTCATAATGAATCTTTTAGTTGATCGAATTGCCAGAGATCTCATGTCTTCAGGTATTGGGAATTGCCGTGAAACCACGGCCAAAGAAATGATATATGCCAGACGTGTGGTGGAGGTTTCATATACTGAGCGAAGAGACAGCATCACACAAGCATGTAGAGATCTGGTCAGGTTATACAGAGTGCTTGATTATCATTGTGGAATGCTTGGCTCACTAGATGATTTAATATACAATGTGCAGAGATTGGAGGAGGAACAGGATCGCAACAATGAGGATTGACACGCATACTTTTGAATACATCGTTACATTTACCAGGTATTCAGATACATTTCTACAAATTGGTACAATATTGGCGATCTGAATTGTATTCATCATCTGGTGAACAACATTAATCATAAAGCTAGGGGAAAATTGTTACAGAATATATTGACGAGCATCCTAGCTTGAATGTTTCATGTCATGCACGATGTCATGGTAGCAGATTTTTCCAAATACTGGATGAGTGATGTCTGTTTGGTTTGTTGCATTTCGGCCGAAAGCACCATCCTTGACTTTGAGATTAATGAAAAACTTAGCACATAATATATTATAGTTTAAAGTGCCAGCAACAAGATGTTATAATTTGATCCGACCGAAGACAGTAATATAGAACCGAGCTCCGGCCCAAGTATGTATGTTGGTTCGGTTGCAATCTGGCCGAAAAATATGTCAAGTAAACAATCATTGAACATCACACATAATATAAGATGATTCTATATATCGGTTGAGGGATGTCTGCGTGCTCGGTTTCAATATGGCCGAATGCACTATGCTTTAAGCGGAGAATTATTTGAAATGTCGCACAAAATAGCATAGTTTTCTAGATTCCAGTGATGCCACCATGCTTCAATTTTAGGGTCATTATTTAACAGTGAGCATTGTAAGTGATAACATAATAAATCATTCCAAAGTCCAGCCGAGAGATGTATGCTGAGTTTAAATCTCCACTGGTCCTCATCACAACATAATCCATCTTGATAGCTACTACGTTAATCTCGACTAATGTCACGCACTTCCAACAACTCATCCTGGAATGATTCGCCCTCAACTGGCCATTGCTCAACGAAAGGCAAACGACCTGGAGGTCACTATAATGATCCACTACCACACTTCACACTCTGGGATGCTTCCAAAGTATTCAAGTTTGCAACATCTAGATTCATGGCCATCCGCCATGCCGTTGGCAAGAGCTATGTACAGCGCACACCCAATGTATATCAATTGCTGGGAAAGCACATTATGTGGGAAGCACAAGTGAGTTTTGTTCTTGACTCGTATGCCTCCAATAAATTGACCCGATGTTGAGACATTTGTCTTGCCATTCATTAACATCTGCATGGGAGCCAACATGCAGCCCACTCTACCATTTTTTCTGGTGCAGATAGCGGGCCTCATCGGCAGGTGGCAGTTGGGGTTGTTTTGCTATGAAGAACTCACTCATTCATTTCTCGCTTGCCCACAGAGAAGCATCTCTGTTTGTGGGAAGGTCGTCGGCTTGTCAAATATCACCCTTATTCCTGGTGGAATGACCGCTGGGACATGTGTTTCCAGACTGCAGAAGTGCAGTTAAACTTTACAGAAGTGATGGACATCGTGAGCAAACATTTTCAGCAATGGGTGAGATTTCAGTTATTTTGCAATGTGTCGGCTAACATAGGACAGCCGGAGGGTGCATTACTGGCTGCTTTACCCACCACCATGAATCCTCAGGGAGGTCCATTGAGTAAGCAACTTCTCGCAGTCAGGGCAGCAGCAGCACGTGCTACTGATGAAGTTCGCCGAATGATTGAAGATAAACAGATTGAGGCTGTCATTGGTGCTGAGTCTCTCGGCCACCTGGAGGAGATTAATATCGGCCATGCTATGGAAGCTTCTCGCCGTGTGGTACATTGTGTGAGACAGATGGTGACGACTCCATAGTTATAATTTACACCTTGGTCACCTGCACATAACAACTTGACGCTCCATAAATTGTGTTATATTATATGCTTTTCATGTTGACAATATTTAGCTTATGATTCATGATATCATGGAATATGTATATAATGACATCAGCAGTCAGCCAATGAAAAGTCCTTCGGCTTTGATTATGTAATGTTCCAAAATCAGGTCATAATATCATGTGAACATTTTTCGGCTATCATCATCTTGGCAAGGCATCCGAGCACCGTCGGTGCTGGAACATGTGCCCAACTGAAGTTTTGAACCATCATCCTCGTGCTTTGCAAGCCAGAGGTCTCATAATTATCGTCTCGGCAGATATCACCCGCAGTCTGTTACACAATTTTACTCGTTGAAAAACATTGCATGCATACTGTCGAAGTGCCCAAGGATTGGGCATTGCAAAAGGTCCATTTAGCTAGCCAATACGTCGAGGATCAATTTTGGGCCCATGTTTCTCAATCTGAATACATTATTCCACCCATGGAGCTTGATGTCGAAATCATGTTGAGTTGTGCACAATTAGCATCAACTCTGGCCGATGCATATACCAATCCTAGTAGGTTCTCTTTATATTCGGTATTTACGTCCTGACTAAACAACAACAGTTCAGCTAAACATCAACAGGAAACGATACAGCGATGCTTGTGGACAACAGCCGACAGGCCGAAGCGATACACAGGAAGCGCAGCTGCTGCAGAAATTTCTGCCCAGTTGTGAAATGGTTCTTGAAAAGCCTTGTGTTCTGTTGGATACAGGTCATCGCATCATCTTGTGGTATGTGTCCAGAGCACTGTCGGACTGGGTGAAGGTGAGTGTGTTCTTTCATGTTGGTCATTCATTGAATGGTTGTGCTGCAGGAGGATATCAGTGCGGCAATGCATTGTGCCAATGATCTCCTCAAGAAAAGTCTGTCCCCAGTGAATGCCAATTGCATTTGGAGAACAGACAGGTCCTATTTCTATCTGACCGAAACACCTGGTGTGTCCCCAGGCTGCATCAATGTATCTCCATGCTGGTTTCAACAAGGTCACGAGGTCAGTCATGTCTCATCATCATCAACATTCAAGGGCCTGACCAGAACAAGCCTCATGGTCATGCTCAAGATAATGCTGATGTGAGCTGCTGTCCAGAGATATCAGCTAGTCTCAAAGGCCCTCAAGGTGTAACCATCATAAAATCTATGCGACGACCATCTCTCCTCGCCTTGGCTGCATTGAGGGTCATGCACCCCAGCCTGTATTGGTCCTCATTGCGCACCACCCTTGAGGTTGGACACTGGGCATATTCCAGTGGTCAAACCAAGATGTATGAGCGCATTAGACACTGGGCATTGGTCTTCACAGGTGTCGCTGTGATGGCCAACCACCAGTCACCCGCACACCGTGATCCAAAATGCTGTCCTGAATGGTTTGACTTAATGACATCGGTCAGCAACTATAGAAGTGCCCGCATGACGCTACATAACCTAGGTATTGAGTTGATGTATGACTCAGGAGTGATGGTAGCAGTTCTGCGGTCGGCTTATCCACCATGCAGTGGACATGCAGACCGGCGACCGATGGGTGTGGGCATGGTTCATGAGAGACAGTGTTCATAACCATTTCAAGATGCCCCATGGGGAGCACGCATGGTATTCTGAGGAAGATTATGCAAAGTACAGCAAGGTGGAAGACATTTTAAACAGTATGTAGACTTTATCATCCTCACTGTTCTGTTTCACCTACTTCATATGATTTGTATTCCATCACTATACTGGAAATGTGAGTGACCGGTGTTGTATATGTTAACGATCGGCCAGTATTCCTTGTATGGCCATGACATTCGGCTTTAGAGGTTTCCTTCTGGGACTCCACAGTGAAACATTGGAAAGTTCTCTAACCCATGGGCCAACACATCATTTATATCGGCTGAAAAGTATTCAGGGTTCATGGGCCGGAATGTTATTTGATATCTGTCTAGATGTGATTCATGTGGTCATGGGCCGAGATGTGAGACACGGACTCATGGGCCAAAAGTTATTTATGTGGGCCGAGACCTAAGTTACAGAGTCATGGGCCGAAACGTCATTCATGTGGGCCGAGACCTAAGTTACAGAGTCATGGGCCGAAACATTATTCATGTGGGCTGAGACCTAAGTTACAGAGTCATGGGCCGAAACATTATTTATGTGGGCCAAGACCTAAGTTACAGAGTCATGGGCTGAAACATTATTCATGTGGGCCGAGATATGAGTCACAAACTCATAGGCCAAAACATTATTCATGTGGGCCGAGATGTGAGTCACGAACTCATAGGCCAAAACATTATTCATGTGGGCCAAGACATGAGTCATGGACTCATAGGCCGAAACGTTATCCACGGTGCCAATGTGCTATACACCTACCAGTTGACTATGGGCCCAATCAAGACTCTCGTGTATTGTTAACCATGGGCCCAGCCATATCTTATGGCTACAATTGCCCATGGGCCCATATGGGATGGCTCGTATAGTATGGGGAATTGTCAAATTGGGCTGGCTGTGAGATACGGACTATTTCACTGAATGGGCTCAATCCTGAATGTGTGTGTTCATTCATTAACATGGTGTATACTCAAAGATAAGAAGACTTACTGTCGAAAAATAAACATGCAATTGTTGTTCACTTTTGAGGGCACAAATGTGTGGCGCATGCAGAGATGACCTCAGGGGTAATCTCCAGTGCTGTTGCTAGCGTTTGCGCAGAATATTTGAGATGTGGTTCAACAAGGAAGGGTATCAATGTTTTCCAACTGCTATACAATGAGTCTGTGGCCTTGTCAGGTAAAATGCGACGTTTAATATGAGATTCTTGCGCAAGTATGTCGGAAGAAGGTTCTGATGGTATTTCGAAGTCTGGATCAGGAATTTCGGCTAAGGCGTCAGTCTGACTAGTATCAGAGACAGTTTCAACTGCATCTACAGCATGAACTTTGGTCTGTTTGTGCTCTGGTTTCATCAGTTGTTGCATACGAGCTAGCAGTTGACGGTGTTTGGCTTGCGCGCCAGGTAACTCAATGTGTGTCTGAGATTTTTTCTTATCTCTGGATTTCTTCGGGCTGACAAAATGGTGGCCTAGTCCAGATGATACACATTGAGCTCCATGAGTAGGAGCGAGAGCACTGGTTGAGACCATGGTGAAAGGGAGAGAGTGAGTGGCAAGGAAGACTCACTAACAACACAAACTTAGTGATAGACACCATGATGAGGTTTTGATTCCTGTGGCGCGAGGGCCCCAAGAGCATATAGAGGCCAATGCGCCCTGGGAATGCTGGAGGTGCGCAATAATGAATGGAGGATAGGTTTGAGCGGCACGCATCAGGGAAAGCCTTCCCCCCGAAATCGAGGTAATTTCCAGTAAATCCCTGGTTTTCCTTTGATTTTCAGCGAAATCATGTTTTACTGTTTTATTTAAGTCCGGTCATAGTTTCAACGAATTAGTTCGAATTCACTCGTCGGTTATTGTCAAAATACACGAAAATCAACATTATATTGGATCAGAATGGCCTGTCAGTATGTACGAATGACTATCAAAATGTACAAAGTGAGATCAGTAATACATGGGTATCCGCGGGTGCACATGGCACAACAACCTTAGTTCAATCCTCGGACATTGCACTGAGATCGAGGTAGTCGAAGTTGCTCAGCGCACCAGATGGCAGCAACACATTGTCCGACACACTAACATAGTATGTTAATGGCAGGCATTTGATCAGAGGATGATGAAACGCACCAGACAGCCTTGTAAAGCCGTGCCATCAGCGCATGATACTTCTTTTTACCGCCTTCAAAGATCCGAGTGAGGGTTGCTTCATGGGCTTTGTAAACACTAATGTAGACAGTAGCATTGAATGATTTGACTTGAGAGCTCGACGGTGGATTGCCGCTCCTCCAGTCCATCAGTATGGCATAGATCTGCAACAACCATCACATTTCGTAAGTATTCATCTAGAAAATACAAATAAAAAACGTACAACAGTTGCAATCAAGGCAACCATAGCTATGGGGAGCTCCGGCTCATCATTGCCATCTAAGACCGACACAAAATCTTCATGTGATTGAACTCCGATCGAGTTCTCGCCGTCGAACAATGACTGATGTAGCGTATCGATCATGGCCTCGTCGCAGAAAGGTTGATCACCAAGGACTTTACCCTGGGCAGTGACATCAATATCGACAATGAAACATGACACTAACCACTCACATTTTGGTTAGTTGGAAAAATATACTTGTGACTTTTCAGGAGCTCTTCGACCTCATTGGAACAACCTCTCCGAAGTGCGAATCGAGACACAACGATTTGATGAGCGAGCTTTTTGATACCAGTGCGGAAAGCACTAAGCCGTCCCTCAGGCTTCAAGCAAGAGCATCAGCGTCGAGTTCATACCAAAAACAAACACGAACAATACTAGCAAGAGCAACTGCAAAGTCAGTGTCGTGTTTAAGCCTCTTCAATATAGCCCTTTCTTTATGCTTGTAGGCAGCGTTACTGACTGCTTGCATAGCCATGGTTCATTTCTCGATGATAGTAGGGAATGCATTCTCGAAGATAGCAGATTTCTTGAGTTCAAAGACAGCCGTCTTCAAAACCATCTGTACGCGTGTGTTCTGAGCCTTGAGGTTGATGGAGCCGTCTGCTTCGTAAACTAGATTAGTGAACTCAGGCCATTTGAAAGGCGCATAAGTGTTGGATGTGTCACGTGGTTCCGGTCCGGGGGTTGTGACAGCGATGGAATCATCTAAGTCATGTGACGGCTGTGCAAACTGTGGTCTCTACAAAGCAAAAATCAGAAATAATCGTGAATCGGGCCAGTGAAAGGGATTGTTAGGTCACCTCAATCTGTTGTCGTCCTTCGAGCTTGCTCCTTTTCTTCTTCTCGTCAGGCTCGCATTTGACCTTGACTGAGTCAGCTGTGACCGTGACGAGTTGGCCCGCCGGATCATCATCATCCCACGTTGATGCAGCGGCTGAACTATCACTGTAACGTGAAGCAAGGCAGGGTGGAACAAAACGCGGAATCTGACATTGTACCAATTTGTAAGTGACTATCAGCTAGTAAATTTGAAATCTCATGCACCTCTTTCATTAGTACCTCATGAAGATTCTCCGGGGTTTTAGACAGTAAGTCTGAGATATCACTGTCGTCTTCAACTTCCACATTGACATCTGACTTATTGGATTCAGAGTCGCTGATACCATATTCACTCGCAGAGTCGTCGGTGTCAACTGACACACCATTGTGACTCGTGAGAGTGGAAGCTACACCTATTTTAAGTTGAGTATCACTTCGACTCGGTTTTAAAGAGGCCACACATACTGCTTCTCTCACGACCACCACCTTCAACTGCTTTCTGTGTCTTTTCGACTGCTTTCAGTGTCTTCCTTACTGACTTTGTTGCAGGCGCAGACAGAAGCTCAGTCACTGTTGGTGCACGCTTGCGATTATTGCTGGTTGTATCATTCCAGACTGACATAGGTATGTAGCATAATTTTTTTTGCACAATATGGGTTTAGGCGCTCACCTTTGCGCTCCAGTGCTTTTTTCTTTGAAGACCGTTGCAGCTCTTTGCGAGAATGTGAGTTTTTTTGGGTCTGATTATGACAGCCTCTGTACTCACTGCTATCTGTGATGTCATCAGCTATGTCTGGGGTTACGACCTCAGCGCCGGAAGACACTTGTCTCGCCGCTACTTTCTCTTTCTTTTTAGCATTCCGCTTCTGAGCAGCTATCTCAGATGGACGGGGAGGCATTTTAAAAGGTGAATGAGTGTTTTCTCTTTTCAAAGAGTGTACTGCTACGAAATTGAATGATACAGGACACTGAGGGTAAAAAGAATGTAGCGGTCAAGTTGGTGGGCAGTGTTAAAGAAAAAAGTTCATAGTCCGCTGAACTTTGCATGGGCAGGGTTGCAGGGTTGCGCTGGGGCAGGGTTGACAAAGTTCGTAGTCCGCTGAACTTTGCTTGAAGCTTTGTTTGTGGCTGTAGGTTGTCTTTGTTACGGCCCTTGTTTTTTTACCACCAGAATGATCACTTGCCCAGGCTGCGCTAAGAACTTCGAGCTCACTGGCCATTCTCATCATCTTGCCACTACGAAAAATCCGCCATGTGCAGCTCTATTTCAACATCATTCTAGTTTTTATATGGATACAGATGACGATCACAGCGACTTTGAACCACCAGCATTAACTGAATTTACAGGGGACTACTTTGGCAACTATGATGAAGAAGATTTCGAGTGGCCAGAGGACCGTCATCAATTCATGGAGTCCGAGGACGATGATGAACCCGGAGACAGAGACGGAGACGGAGATGGAGACGGAGATGGAGACGTTGTAGCAGCTCATGATGCTGAGCTTGAGCGCGGCTGGGAATTCCCTGCAGGTCCTATACCACCGGACATCGATTCAGCTGCCAGTGATTTGGAGGATGCTGTTCTGCAACCACAACCACATCACACGGAACGACAGCAAGCCGAGGCACCCCTTGGCCAATGCCCCACTATTGAGGAGTTTCCATGGCGTGGTGCAGGGGCTCCACTACATTGTGCCGGCACTACGGCCTTCAAGTCCTATAAGGACAAACTGCCGGACTCAGACAATAAGTGGGCTCCTTTCACTTCTCGCATAGATTACAAGGTTGCGAAGTGGGCAAAGCTTCGTGGTGCAAGCTCGACAGCTTTTTCAGATCTGCTGGCAATTGACAGGGTGAGTTTGATTTCCGAAATGATGGTCAATGATATTCTGAACAGCATCCGTCATTGAAGCTTTATGATGCCTTAGGGCTTTCCTATCGAAACTCCCGTGAACTCAATCAGATTATCGACCGAAAGCTGCCATGCAGACGACCACGATTCAAACATGAAGAGATAATTGTCGCTAATGAGGCCTTCGATGTATACTCACGCGATATCATGGAGTGTGTTAAAGCTCTCTATTCAGATCCGGATTTCTCGCCACATCTCATTCATGCTCCTGAGCGTCATTATGCCGACCCTGATAAGACCGTCAGAATGTATCACGATCTTCACACAGGCAAATGGTGGTGGTCCACCCAGGCAAGTGATCATACATATATTTGTGCTGCCTATGTGTGCTTACCATGTATCACTTCACACAGAAGGAGCTTAAGACTGGAGCCACTGTCATACCCATTATCCTTTCGTCGGACAAGACTCAGGTCACCATGTTTAGAAACAAATCTGCATATCCCGTCTACATGACGATAGGGAATATTCCGAAGGAAATTCGTCGAAAGCCTTCCCGACAAGCATGGATCCTGCTTGCATATCTGCCCACTGCCAAGCTCGAACACATTACGAATAAGGCCGCTAGACGACGTACTTCAACAAATTTATTCCACGCCTGCTTGCGTCACATCTTAGAACCTTTGAGAGTCCCTGGAGAAGACGGTATTGCCATGGCGAGCGGCGATGGAGTTGTATGACGGGGACATCCTATTCTCGCCTGTTATTCTGCAGATTACCCGGAACAACTGCTAACAACAGGAATTAAATCGGGAGAGTGTCCGAAGTGTGACATTCCACGGGACGAGCTGGGGAGTCCTGACATTCCTGTGAAGCTTCGGGACCTGGCAGCGATTCTTGCTGCTTTGTCACTCGTCGATGAGGACTATGGCATGTGGACAAGAGCATGCCAGGAATGCGGTATCAAGCCCGTCTTCAAACCATTTTGGGAGGAACTCCCGCACACTAATATCTTCCAGTCAATCACTCCAGACGTGTTGCACCAGCTCTATCAGGGCATCATCAAGCATCTGATCGAGTGGATCAAGGAAGCGTTCAGTGAGGCTGAGATTGATGCCCGTAGCCGCAGGCTTCCGCCAAATCACAATATTCGCCTGTTTATGAAAGGCATCAGTGGCCTTTCTCGTGTCAGTGGAACAGAACACAACCAAATCTGCCGCTTTTTGCTCGGTATCATCATTGATATCCGATTGCCTGGAAATCTTGACAGTGGTCGCCTTCTTCGTGCTGTTCGTGCCATCCTCGACTTCCTTTACCTCGCTCAGTACCCTTGCCACACCGATCAAACTCTCGCGCTTCTCACTGAAGCCCTGACTCGCTTTCATGACAACAAAAGCATCTTTGTCGATCTCGGCATTCGAGCGAATTTCAACCTTCCAAAACTCCATTTCTTCCGTCATTATGTGCATATGATCAAACTATATGGCACGACTGACAACTACAACACCGAGTACACCGAACGCTTACATATTGATCTCGCAAAGGATGCTTACAGAGCTACTAACCATAAAGACGAATATACGCAAATGACACTCTGGCTTGAAAGATGCGAGAAGATGTTATGGCACAATAATTTCGTCCAATGGCGCCTTGCTGGCGATCCTCCTCCACAAGACAGGTTACCGCCCGACATGGACTATCGTCGCTCGATCAAGATGACGAAACACCCAACTATTAGACGTGTTCCATTGGATAGTGTAGTTCACAACTATGGCGCCACTTTTTTCACCGAAGCATTAGCTCGTTATGTCGTTCGCACAAATCAACCTGGCCTTTCTCCAGCGCAACTTGAACAAGAAGCTTCCCATGTCATCCTTCCCTTCCAGACTGTTGCCGCATTCCATAGGGTCAAGTTCCACGCAATCAATGCTCACGGACATCGTGATTCAACCGTTACCGTGGATTCAGTGCACTGTCAGCCACCACGAAAGGACAAAAGAAGGCAGATAGTTCCTGCGCGCTTCGACACGGTTTTAGTTAACGAAGATGGTGGTGGGACGACAGGTGTTGATGGTGCGTGTTTTTTGTACTAATCCCTTGTAACATCATGCTAATATTTGATCATCAATATCAGGGTATCGTGTTGCACAAGTGCGCATCATCTTCACGCTGACAAGCCAGGCTACAGCTGCCTTATTTCGCACACCTGGAATTTTGCCTACCCACTTTGCATATGTGGAATGGTTCATGCCATTCGGGCAGCCTGAAGCAAACCATGGTTTGTATAAAATTTCCCGCCTCATTCGTAATGGAGAGCGTCTGGCAAGCATCATTGACATTTCTGATATTCGCAGGAGTGTACATCTTATTCCAAAATTCGGCCCTGTAGCACCTCGTGAATGGACCAGTAGTACCGTTCTGGAGCTTTGTTCTACCTTCTTCGTAAACTCGTTCAGCGACAGGCATGCTTATTTAACTATTATCTGACTAGTACTAGAATCGACTACATTCATCTGAAATACAATGATTTCTGTGAAAATACTACATTTCCTGGAATTCAACCGTTTTAAGCTCGAGTTTGAATATTTCGGTGAATTTCCTGGCAGAGGCTTTCCCTGATGCGGACGGCACGCGAGCCACGCCAGGAGGCGCTGGATGTAATGTATGAGGCACGTTATTAATAGAATGGTGGGAGGGCGCACCTCAGAGGTAAGTTTCCCACAACATGGAAACCCTACCTCAAAGGTCTCTATTGATACCGAGAAGTAATGCCTGAGGTGATAGATCCCTTTGTGATAAATGTTGATTAATTGGGTTTGCAGCTATCGAGTGGGTATCGGAAACTTGACCAGGACATTACAACATGCTCAGACTTCAAGCTCAAGCTTCAAGATTCGGTCCAGTCTGACAACGGTCCCAAGTTGTGGTGCTCAGGTGGCACTGGACAGAACAAAGTATGAGAAAGTCGATAAGAACACACGCAGAGCCAGGCTCATTGATATGCTGTTTCAGATTATTTACAGTACTCAACTCTATTTGTTTCAAAAGACCGCCGCACATTCGGAGAGACCTCATGAGCGCGAGTAACCGCCAGAATCCTATGGACCCAAGGCAATTGTACGAAAAACGCACGCAAGGCAGAGCATTACTGGACAGCCTATCGATAAAACTACTTTGAGATGTTAGCAAAGCAGTTACCGGCACTAGCCCTTCTTCCTTCTTAATGATCTGTCTTGACGATCTTCAATTTTGATGTTGGCTGAATACACCAGTTTTTTGTGCATTAGTAGTGGGAAATCGTACGCAAGTCGAGTAACATGAATGTGTTTTATCGATTTGCGAGGAAGTTTTTCTAATGTTATGTTATTCTAGAGTCTGCTCGACAAAAAGCTGGAAATTCGTGCAGTAATAAGGACATCGATCATCTGCGTATCGTGTAATCAATTGACCACTGGGACAACGTGAAAGCAGAAAGACGACTCACTGCCACGAACATCCTCGGTCTTCAAAGTCAATCGAGAGAAGGCTACTGGCAGTACCAGACTTTGTTTGTGCCGCTGAGATTCTATTGATACAAGGCGCAAGGGGTAAGTTATGGAGCTGGATCTCGGATCCAAAGCGGATGGATCATACTCACACCCAACTTGCAAGTAAGGCCTGAGCAGCATGGATCGCCTCCCACGTTACTCGCGCCACAAAGCCCGTCTTCGTCTGTGCATGCACTGACAGACATTATGGATGTTGTCAGAGTAGCAACAACAGCAAGGAGGAATGAAAAACGCATGTCTTGTGCTAGATAATTTGGATGCGTCGAGGGGATCCCGAATGATAGTTCTGAGAGTCGACAGCTTGCTTATATATCCTAAAATCGTGATTTTGGTAAGCACAGGCTCGGTGGTTCTATCAGAATGGTTGCCGCTGGCAGACTTCAGTGTTGGCATAGCCAGAGTCACATAGTCGGCGGATAAACATGTAAACTGAGTTTATCACAAGCTCTGGATCCACGGTAGTGATAGGAACGACCTGGCCTGACTAGCAAGGGACGGTAGTGAATAGGTATTAATGACGGGTTATTAATCCCTGTCACCACATCACCACAAAGTAGGTTTTGTATTACACAAGGATTTTTTTCCCCCGAATGTCCTGGGGCGACGCAAGAACGAGGTCTCAGGTCAAAATCAATGTTCACGATGCTCTTGAGATGTAGTTTCCTATTTTTTTATACCTGTGCCTTTTGATTGTAAGATGAGAATATCTTTCCTGCCGGTTGGACGCACCAAGTGACTGTTATCCGTGCAAACAAATAAGCAAGATGAGAAAATGGTTACTCCGGAGTCACAGAAGTAAGGTCCACTTGCGGTTAAGATAATAAGGAGTTGGACTTGATAAATTATGCGTCTCGCACCCGACCTGACGAAAGTTTCGCTTGGCTTGGCTGATCGATGTTCCTAGTACGTTTGTGACACGCAGAGTCCAGACATGACTGTCTGACCTATTAGTAGTCGAAAACTTCTTTGACAAGTTATGAAGCACGCCGCAGGTGCCCGGGACTCGAAAGTTCATGCCTGAGACAAACAAGTACAACTTGAAGCTGCGAGCCCCGGACGGCAATATTTTCTAGAGAACGTGTGACTAACCATAACAGACTAATAGCACTTGGAAAGTGCTCTGCTTCTTCTACTTCTCAGAACCCTTCCCAGTAAGGTAACTTAACGTTCGAAAATTTTATCGACCTTCAGTTATGATATGCGTAGAAGTTTAGGCTGCAAGAAATAAATTTTGCGAGAACAGATAATGTACTAAGTGTCCCGACCTTCATCTACACTGTCAGCTGACGGAAAATTTTCCAAACCAGCCCATTGATCATAGTAGTCGTTGCAGACATACTGCATCTCGGACATGGTAATTGCGACTTCTGTGTTTCTTTCACCGAAAATGCCCTGTCCGTCGCTGACTGAACTGATGAACACCGTAGGATATCAGCACCGCATCTTAATAATCAAAATGACTATTTGCTGACGATGTCGCCTCCAGAGGCAGTCACGCTACATGCATACTAGCTCGGTGAGCAATTTGGTGCAATAGATGTCCACCATGCCCTCCAGGATGTCCGTGACTCTTGTCCTTCGGTTGATGCCTTCATTGCACGAGAATTGTTACCAGCCTAGTGTATCAGCCTGTTGCGGCTGCTGTGTCTCCCGCAAGTGATAGCAGTGATGGGTGTTTTGATCCTTTATTTTATGTCTTTAGCTTCGAAATTATATTGAATTGTGTTCGTTGAGTGCGCTGCTGGACGTGGTTTGGTTGGGGGATACAATATGAATTATCTTATAGATCCCTTTGTGATAAATGTTGATTAATTGGGTTTGCAGCTATCGAGTGGGTATCGGAAACTTGACCAGGACATTACAACATGCTCAGACTTCAAGCTCAAGCTTCAAGATTCGGTCCAGTCTGACAACGGTTCCAAGTTGTGATGCTCAGGTGGCACTGGACAGAACAAAGTATGAGAAAGTCGATAAGAACAGCACTGCAATGCCCACAGACTTGAATTCTAAAGGGGATGTCCCATTCGGTGGCGGGTCTTCACTTTTGCCTGATATTTGTCCGCAGCGCCGTTGGCTAAACCTTTGCACAGAAACGCCCCGTTCAACCTCGTGAGCTCGTTGCAGAGTAAGCACTATTTGATATCAAACGTCCATTTGACCCACCATCATGAATCATGATAGCAGTGGAGCAACCATTTTTTCGGTGTATCGGCACAGGTACAGGCACGGTCTGGGATGACCAGAAGGACATCAGTGAATTGATGAGTCCTCGATATTGTAGCCGTGGGAAGTATAGCACGATGTAATTCTGCTGCCGCCAAATATTAGCTTATATACTGCGAGCAATTTGAGTTGCACATATATACTCATGTATGCTTGTAAATCCAGCTTAACATGAATGATTTATAACAATCCTGGGACATTCCGCCTTTGCAGCCAATGAGTAGTGGTAGTATACCTGAGCCAATTGTTTTGAGCTTTGACATCTTACCTGATCTTGTTTTTTAATTACAATGTTATTTAAGGCCTTTTGATGGAAAGAGCCTCGGGCATTTGTCGACAAATATAAAATACCATTAGATTTAGTCACAAAGCTATGACATTCCTCCTTTTCAGATAATGAGGGGTGGTAGTAGACTTATCCCAATTATTTCGTGCATTGTCGTTTGGCCCTATTTATTTATCCCATTACAATGCTATTCAAGCCCTTCTCGTGAGAAGATACCTTTAGCGGACAACTTTTGAAACTGGCTGTACCGCTTCCAGCGGCCTCCGCTTTCAATAAGACTACATTAAGTATTTTCAAAACAATGCTTTACATGTTTCTGATTGCTGCTTATTGCAAATGTGAAAGTACAGCGGCGCTCTACAAGGCATCAGCGGGATCAATTGTGCTACAGCGCTGGAAATATCCTAAGTCCAACATTTGTATATGTTTGTTCATGTGACGGTGCGCTCACAAAAGTTCAACTTGAACTTTTCTTCCCGCTCTCACTCGCTCTCACTCATTGCTACTCTCACTTGCCACTTTGGCCGACGATGATGGTGCGATGACAACGACGATGACCCGACAGCAACAACCCAACAACATCAACACGACGACGATGATACGACGACAATGACGACGACACGACGACGATGACAATGACGACGATACGACGACAATGACGACAATGACGACGACACGACGACGACAATGACGATATGACGACGACGACGCGACGCAATGCGACGACAACGACACGATGCGACGACAATGACGATATGACGACGACGATGCGACGACAACGACACGATGCGACGACAATGCGATGCGACGACGACGACGACGCGATGCGACAATGACGAGACGACAACGACGATGCGATGCGACGAGATGACGATGACACGACGACGACATGATGCGATGCGACGACGCGACGAGACGACAATGACGATGACACAACAACACAACGACGATGACACAATGATGATGACGACGGATACAACGATGACACGACGACGACAATACAAAGACGACACAACATATCTCTCACTTGCTCTCATCTATAATAGATAGATAGATGTTCGCTGTTTATGTCAGATTTAAAATTTAATGGAATTTGCTTGATATCATTTAATTGAATTGGAAAAGCTGCCTGAAAATAATGTGCTAGTATTGTCGTGAATTGAGATCCTATTTACGAAAATTTGAAAGGGATTAAAATAATTGGACGGATTGCCAAATCGTCAAATTCTTGCAGATTTGTGCAAGTTGGATCGCATTTCATCCAATTTGAGAAGGAGGTTTTTCCTGAGTAGCTTTGACATCGGAAGCAGATATAAGAAAATGAAAAACGCTTCTTTCCTCTACAAGGTCAAACATGATAATGTAATGACCGATGGCAGAATTATGCTGATGCTGTGCGATTGTGTACTATATATTGTGATATATGGCTTTCTACTTTCTTCACCGGTTCACTGATGGACATACGTAAAAGATGGGCTCACTGACTTTGTGAGCTACTCCTCGGCCTTCTAGGTTCAATGTGTTTTTTACTTCAAGTTTGCCATCCATCGCATGCTATACAAGGATTCTCCTTCGGTCGGCTGCAAAAAACAAGTGAACAAGAGGACTTAGAGGAGACAGAAAGGGCAGCCATCCATCATGATGACACCGGCCCTACACAGAGAGATGTGGCAGAACGGACAGACCAATGTACAGAGATTGACATGCTGACAGCCAGAAACACGCAGCTGAGCAACATGCAGCCTCAGTAGAGTTCCAAGACCCTGTAAAGGGTACCAGTAGTCCTGGTGGAAGATATGTGTACAACCGATCATCCCGGACGTTTCATATTGTTTGTTGATGTTTAAAAATGTCATGAGTCTACATATCTAGTAACCGGGTTGAAATCACTAGCCTTGGATGGCCTAAGTAGGAGATGTCAATCATGACATGGCATACTACGAATTCTATGACGAGCGGTTCAATGATGGCCGTGTGGGTCATTTTCGAGGTCTGCGCGGCTAGGGTCTGTTGTCTATACCTTGTTTGCTCGGATTGCAGAAACCGAGCAAAGATCCGAGTAATATCAAGGTACCTTTCGCTCGAACACACCTTAACAGGCTGTCCGTTCCTCACAATCTGCGCACCCCACCCCCGAGATTGAAAGAGATACATCGTTATCGTAAGTACTTTAAATTGATGATGGGTACCGAGTGACGATACCTTACAATTTGCTTCCCAACTCTCACCTCCACTACCACTGATGGCTCTAGAGCATGTTAGCTCCCAGCGGCTGCATTCAGAAACGAAGGCAGATGACTCAATCAAAGTCGATGTTGCCGACGACGTGGATTTTGTTGCTTACTACGAGCGGGCTTCTGGCCGTTTAGTAGTGGACCCCGAGTATGTGGTTGTTGCTCCCATATATCCTAAGTCTATCGTGACTGATTTGTGACTCACGAGACAGGCAAAGGTCGAGTTTGGGGAGGTAATGGCCTCTAGGCTCAAACTTAGCCCTGATGGGCTGAAGGTTCTCTGGCCTCAACCCGCTGACGACCCGAATGATCCACAAAACGCTCGTCATTTCTCATTGTCGTGTCCCTTTCACTAACACTAAGCTATTCATTCGTAGTGGACTGATTTCCGCAAGACTGTGCACCTGATCATCATTACAATGTCTGCAGTGGTACCTGACTTCGACTCTGGAATTGGTATGTATCCCGCCCTCGCTCACTATCCATAGTAGTGTCATCATGGAATACTTTCATTGGCAGGAACTGCGTCGATATTTGGCCTCGCTCAAACTTATGACACGACCTCGGGTGTCATCAATGATCTGACATCAAAGTGCGTGATGCATCAATCGTTACTCACATTCAACGACAATTCCCTGAAGCTGGAGCATCTTCCTTTTGGGTGAGATCACACCATTACATGAGAATAGCCTCTTCTCATCTGTAGTCCAGGTTGGGGAGGCATCTTCTGGGTCATGCTTATGAGACGGTATGGTCGACTGCCAGTACTCTTCTGGAGTCAGGTATATATCTCTAGCGATTTAGCTGATATGAACCCTGAAACCTTGAGTGCAGCTTTTTGCGTTTGCATTCTTGATTGGTGCCACATTGGCGCCGAATCTAGCCACCTTTGCAGGTATTTACACAATAATTTGGTATTTATTGGACAATGTTAACTTTTGATGAAGGGATGCGCTGCTTGACCGCATTCTTTGGGCAGGTCGTTATGTTATCCATGCCTGCGGTAAACTGACTACGGTTTCAGAACGTGTCCCCAGGTGACAGTATGATTAGTGGCAATTCTCATGGTAGCTTCGACATTTACCAACCTCCAAGGGTCTTTATGTCGTTACGGATATCTTCCCCTTCCATCTTCAAGCACGGAAGCTGAACATTTGGACTTCGGGTTTCGTTCTGTCAGAAATGAATTCCTTTATTGGGAGAAACATTTCTCACTATCTCATAGATCGCCTTACCTATCACCATTTGTATTTGGCTTTCTTGTAGCGCGTGTGAGGTATGTCTTACATATGCTGTCCTTGATTCAGAGTACTCATCAATTGTTGGATAGCTGGAGATGGGCCTATGCTATAGGATCTATTTACAGCGCCGTCGTATTATTTCTCATTGTGTTTTTCATGGAAGAAACGTACGCTCTGTTATATTGTTTCTTAGGGCAGTGGCGTTGACTTTTGCTGAACCAGTATGTATGATCGTCACCTTGCATTGAAGCCACCGCAGATTTCTACGGGACTGCGATATCGATTTAAAACTTTGATAGGCGTCACTGGGTACAAGATGGCAAAATACAGACCACGATGGCCTGAAGTTGTATTGGCATCTTTGGATGTTGTTTGGCGTCCTCAGTTTTTCTTCGTAGTTCTCTTTGAGGTGAGATGAATTGCATTGCTGACAATACTTAGTACATTTGCTGACCTTTTTGAAAGGCATTGGTTTTCGGGTTCTCGATCGGTGTGAACGTGAGCGTTTCCGTTTCGACCTGCAGTGATAAACTGATCGACTTTTGTAGGGGACAAATGTTATCTTTATGAAATCTCCTCCTCCCGTCGGATTTGGCTTCAGCCAATATGCCGTGGCTGGAGCGTATGCGACTCCAATCGCAAGTTTTTTTCCATCTATGAAGTATGCATGATTACTGTTCTCAGAATGGAATTTTTAGGTCGCTGTCCTTCTTGGCGAGTTCATTGGACGTTATGTCAATGAATTCATTATGGATCTGCATATTCGCAAAAACGGTGGTTTCTTTGAGGCCGAGAGCCGCTTGTGGTATGCGAACTCAACTGATGGTCTAAGGTTAGAGCTGAGAATTTGTGTAGGACCTGTTACTTAGCCATGCCGCTTTATATCTGTGGCTTTTTGACGCTGGGTGCTGGGATACAAAATCGCAGCGAAGCCGCTCTCATCATGGGCTGGGGCATTGCGATCGTTGCAATCACCCTCAACACTGTTGTAGTGTGTAAGTCTCGGATCCAATATTTCAAGTGTCGTGGGATAACTCAAGGAGCATTAATGTAGACGCATATTGTAATGATTGCTTCCCTCGTAGGGCGGTGGGTGACACATATATACTTATTTGCATTTCAGTGATATGACCTCCCCTTCTAGGGCGAAGTCAGTGCCCTGCTAAACCTTTCAAGAGCATTGGGCGGTGAGTTACAATGATGCATGATTTGTCCAACATTCACGATTGTGGCCTAGGTTTCGCAATCGCATATTTCCAAGTCCCATGGGCTACAAAATCTGGAGGATTGATGGTGTTTGGTGTTGAAGCAGCGCAAGTGATATCGCTTGACACACTCGAAGAGTCTGACGGTTGTTATAGGCTTGTGATTGGCATGTTTTTCATCGCCGTTCCTATGACACAATTGAAGGGAAGCTACTTCCGAGTAAGTGCGGTTCTTTTCATCTGTGTTACAGCTTTGAATTTGTACATCAAATTTAGGCACGTTATGCCTTATAATTGGTATTGACTTCAGAACCAGAAGAATCATTCAGAGTTAGACACGTATGCTTCCTATTCACTTTGTTATAAGATCAAGTATGTACCTGCGAGCGTCTACAATGTTATGTTTTGGTGTATGCTGTAAATTACCTCCAACATACCCTTTCGCGAGATCGGTTGCAATGTAAAATTGTCAATATCTATGAGTAGGCAATGGCATGGGTAACCTGTGGGTATCCACAAGCTTACCTGTACCCATACCCACCACTTACCCGCACCCGCGGCCCAAGGGTATGCTTGTGTATGTGTGTGCTTGCACCAATATTGCAGTTTCACTCCACAGCGGTGATGAACTATGTTACAACGCGCTCAATAGTGTCACAGTGTGCCCGTACCCACCTTGGACAACCGCAAGCAAGAGCCTCGTCAATCCTCGGATGTATTTGGAGGACTTGACCCACCTGTGTACATGTGGATGTGCTGATGAAATACAGAAGACGAGGGTTCAGAGTGACTACTGATACTTTCCATTTGGGAGAGCATATATGCGAGACAGGGGAACGGAGCAGGAAGAAAATCGGATATTATCCACATCATATGCGCAGCACGGCCGATAACAACGTTCTCGTATGGGACTTCTGCCCCATTCAGATCTGGGAGACACGATGATTACATGCCAAAATATACCGATCATGGTTTGGTGCCTCGGAGGACACAAATTTAGGGAGACAAGAACGAGACAATTGCCTATATGTTGATATCAGCATAACAAGATAAAGAAAGACACGTAGCTATTCACAGTGTAAATGAGAAAGGTTTCTGTTTTGGAGCAGCTTTTGGATGTGGAGACAAGTGACATGGAAATGGGAGAGTCCTGGGATGCCCAGCGGGCCGTTGTATCTGAGTTGGAGACAAACAAGTACAACTTCAAGTTGCAGCTTGTTGGCATTTGCAATTCGAGAGGGAACATACCGCTTGTTACCAACCATAATGTCATTCAGCGATCAGGGGATACAGAACGCTTCAGATACACATCATTTTCCCTCTTACGACCACCGTATAGGAACGTGCACCACCCCAACCGAGTTTGCACAACGAATGGTGACCTCCAAGTCGTGCTTGAGAACCCATTGTTTCGAACGCTGACTCAACCCAAATATTCTGTTCTTGTCCGTTTATTTCAGGACACGTCCGATGCTGCTGGATTGGCGCTCATAATCCAAATGGAAAGAATGCGCGTGGCGGAAGTTATAGCTGCCAGAGACACCGTTGTCGAACGCCTCGAAGACGCTTACGTATCTGTTCGGCAAAAGTCAGCAACGATCGATCGACTTCAGCGTGAGCTAGACGATCTGAGGCGCCCTTCTACCCCTGCGACATCTGTTACGAGGGATGATGATTCATCTACGCAGCCTCCGGTGCAAGACATTGCCACATTCGATACTCCACAACTAGCTCCGAGAGAAGGGGACCGTAATTGTCAGAATACATCCGCTCAGGTCTTGCCTTGGCAGGTGCCTCTTGTACGACGGAGTATTTTGACTGGCGCGGAGCTCAATCGATGACTTATATTTTTTTTCCAGAACACTCCGAACAGACCTGGATCCACAGGCCTGCCTCCCACGCCGCCACTGGATTCCCGCCCAGGAAGCCGGTGTGATTCCAATTTTTTCAGTCCATCTTTTCAATCAAATCATTGCGCACGTCTTAACAATTCTTTCGATTCGCACCGCTCTGAAACCGTCGACTTCGACCATCCGGTAAGCCAATATATGCGCTTTCTCCTGCCGAGTCGAGGGAATTTGATGTTCAGAATATTGCCGAACCACTTCCGCTTGGCGATGGACCTGAGAAATTGATTCTCGCAAGACAAGCATTTCTTGCGACGCTTCCCCTCCCTGCTGACATCCCAGACGATGCTCTAAACCCAATTGTCATTCCTCAGCCATACACCCTGCATGAATTCTTGGGCAATACTTCTGGTGTCAGTGCCCTGTATATATCTACATGGAAGTTTATTCACGTCTCCTACAGACTCTCAAAAGCTCGTAAGAAAGTATAGAGTTTACACGAAGTTCACGGGCAATGAATGTCTTTTCCTAGCCTGTCAAACTATCGTGTCCTTGGCCAACCGACAACATACTGGTGCCCAGAGCGCGAAGAACATGGATATTTGCTTACCCCCGTTTTCAAGTGTAGCACCAATCCCCGAGTAACAACAGCACACCGATGGACTGTGGCAGATGTGATCGGCACCATGGACAGGCCTACTGGTTTGTTGTGTCTCATTTAATTTGGTTTTGTTGATGTCGCTCTCATTTTGGTTAGAGTGCTTCTACAACAAGGACGGGAAGTGGTACTACGCTGGCGTATACAAGGCTTTTCGCATGGACGATCTAACCACGGAAGAGTGGGAGGCTCTTTCAATCGAGGTGAAGCAAGATAATTTTGCACTATTTCTATCATCATGACTTGGACCTAGACGACGCAAACTCTTATCAAGGAGACTCTAGCTGGCCGAAAGAACCTCTCGCCCCAAAACCTCTACGAGACTGGACAGTTGTATGCTGCTAGTGCCCTTCGTGTTGCGTGTATCGGACTGCAGTGTGTAGGATTCAGCTCTGCGATGTATCGCGCGGTCTTGGAACAAGCAGCTCTAGGGAAATGGCGCGGAATAGGCTGGCCGGTACCCACCACGAAATCGTCCAGTGACACAACAATTGAAGGCGATGGAATACCTGGACCTTGAACTTGCTTGGTTTTGCATCGAGGACTCTTTGCAACTTTGGAATCATACCCCGTTCTGGCTGTTCCGCTTGGTTTGATCATGGACATCAAGGACTTTATGGACAACTGGATTTGTACTGCAGCTGTAACAATCATGTTAAATACAAGATTCCATGGCAAAATGCGTGATGGAGAGGTGTATGAACATGTGCAGTGATAAATCATAGTTTAACCTGCGGTGCAATCCCTTGACTTGATAATGTTGCACCACCGTCCAAAAGAATATGTGCGCCTGTGACATGCGCACTGGCGGGGGACGTAAGGAAGAGCGCGAGACCAGCGAGGTCCGAAGGGCGGCCAACACGACCCATTGGTTGTTGAGATAAGATTTTTTTGTCGCCTGCGTTCTTGAATCCGAAGGCCGTCATCTTTGTGGGAAATATCCTGTCGATGGAATAAGCTGGGATTCAAGTGATAGTGTGTTAGGAACATACCCAGGGCAGATCGCGTTAACACTACAAACGAAGAAATCAGGAGTAGACAGTATAAACTGAAGTTGCTACATACGTGATTTTCTGTGGTCCCAACTTGACGGCCAGTATTGATGTCAGATGATTCACTACGAAGACTTTCAGTGTAGCCCTACACAACCTCGTCGACAGATATTTTCTTACCTGCGGCCTTACTGACATTGTCTTGAAGAGAACAAGATAGCATCAGGCTCATCATGGGGCATGACACAATGACGCACAACTCCATGTCCCATTTCCATCTGCGCTAACCAGGCCTTCTGAATGAGGTGTCACACTCGCAGTTGACGAAATATTAACCACGCGGCCAGGATCAAGTGCGCTCGCATCCTTTGCAAGCCATGTTGACAACCTACTAGCTCGTAAGTTTCTAAACTATAAGGTACGTGAATAATGCTTACCCGGATGTCACTTGGCATACCGAAACTCAATAATGACTACCGAAAGACAAGGTTTCACTCACAGTAAAACAAGCTCTTGACGTTCACAGCCATGACATGATCCCACCCCTTGTCTTCTGGAAAGTTTTCGAAGGACGCTCCCCACGAGACGCCTGAATTATTCACAAGGATGTGTAATCTCTTCGCAGGCTCTCGGGCCTCGAGAGCGGATATCAGAGCGTCTGTACCAGCTTTCGACTTGGTGTCATGAGTGAGTACAGCAAGTTGATAGTTTCCCGGGACGTCTACATACGCTGAGGTTTGCTACGATGTAGTCTGCGGAACCAGGGCCTTTTGCATTAAGCTCAGCCACTGCCTATGGGTTGTTGGAACTTTGACTGCGCTTGGGAAACTGATGCACGCACCTCCTTCAATTGGGATTCCTTCCTAGCAGCAATATAGACCTTTGCACCATTCTGTACGAGTGCCGAGGCAATGGTCTTTCCAATACCAGTACCGCCGCCTGTGACGAGGGCTGATGGAACAACGGTTAATAACCCATCATGGAACGTGGCACTGCCATGATACGTACCGATCTTGCCCTTCACATTGAACAGCGACTGAACAGAAAGATCTGGAATGCGACGAGCGCTCAAGATCAGAATTTCGCAAATATTTCAGAAAATATCGAGTACCGGGTGTGGACATGTTGTTTGTGAGGCCTGAAGCTGACGGAACCAGTCTTAAGCCATGGGGAGAAACACAGATTTCGGCAAGAGAACCGGATATCTAGTGGCCGAATACCGGAGAACTAGTCTCGTGAACCAGCCGCCTTGTCTACACTTTAAAGCTCCGCATATACCAAAAACGGTACCGCGTTGTGCTCCTACTAGTCACTAGTGTAGCTCATAAACGCATCGTGTCCTGCAAATCATACCAGACACAAGGAACGAGGACAGGCTGGTATGTGTGTTTTGAAGTGACACATATGATCTCAACATCAATTACGACAAAAATGTCGAAAGTTTTGGTCCGGCATTTAATGGTGTTCACCTAGTAATCGCAACGTAATCATAATGGTGGTCATAATGATTCCAAGGCACGTCTATAGAATGCGGGGCATTAATAAAGAAATCACTGACAAAAGTTGAACGTTGAGAAGTTGATGCTCATTCTCTATGTATTTGGTCGACATCATCAGTATTATAATTTGTGCTATATATGGCATATGTATCCTGGAGCAACTTCAACGTGGGCAACACTGTCTTGGGCCACGAAATCAAGAATTCTCGCCCCAGCGGAGATTACTTAGTAATTCAGGCAAGAGGCTCTACCACTTTGGATCATTGCACTCATCCCGCAGTTCCGTGGCGTCATGCTTATGAGATATTTTCATCCACATTAACAATCAGCGGACCAGGTATTTGATAACATGATGTGTCAGCCAAACGGCTTCCCCGAACATAAATAAGGACGATACAACTTACTCGTGATACCAAGGACACTTTCATTCCGCATTTCATCCAGCACAGACGGACTAACCATGGCCTCTGACACTGTCGGCGTTTTCAACTACATGTTGGCTCCATCTGACGGCTCTCGGCCTTACAATACCATTAACTCAGATAGCACCACCGGAAAGCCAGTCCGCAACTGGGTCGAGGACACGCATGATATACGAATTGAGGATGTGCGCGGGAAGGAGGAGCTTTATAAGCTCGACATTGCTGGGTTTCAGTATGGGCAAGAAGCGGCGAAACATACCAGCTTCTTGAATGATGATGAGGTTGAGCGCGAATATTACCCCGAGAGCATCGACCTTATCAAGAGGGTCACGGGAGCAACCAGCATTGTTATCTTCGATCATAGTACGTTGATCATTATCAATTTGAACGACGTCTTCATTTCCAATTCGTGTCACAGCTATTCGTCGCCGTCGCCCAGGTGAGGTAGATGATAGCCCACAGAAACGTCAACCAGTTCAGCTGGTTCATGTGGACCAAACGACTGCATCGTCCATTGCTCGTGTTCACAGGCATCTCCCGCCAACAGAAGCTCCTTCCCTCCTTCGAAGACGCTTCCAGATCATTAACCTTTGGCGTCCTATATCACATGCAGCTGTAGATTGGCCGCTTGCACTATGTGACTTCCGCAGTGTCGATTACGAGAAAGACTTGGTGCCTGTCGCTCTTGTATACCCTGACCGCGAGGGTGAGACATTTGGAGTCCAATACAACCCAAACCACCGGTGGAAATACATGAAGGCGATGACCCCAGAAGAGTTTGTTCTTATCAAATGGTGAGTGAAGTCACTCGGGGAAGATTGTTGTCGTGCTAAAAGGGTTTTAGCTTTGACTCGGTACAAGATGGCAGTGTCGCGAGGCTTACGCCTCATACTGGCTTCCAAGACCCGAACACTCCAGAGGGAGCGCCGCTTCGGGAATCCATCGAGCTGAGGGCTCTGGTATTCTATGATTAGATGGCGTTTTTTCGGGTGACGTTAAGAGTTAACAAAGAAGTCGTACCCCTTTTGTTGCTGTATTTACAAACCACCTTTCTTTCGCCATGGTACGATAGATTTTAGACAATCAATGGGGCGAATACACAGATGTCTCGCGCGTAAGGCGGGGGGTTAATAATAAATATATTCCGGCAAAAGCCGGGCTACTTTACGCGTATCATACTATCACTCATTTCAACGAGCTCACGCCCGTTGTGCCTTCGGCACAAATCGAAGGAGCGCTACGCGCTCCTTCAGGGGAGAAAAATGAGTGTTGTTCCTTCGTCACAGGAAGCCAAGGAGGGCTACGCCCTCCTTTGGCTTCCTGGCCTCAGGCTGCATCCTAATAAATTGTGCATTTTGAATGATTTTGAAATATATTTATGAGCAGCTTTTCAAAGAACTCAAAAGTACAATCTATCACACCACATAAAAGTACATAAGATCAGTCAGTGCTATGTTCTTTGAGCAGGATTTTGACCAATGTAAAAAATACCAAATATGTAACAGTATCATTGAATGTATTTGTTTTCCCATTTTCCCCTGCCTCCCATCTAGGGATCAGCAGGGGTATGGGAAACTTGAGGGTAGGGGTAGGGGTTTGGATCTGAAGACCCCTGTACCCCTGGAAATATATCCCCAAATTGATTACCATAGGAGTGATGGATAAGTATAAAATTTTGAAGTTGTACATTTGCCTTCAAATGGTAATATATGTGATTGGAAAAAGTGTTACCATGGGGTATACCCATGCTAATCCCTACTCCCTGCTCCCTGCTCCCTGCTCCCTGCTCCCTGCTCCCTGCTCCCTGCTCCCTGCTCCCTGCTCCCTGCTCCCTACTCCCTACTCCCGTCTCCCGTCTCCCTACTCCCATCTCCCGTCTCCCTACTCCCGTCTCCCGTCTCCCTACTCCCGTCTCCCGTCTCCCGTCTCCCGTCTCCCGTCTCCCGTCTCCCGTCTCCCGTCTCCCGTCTCCCGTCTCCCGTCTCCCGTCTCCCGTCTCCCGTCTCCCGTCTCCCGTCTCCCGTCTCCCGTCTCCCGTCTCCCGTCTCCCGTCTCCCGTCTCCCGTCTCCCGTCTCCCGTCTCCCGTCTCCCGTCTCCCGTCTCCCGTCTCCCGTCTCCCTTCTCCTGTCTCCCTTCTCCTGTCTCCTGTCTCCCGTCTCCCATCTCCCATCTCCCATCTCCCATCTCCCATCTTCCCAATCTCTCTGTTTCCCATCTCCCGACCTCCTGATCTCTCTGTTTCCCATCTCCCGACCTCCTGATCTCTCTGTTTCCCATCTCCCATCCTCCCGATCTCCCTGTTTCCCTGTTTCCCATTTTCCCATCCTCCCCATCTTCTGTTCTCCTATCTCCTCCCATTCTCCCTGTTTCCCATTCCCAATTTTCCTGTCTCCTCACTATCTCCTGTTCTCCAGTTGTCAAGTCTCTACTTTCTCTATTTTTTATTTATTTTTTCACAACCTTTTCTCATTCATTTCCTGTCACCACATATATTTGTTGTCCCCCTGTCTGCAAAATTATATCATGTTGTTCCATTTTCAATTTTATTATTTACTGTATGCATGTAACATAAACAATTACATTACAATAAGGAAAATACTTGTATTGCGTAGTGCGCTGCTCTAATGGGCAAGTGAGTCGGCGCTCGAAAGCCACGCGAGAAAACCACGCGAGATTTCCAAAAACAGGTTTAAGCGAGGTAAGCGAAATACGCGAAATACGCGAAAGCCACGCGAGCGCGCGAACGTTTCCGAAAACCGTCGTACTTTACTTCTTAGATGGCTACTGCTCAGCGAACACTTTGATTATCCTCGGCTTACTTTTTCGAATTACGTCTCGTGCATAACGACAAACGACTACGCATTGTTTACATAGCTGGAACTGAGAGATGATCTGAGCCGTGAGTGCATGGTCCAGGTAATGCTCACCGATCCTTGATCCATCATCTACTACAGAATCAGCCGAGAATCTCTGAGACACTTTGGGTTATCCACCAAGATGAGATCCAAGTGCTTGAAGTTGACAAGAACGAAGTTCTTTCTACTTCAGGATGTGACAGGAAGGCCTCCGCATTGCAGAGAACGTGAGCGTTGAATTTGTGGCGGCGGGTATGTGGTCAACATCTTTACACGCTGACGCCCGCAGGAAGCATATGGTAGCCGCATTTTGGGGAGCAGCCTGGTGGAGGGAGTCGATGCGTCGTGTTAGGTCTTGCTCAGCCTAGTGCGCTAGTGCATCTGGATGTTGTATTTGAGTCGCTTTCAACTCGGAAGTAGGTCTACTTATACTACTTGTTCCAATGAAGGCGCGCTGATGATTATTCTTGTTTACAGCTATATTACTCACCTCTGGTGGTCTCGAACAATTCATTTCCATCACGGCAGCTGCGTTAGCATGTGCAGTAATTCGGGCGATCGGGTCATATACAAATAAGTCTACGTTCTGCCTCGAGTGTTCTTCTGGATTCTATATCTGTAGGGTGACAACCATATTTTGCCATTCGACGACTTGAACTAACACTATTGTCGTATCTTGGGCTTGGCTCGCCACTTGGTTAGTCTTGGTCTCCTACTCCACCTTTCGCCTGGGGTCCCTAACTTCTCGCTAAAAAGGTTTTGACGCCACGCCATAGCTGCGGCGGAGTCTGGCGATCAGATTTGAGTTGTAATTGCGTCCGTCCTGTTCTGATCGTGGAGTTTACCATAGTTCTATCACAGGGCACAGGCTGAACGCTGGCTGGTGACTCGTGTGCATCGTTACAATTACCCGTCGCAGTTGGGCCCCCTGTCGACTTTCTGACCTTTCACAGACTGTGCCCAATCTCCCGCGCAACATAGCATTATATGGGTTGCGAGTTGTGGATTTTCTTTGCACCCGTACTGCGGTTTTTCACACACGATGGGATGTCAGGGCTGCGAGAGGCCTGCGTTCATAATCGGCCATCAAGGCATGCACGAACCGCTGGCCGACGATGACACATCTACGCTGTATGTGCGTCCGGCAGTGAGAAAAAAAGAAACTACGCACCTAGAAGAGAACACTGCGTCGTTACAGCACAGATCTGTGATCGATCAAAAATACTGCCACTGCACAGCTAGCCAGATCTTGCACCAAAACCAAAATTCTCGCTATAGGATAGGCGGCGGGGACTTGGTGGCTCTGGGAGTTGCCTTTTTCACTCACAGCAAATGCTCTGTCTCCGCTCGCTGACTTACAAGCATGGGTTGCCCTACCGCCATCAACGAAGAATATATTCTGAAGATCGCTGACAAGGAGTTGTCCTGGAATTAGTGTTTGCTTTCAAACTTCCATCCTCTGGTTCTGAGCTTCGCGTCGGTGGTGTGAAATCTGTTAGTTCACGTACGCTCGTCATCCGGGACTCGTTGATCTTGGGCACTCCGTCCCAACTTGAATAGCTCTACGCAGCCACGGATGCGACAGAAGTAGAACATGGCGTATACGTGTAAGCTCTAGATCTTTCATTTTTACATTTGTCTGAACGTTGTTTTAAGTACCGCATAATGTTAGCTTCATGAGAGATTACTCTTAGGGGAAGCCGACTCGGATTCTGCTTTCCACAGAGAGGATCAATCTTGGCCCTATTGATCCATCAAGCAACACTTTCTATTGGTACTATCTACACCAGTGATAGCCTTGACGGATGATCTTAGCTGGTCTAGAGCTGGTCTCGCTGTCTTATCTTCAGATCAATTTCAATGGATTCTTGGCGACGTCTTCATAGGACGCATGTTCACCATCTTTGATGTCGGACAGACCAGAGTTGGCTTTGCGAACCTTACATGAGCTGCGGTAACAGTTGCCTGACTGACAGAAATCGCACTTTAGCAGGACATTGTAGCTTCTGTGGACATTGCTTGGGACTGTGGTGTTTACGAAACCGATGACATTTACAATTCAGACTTGGAGAGGACTTCTCTTCGTATATTACGTTAAATCAGTAAGCCAGTACCACGACCCACGAATATAAGACTCTCGTCACCATTGATTTAGTCATTCTGCCTGACCTTGAATGCCATTAGTTGACGGTCATATATCGTGCACCCCACGCCTCCTGCGATAATGAATTACCATTGTATCGCATCAATTAATTTCCAATGCATCACCTCAGCTTTTGAACCGATCTCAGAGGCTCAATGCGTAGTAGCACCAGAATTCAGCGCCCAGCCTGGCTTTTGCGAACGTGTGGTGCGCATGCAACCGCGTGATTTTTGATACCACGTGGATTTAAATTTGCCTGGTTAGGCGGTGGCGGCGATCACATCACGAGCACATTTTCTGTTTGTCCCCCCAACATGTGTACCGCCTGGGATGGCAGCCTACTATCTCGCGAGTGTCTGAAACATCAGGTACGCAGCGAACGCCTACTAGGACTTACTGGGCATACTGAAAGTCAATGGTCACCACCGAAGGATGGCAGGAGCTTTCGTAGTAGACCAATTCTTCACGTCGGGGATTACGACTCGCGAGCATGTGCATATGGGCAATTTCCTCCACAGTCTTGCGGGTCTCCAGAATGAATATCAGAGCGCCAGCACTGGTTTTTGACTTAGGTATCGTGAGTGCGTACAATAAACACGGGTCATTCACATACGCTGGGGTTTGCTCCGCGGATGTTTGGCGTCCATTGTCTATTGATTGTCAAAGTTTTCCTGATGTGCAGCTCCTTCGGTGGGGTTCTTTCCTGGGAACGGTATGGATCTTTGCGCCGTTCTTTACGAGTGCTGAGGTTGTGCTGAGGCAAAGGTATCCGGGAATCGGCGAGAAGTGATTCTACTAGAGAATGCGCTCTCATACTAGTCACAGAGCAACCGAACACTGGCCGGACAATGTCCGCCAATTAGCAAACACGGGAAAGAAGACTTCGCTCAGTAGTTTTGGTTCAACGTTCAACGCTGCGACCAGAATTGTACGCAAGACCTTTCGGCTATTAGTAGGTTTGGTCACAAGGCTGGTTCATTTTTCATTTACACGAAAAGCCAGGCCAAGTTCGGTAGTTACAGGTCGGTAGTTGCGTGGCTCAGTGATACTACATAGCCGTCCGCGTGGTTACGGCCTCTTTTTGCCAGTGGTGTATTTGCAGTATGCACGTTGCACACTCATTATAATGGGCCATCTGTGAGGTGAGAACCTCCATTGGATATATCCTTTTTCTTCCACTGCAATGCGTGCTTTATCAGTGTTCTTAATCGCTGCCTTACAGGTGTTGGCGATTACTTTGCCGCAGCCACAACATCTTTCAATACCATTAACAAAGAGATCTACTCTCAGGACCGCTGATGGACATGGTTCTGTTGACCCTACTTCAATTATGGCTCATATTAGCAGCACAGTGGTGTGGGTGATCGTTCTTGTTCAGTGTTGTTCCCCACTGATCAGCTATTCAGCAAGTTACAGCGGGGCGCTGCTGCATTCGAGAGAAACACTGGCGCAGTTCTCTTCTCCGAGTCCTCATCGCTAACAAAGCGTGTAGCAGCGTCCGGTTCTGACCCGCTGGCTGACGACTCAAACGAGCGTTGGTATGGACACATCGAAGTCGGCACTCCGCCGTTTACATTTACCAGTTTGCATTTCCGACTTGATCGCACTATGCATGACGTACTGATGCGGGCACCCCCAGTTGATTGCGACACTGGTTCGACGGACTTCTTTCTACCTGGACCAAGCTGCGGGGACTCGTGTAGCGGACATGACGTTTACAATCCCAACAGTAGTTCGTCTGCTGAGCCCCTTGGTAAGACTTTCATGGTGGAGTACGGCGATGGTTCTATGGCTACAGGCGATCTATACACGGACACCGTGTCACTTGCTGGCTGCAATGTGCGTAGTGTTCTTGTTGTCTTTCATTTTCATTTTTGAAGTATGTTGCAGGCCAATGCACAAACGCTTGGCGTTGCCTCGTTGTATTCATATGGGTTCTCGTCGGAGAACTTTGGTGCGGATGGGCTGATGGGAATGGCTTTCGAGTCCATTTCGGCATATGGCGCAAACTCCGTTTTCCAGACGTTGGTTTCACAAGGAGCTGTCCCAGAACCAGTGTTTGCTTTCAAACTTGCATCCTCTGGTTCTGAGCTTTACGTTGGTGGCGTGAACTCTGCGCTATATCGTGATCCGTTCACGTACACTCCGGTAACTAAACAGGTGAGCGCTAGCCATCAGCTGCAAATCGTAAACTACGTTGCTCAGACATCATGATTATTTGTGTATTTGCCAGGGTTACTGGCAGGTCACTGGTGATGCCATCGCGATCAATGGGAAACAAATCGTCAATGAATTCTCTGCGATTATTGACACTGGGACCACGTTGATTTTGGGCGATACGACCTACGTCAGTCAGCTCTATGCAGTCATCAATGCGACAGAAGTAGGTGGAGGTGTATACTCGCGTAAGCATTCTAACAGCTTCATCGTTGTGTTTGTCTGAACGTTGGTTCAAGTACCATGTGACGCCATGCCAAATGTGACCATCACCCTTGGCGGGAAGTCATTTGCGATTTCCGCAGAGACCTTCAATTTTGGCACGTACGGTTCTTCAGGAAACACCTGCCTTGGTGGTATCGCAGGTGGTGATGGTCTTGGAGGTCGGTCTTGAGTTGTTTAGGGCTCACCTCACTGACATGTTTTCAGATGTATGGGTCCTTGGTGACGTTTTCATGAGAAACGTGTACACCGCCTTTGATGTTGGAAACTCCAGAGTTGGCTTCGCGGACCTTGCATGAGCTTCAATAACGCCTGTCTGATACCGCCAATTAAAACCACACTCGAACATTGTAGCTTCTTTGGACACTGCTTTGGACTAGGATATTGCCGAAACTGACGTTTACGATTGGGACTTAACAAGGACTTCTTCTTGGACTGTTGCCGCATTATTTAATATCAATATGTAATATCAGTATCACGAAAACATGTATATAATTCTTGTTACATATTGTTCTATACATGTTCTAGTGCCTGATCTTGTGAACACAACCATGTCGACACCCTCAACCAAGACTCTTGACCACATCGTGCATCTCACACCTCCTGGCTCAGTGGATGAGGTATCACGACAATTCCGTGAACTTGGCTTCCAGTGCGTCACCTTCCAAGTTTTGAAAATATCTCAGGGCAAATTCGATGTGTAGTGTCCTCCAGGTGGTACACACGCTGGGGGACTGACACAAAATGCGCTCGTGGTATGATCGCCTAACTTGAAGTATGTATCGGAATTCCATGTACTAACATTTTGGGCACAGGTACTGCAAGACGGCGCATACCTTGAACTCATTTCTTTCACGCACCCAGCGTCGCATTACCCACCAGGATCACCTGAGCGCCAGAAACGGGATGCCGATCCCTGGGCATGGAAAGAACCTGGTTGGATTGACTATGCGTTCCTCGGGTCTTCCAACACATCAATATCAAAGCTTATAAACGCCCGAGCCAAGAAGGATAAGAGTGGGATTCGATATGATCCAGAAGTTGATGGAGGAAGAGAGCGCAGCGATGGCAAGGTATTAAAGTGGCGGATCTCTGCACCATCACAGGATGCTGGCAGAGGAGTTGCCCCATTCTTCTGCGGAGATGTCACACCAAGGGAATGGAGGGTATGTGTCTCGTTTGATACTTATCCGAGGGTATCTCAGATCAGGGTCTTTCAAGGTCCCACTCGATCCCCCTTCGAATGCAGAACATCCGTCAGGAGTACTCGGGATCGCATACGTCCGAATTTTGGTGGAGGATGACGATTTGTCGGACGTGACAGCGGATATGACGTCGGTCATCGGCAGATCACCTGTGTATCACACATCGCGAAGAGTAACTTGGGTACTTGACACGCCTAGCACAGATGTCGCTGGAGGAAGACCCCGACTCATCATCAGTGTGCCAGAGACAGAGGGCGAACGCTGGACGTTGGAAGGAAGGGGTGAGGGTATTTATGAGGTTGCGTTTCTCGTTAGTTCAGGAATGAAGGCGGGGCAATCCTGGACGCCGTATGGAAAAATTGTTTGGCTAAAGGGGTAGTGTGGTGGCATAGAATATGGAGGATGTACGAGAATATCTGGGATCAGGGTCGAGGAGAAACAGCTGTGTGTGTATATAAAGCTAGTCACCATAGTTGAACGATAATTTTGATCATGGTAATGCGAAGGGCGCAGTGTTGAGGAGTATTGGAACTGGCCTGAATGCCAATGCGACACGCTTGCATTCAAGGAACTTCTCGACAATGTTCACGTCTGAGATCTGAGATCTGAATCCCAAAACGCTATATATTGTAGGAACGACATGGTATGAGCTAAAATAAAAAAAAGGCCATGAAAGACGAGCTATAGGGGGTTTCACGAGTTGGGCGGACGTCTATCGAAGCGCTTGGGCTACCTTATCTAGCCCGGCATCTATTCTAGGCCGATCCAAGAAGGTATTTTCGGCGCGCACTACGTCATCAAAGCATGACTGACTCCATCCCACCCAATGCAACACTGAATCAAAATCAAAATGCTTACTGTGCTCCCGCATTACGTGCAACACTTGGACCGAGCGCGTCAACATCAAAGCTCAGGTGATCAACGTAGTCGAAACCACGCTGCAGATGTCTACATCACCGAGTCAGCAGCTGCGCCCGTCCCTATGAAAAACTCAACGCACCAATCAACTTCGGAGACACCACAGGGTTCACTTCCGAGATATAGCCTTGTCGCTGTCCACCGTTTACACGACCTTCACCGTCACGTTGCGAAATTCGAGGAACAGGTACCAATCCGCCTACAAGATCAGCCTCAGACTAGGAATGAAGATAAACACTGAATATCTCGTACCCCAATGAGGCAAAAGTGCGTGAGCGTAAAGATAGCAGGACCCTTTGTAAGGTAAGACAGTATGGTCACAGTGAAGTTCTGGTAGTAACCATAAGCATAAGGAGGCCCATGGCTCTCAGGTGTCCAAGGGCCTGCATAGAGAACAAATCCTAGACCGTCTGCAGGGTCGGGCCACAAACCGTTCTCGCAGTCATCGATTCCTAAGGCAATGCCAACCTGAACGGTAGATGCCACAGATTCCTAGGATCGATGCTGTCAGAGTGACGCGTGATGCTGAGAAGCGAACCAACTACCCACCGGTTGAATAACCTCGTGGTCGCTTCCTGACCGGGGCAGAAGTTGTCCCCATTCTGAGGGAAGCCTAGTTCGATCGTCTGAGCCAAGGTAGCGGATATCCCTGCAGCAAAGACAGCTATCCACTTGAAGAGCATGTTAACGAGAAGTTGGCTTTGAGGGTTTTCAAATGCGGTTTCTAGGTTTTGTTTGTATGCCAAATAAGTTGGGCAACTTTATACCCAAGGTGGCATTGTCTACAGTGGAATTGAGTTTCAAATGATGCGTACACCGCGTCACGCGTGAAATCATGGGACAGCTTGAGGGAGAACAGTAACCAGAGTGAGCGTAAATGTTTAATCTACACGTGCGGGTACCTATGTTGGTCAGAGTCCGAGGCTGTTGCGGTAGAATTCAATGCCGTATGGCTGAATTTGTGATAAGTTCACCTACTAGAATGTACAGCGTAGTCGGATGTATCGGACCTGCCTTGGCCTGAAATACAGATGGTCAACACCAAGGATGTTGAGTACGGTCCTTTGGGCCTGTCATTCTAGCTATAGTGAACGGAAAACAAATTCAGCCATGCGAGATTGAATTCTACCCCAACGGCCTCGGATCCTGACTAACCTATGTACCCGCGAGCTCTGATGCTAATTCTAAAGCTGGATGAGTAGTCTCTCGGAAGATTGATACATCATACGAAGCAAGCACTTGAATCGCCTAGTAAACTGTTCAAGTGGTCGTGTCGGTCAACAGCACACAAAGCTCGCTGTCGGGTGTTTCCAAATTGGGAAGCCCAGGCCTGGGTCACCCTCGACCCAAAGGCCGGGTCCAACGCATCACTAGTACGGCTGCAAAGCTCGCCTTTGGTAATTATGTAAACGAAAGAGAGACAGATCTAATTCCTGTCACTGCCACAGCGGAATCATACAGCAGCAATTTGCAATGACGAAGTGGACTGTGCTCACTCCACTTTGGACTCGGCATGCAGGAACTTCGGAAGAGATGCAGAGACAACCAAGCATGTCAAACACAGCTATCAATGAGCATGTACTATATAAGGGTCTAAGTGAAATTGTAAGTTTCATCAAGATGGTTGATACAATATTCAAGCAACTCTTCCGATGTCATATTGTCCATTTCGTGAACACCACTCTTTTCCGGGGTGTCGGTAAACTGTTCCAACTGCTCGTCCGAAGCCGAATCGACAGGTCCTTCAAGACTCTTCTCGACTCGTGGTGCTTCCGAAGTCCGGTTCAGTCCGGTTCTTTGGGAAATTTTTCGAACGCCAAACCGAACCATAGGTTCAGTTCAGCCATTTGGTCGAACCCTGGACCGAACGTCACCGAACGCGTTCGGGAGGTCCGGTTCGCGTTCGAACCAGGTTCGACGAAGCTTGCAGATGATGGGCCACCTGTTTTGTTGTAGAGGTCTCTCAGGACCATGAGAGCTCCACCACACCCACTGTTCCCAACACCGCAAACGTCATGCGCAAACGCCCAGTGCACGTCAGCAACTGCTGACGTGGCTCAGACAAATGCGGACAACAGATGAGAGGAGGGAAGAAGGCGAGGAGGAGAATGAGGGAGAGGAGATGGATGAGACAAGACAAGCAGGAAGGGAGACGTCGAGAGCCAAAACGAATGAGCTATGCCAGCGCGTGGCACTGCAGGCACGTTTTCGCACTGCGGCAGGCAGCACCTGTAACGGACCTCGCCGTTGTTTTGGACCAGTTCCTGATGAAACAATTGTCAGTATGATAGCTAGCACTAAATACAAAATGGACTCACGAAATCGGGGTAGTCAACAAGGGGGTGAATTGTTTGCTTTTTTCGTGGGGGAGCATCATCGTCATCCAAGTCCACCGCCTTGCGCTTTCCGCGCTTGACAGCGCTCTCCTCAGCGTCAGCTACTGGTGCTTGTTCCTCCGGTCCTTGCTCCGAATGCGTGTGGTGGGAAGGTTGTGCCGAGGGGGGTGCGGAAGGATGTTGAAGCAGCGCAGCCGCTGGCGGTACACCCATACCCTGGAAGGCGGGGGGATACCCACCCAAATGGTGTGGATGAGGGGGAGGGGGAGGGACTAGGTTTGGCGGTCCGGGGACTTGGCCAGTTGCGTGTAAATATTGTTGATAACAATATACGTAGACCTCCGGGGGGTAAGGCCTGAACCGCGAGGGCACAAGTGGCGCATCATTGGGGGGTATGGCTGTTGGTACATGATTGGGGGGTAAGGATGAAACTCATGTTGAGGCGGGCCTTGGACTGGCACTTGGCCCGTTTGAATCGGCTGCTGGTACATATTGAATTATCTAGAATGGTTGAAATGAACGGTGTATGGCGCTGGGCTCCAGCCTGTGGCAGGACAAGGTGAGCGACAGAAGGTGAAGTACGTATACAAGAGTAACTCACAGTACACAAGTTAGATGGTAGATGCGGAAGGCAAAATGCGATGGATGTTGAACAGGAGGAAAGAGACGCAAGTTGCAGTATTTAAACTGTTGAAGCACACACCACTACTGGCGGATGAGCCCATTGTGCTTAGTCTTAACGCGTCCCTTTGTTGCGTTGTGGTCAACAAATTGTTACCCAGGGCCAAGCAACAAAGCAATGCATCCACTGACCTTGATTCCGACAATAGTACAACACGCGGGCCACCCGGATATTCCCCGACGCGACTGTGGATATGATTAAATGGGTATTTGTTCATAATCATTGAACATAGCACGTTAAAAGTTCCGAGTCAAATGGAGCGTCCTTCTACACTTTGTCTCTTCAAACTCCGACAAATCATCCATGCCTCCCTCCATTGATACACCTCGCATCTTCCACCGATAGTACTATATACTTGGGATGGCCGCTCTCCGGAACTTTATTCTCATCCTGCATTGATTCGTGCGACATATAAATATATCACCGTTCACCAGCACCCATAAGTCTTTTTTTATTAGTCGTCGCAACAGCTCACGTACGAGACATCACAGTACCCTTCAACGTTCCTGCAGAATATCTTCGAATTTCCCCGTTTCCCACAATCTATCAGATACTTCTTTCAAGTGATTATTTGCTTGCCCTAGGACTGTGATCCATGTCTGTATCTCGTTCGGTGCTTCACTCTGATGGTCGTGCTTAGCGAGGGTTCCAACAGGATATCGCAGTCGATGCCTCATCAGTAGTTTGATAGGTACGCTTGAGGTCTTCTGACCTGAACCTCCGATTTCCTTATTCCCCACTCATCACTCAGCAGACCCCATATCCTTGTCAGGCTCATTCGCTAGAGAGACGTACAGTCGAGCCATGAGTCTACATGATCCATTCATTTCATTCTCCGTGGCTCATCGCATAGAGGAAATCGCATCTTAGCGCTGAGCACCGCCGAGTTATCAGCTATCTGGCTTCACGATTCACAGTATCTATATGTCCAGACAGTGGAACACCAACGCGCAGAATCAACTGTCCAGGCACTTTTCCTGATTCTTGTTCATCAGTCATCAAGGACCAGTTTGGTTGCTAGTCGTTCCGGACAATTTCACCTTACCACGTAGTTCAAGCGCGAGTGCTTCATTCCAGTAGTGACACAATAATAAATAGCTTTGCCTGGACCTTTTAAATATACTTCGAAACACCATATGTTAAATGAATACCACGACGGATCCTACACCAAATTTCTCCTCCCTGCAGACCACTCGGCAAGCATTTCCCTACACAGTACTGCTAGTTGATACATGTACATGCTCCTGGAAAACAATAGAATTCATGCTAGTTTCTGCGTCGGAGTATGCCACGAGTTTCGCGTTGTATTCTCGAACGCTAAGAATAAGGCGTGGTCCCAGCACATATATCTGCACGACCAATAAAATTTGAACAGTACTAAGGAGTATCTGAGCTCCAATAGAAGTCGAATTCTATAGAACTGATTAGCAGTGATTACACGCAGATGTTGGCGACAGGTCAGCGCACCGCGATTTCTGGAGAGAATTGAGCAAGCTGGATGCAAGAGACACCAACAAAGCTAACATGTGCAGAACTTGAGCAGAAAAATATAACCACGTTCACATTACAAGCTCACCTTGCAAAATAAAGAACGTGAAATTGTATCAGCACTCTGAAACAGTCCCCGATGGTCGATCCTGTCGATGAGCCAAGTCGATGCAGCTCACGGAAGCGTTTCACAGCGACCCACACTGAAAGGCACAGTGCGAGGACCTCCCAGACAGTGCTGAGCACCCAAATGATCGCAAACAGGAGCTGCCTGTCCTCTCCATATTTCGGATAGCCGCACAGATGTAAACCAGAGAATATGAACTCCTCTGGTGTTTGTCCAATGAGCCGTGTTCTTCAAGTCGACAAGTAAAGCTTACCTATTACAGTATCGTTGAGTGCCATTGCCGTGAGTACTCCGCAGGCGATGTTTACAGCCAGGAAGATAATAACAAGGAACATAAGCATCGTTCTAGATCCCTGATACATGGCATACAACCGAGCAATGATGATGACTTGCATCGAGGTCAATATCACAGAGGTATTGCACTTAGGTAACTTACCGCCCAACATGGCAGTCAAGGTCACACCTATGACATTGTCTGTGGTGTTCATGACGGCGCCTAAAAACTCCCAATTTGTGAGCACTCTCGCACTTGCATCAAAGATTCTGACTTACACCTATTGAGTCATTATGTTGAGCCAAGTTCAATGCTTGGAATCTCACTCACCCCTACATATGAGTGTATTGATTGGATGGCAATGAGATGGTTGCAGAATACTTACTGCATCTGTCAGCGATACCGATGGCATATTTACTGTGTCTCGCCGGTCAGAAAAATGAAATACAGCGCATATGAGACATACCCAGAATATTGACACTAGTTGTCAGAGATGAGCTATTAGCACAGTGCAAAGTTGTTGATCTTGACACATACAGAGAAAATGGTATTCCAATATAGCGTATCTAGAACATTTTGAAGTCAGCACAAGTTGCCCACCACACTAAAGCACAACATGAGTACGAACAATCAAATACAGCGCGGTCATGAGAGACCAACATTGTCTCTGTCATAAATTCGGCGCATGCTCTTGTTTGCTTCTGATACGGGACTCTTGTCACTCACCCAGATGAGTTCAATCTAAGACACCATTCTCAGTGAGATGGCTGCTCCGGCGATAACATCGACGTACCTCTTGTCCGAGTGTTAAGACTGGAAATATCATGAGAACATCAGCGATTTTCGAACACTGTCCTGCTCACCCCAATCATATACCACCACGATGCCAGCAACAACTGCAAAACCGCAAGTCAACGTTGGATTCAGACATCTTGATGCGACAAACCTTCGCAATAGCTTACCAAAATTGACCCACTGATAAACGGCCAGTATCTGGGATCGTTTGAGACGTATGTCATGTCCGAGGGATGGGTGTGAGCGAGTGGGGAACGTTAGTGTATAAGGACAGCGTTCGTGCTAGATATACCACCGTTCAGCCCTTCTATCTCGAAAATCAGTATAATGGAGATGTATATTTGATCCTGCCTCAAGACCCTTGATCAGGTGAAACGGTTCGAAATCAGACAAAAAGAAGCCCTAGATAATCAAAGTAGAATTTGATTTACAAACCAGTATTGCGCATGCGACTACTCGGACCCAGAAAAATTCCCGTGGTTAATGATATCGCAAACTTATTTCCAATGCCATTTTCCAGTGTGAAACCATGTGGCCATCGATCTAACCATGATGTGATCGCAATGAGCATCTGTGTTCTCTTAGCTTCGCTGGCCAAGCTCGAGACTTGCTGTCAGCTGATTGCTTCATGTAACAAGGTCGCATTCTGTAGTATAGCAAAAGTCAGAGAACAAACACAAGAGCGCACTCTATTCGGTGGATCCGATCGCGCACTTGATGCGACGGTGATTAATTGCACTGGCGGATACATCGTGAGTCATGCTGTGTGATTGATACCTGTTAAATGTAAGACGCCGTACATACTAGGTCGAAAGAGAAATCGCACATGGGAGACGAGAAGCCTGCAACAGGTAACAAAGCCTGATTTCTGATTGTACAGCCTCGGTCAGTGGCCATTGTATTTCAAGTGCCAACTTCAGCAGGAGCCGGTAAAGGTCGCGAGCTGAAAGCGAGATCCATCAGATAAACCAAGAACGCCATTGTCTGACCTTCATCATGCTCAGCAAGTTCATGGGCAGGCTACGAAAGTCGCATCGTAGTCGGATGCTTGCACATGCATAGCCATCGTACAGACACACCGTCGCTTTAGAATCCTTATTCCACCTTCACAGAGTGCCAAAGATACAAATCCAAAACAGTCAGATGTCGCAACATGCAGATAGCACCACATCTTCACGCGATGGAGCGCACGGTAACCATCGCGTCCTCTATTTTCGCATGGAAATATTCAGCCTGGATGATGCAATCACCATGACCTAGAAGATTTTTCATAAAAATGTTGCTGCACCGTATATGTGGTTCTCTGAGCGCTTCAAATGTACAGATATTGTTAGGTGTTTCCCATGGGGTTTGATGTTGATATTCTGTCGTTCGAGAGGCTCGGCTGTTGCAGTCACTGTCTTGGCTCCAGAATTCCAGTGTAGGTCAATCCTGTGTAGGCGCAAATCAGTGACATCGCCGAGTGTTGGATACATGAATATATGATATACTTAACTGTGGCAACACCAAAGCACGGCGATGAATCAAGGCTCACAATGAATGAAAATACTGTCAAGTGTTTGCATTCGCGCACCAACATACACAAGAGGCGGGGTCTAAGATCTGAGATAGGAATGGCGTGACTGATGGATGATACAATCAACCCAAGATCATAGCAGTATCTGATGCAACTTGAAAGCTTGAACCTTAATGCGAGGACTCGAGTTGTATCGATACCGTTGCAGACAAGTTGGTTATTTCAGATCACATGATCGAGTCGGATCGCAGCTTCGCGAATAGGCACTTGTTCGCCTCCATCTGTTGACCTGACGCATCATGCCGTGGACTTGGCGCGCTTATCATGTATCTTTGAGCACCGACCATGACGCTGACCAGTCTTCGATGTTTTGTACCAGCGTGTCAACGTGCAAAACTTCCTCGCCCCCTGGTGGCTGGGTTATCCCATACATCAGCGGCCCCGATATCCTGTGCAACGATACTGAGTACGGACTACGTGGGCCACGTCTTATTTCATGCTGGTGGCGCTCAGATACTGTCGTTCAAAAGCACGACTTCTAAGGCAGCAGACGGAGGATGTATCATGCACGCCATTGTCATGGAGAGCGTTCGCAACAGCGTGTCATTCTTACAGTTAGTGTGAATCCATCTGTTATAGATTCCCGTGTTCGAGTGGAATTTGTCTTTATCACATCAAATACACGGAACGCCGTACGCGTTGGAATTTGATGCATGATTCCACGTCGACAACGCGATCCCTATATGGATTCGGTGACGAGTATATACATACTTGTTCTAGTGCCTGTTCTTGCCATGAACACAACCATGTCGACACCCTCAACCAAGACTCTTGATCACATTATGCATCTCACACCTCCTGGCTCAGTGGATGAGGTATCACGACAATTCCGTGACCTTGGCTTCCAGTGTGTCACCTTCCAAGTTTTGAAAATATCTCAGGGAAAATTCCACGTGTAGTGTCCTTCCAGGTGGTACACACGCTGGGGGACTGACACAAAATGCGCTCGTGGTATGATCGCCTAACTTGAAGTATGTATCGGAATTCTATGTACTAACATTTTGGGCACAGGTACTGCAAGACGGCGCATATCTTGAGCTCGTTTCTTTCACGCACCCAGCGTCGCATTACCCATCAGGATCACCTGAGCGCCAGCAACGGGATGCCATTCCCTGGGCATGGAAAGAACCTGGTTGGATTGGCTATACGTTCCTCGGGTTTTCCAGCACCTCAGTATCAGAGCTTATAAATGCCCGAGCCAAGGAGAATAAGAGTGGGATTCGATATGATCCAGAATTCGATGGAGGAAGAGAGCGCAGCGACGGCAAGGTATTAAAGTGGCAGATCTCTGCATCATCCCAGGATTCTAGGCAGATTCAGAGCTGCGCCATTCTTCTGCGGAGATGTCACACCAAGGGAATGGAGGGTATGTGTCTCGTTTGGTACATATCTAAGGCTATCTCAGATCAGAGTCTTTCAAGGTCCCACTCGATCCCCCTTCGAATGCAGAACATCCGTCAGGAGTACTCGGGATCGCATACATCCGAATTTTGGTGCAGGATGACGATCTATCGGACGTGACAGCGGATATAACGTCGGTCATCGGTGGATCACCTGTGTCTAACACATCGCGAAGAGTAACTTGGGTACTTGACACACCTAGCACAGATGTCGCTGGAGGAAGACCGCAACTCATCATCAGCGTGCCAGAGACAGAGGACGAACGCCGGACGTTGGAAGGAAGGGGCGAGGGTATCTATGAGGTTGCGTTTCTCGTTAGTTCAGGAATGAAGCCAGGGCAATCCTGGACGCCATATGGAAAAATTGTTTGGTTAAAGGAGTAGCTCGCGCAAAATATATGATCTTGCTGAAGTTTGGGCTAGCCGTTAAAGGAATCCTTACCAGCAGTGTATTAGATATCCTCCAGTTGTAACTTTGGCCCAGTTATTGTTTGCCCTAAAATATGAACAGGCTAAGCTCTCATGAAGCCAAATAATGTTAAGGAGATCCTATTCTATTAGCGATGAACTAAGTAGCAAAACCAAGTCAACAGTCCTCACATATACATATAGCACATACTACGCAAGCAACTTGTTCACAAAGGCGACCATCACCGCCTCTCCCTCACCCTCAACCAAACTACAGCGACAACTGCAACACCAAACACAGCTATAAAGGAAAAGAGCACAAGAATATCTCTATAATAGTTGTTTAAGCCAAAACCAAACAACTTGTATGCAGTCATCAGTCGATGATACGAAGGGAGAGATACAGACATAATACCCACCAGCTGCATAATGAGGGTCGCCGATATATTGACGGGTACGCCTTGCAAGGTATCATTGATCATCAGTCCTGAGCCTACTTCGTTTATCGAAATAGCTTCAAGGGTATACTGGCGGAGTCGATGAACATCCATGAAACGTGGGACGTCAAGTATACTCACCTTGAGCGGGCAAAGCCATTGCAGCCAACGCAAGATGGGAGGTATTGAAGCGAGGTGGACAAAGAAACCGGCAAAGGTCATCTGGTACAGTGCAGAAAGAGCGGAAAGCAGGATCGCAATCCCGCCATTGCGGAATAGCGTTCCTAGAAGGAAGTTCTGCGTGGCCGATCAGTAATCAGAGGAGATAGGGCGCGATAGCGCAAAAGACATACAAAGAGCGTCATGACTAGCGTGTACAGGACGATGACAAATATAAACTTGAAGAAATGAACTGCGTCATTTGCAAGCCCAGCCATCCAGTATGTGCTGAAAACCTAGGTCAGACCGCAAGCATGGATGATAGAAGTGAAATAACTTACATGGTGCAAACAGTGATGGTGGGTATAATGCGAAGGGGTATCACGTCGAATATCAGACGTGAAAGAAGCCAAGCTGTTGGGCTAAAGGGCATCTTGAGGAAGGAATGTCTATCGAAAAGAAATTGACAAACCTGTAATACCAGTTTGACCTCTCACGAAGGAAGAGAGGTCGTATCTCAACGATATTATAGAGTGCGCTAAGAGAGGAGAATGCAATGAGAGACCCCTGAAGGCAGTATCATATCGAGTCTCCACAATCAAGCTATAATTTCTTACCATGAAGAAAATGCATCCGATTCTGGCCTGGAATCCGGCGATAGTTAAATTAGCCTGATAGTATAGACCACCTGCCATACATTTAGCATAGTCGACAGCACAATCATTTTTACATACCACAAAATATGCCGAGCACGCAAGCGACACACACGTGCGCGACAAACAAGGTCTTGTCTCTGCCAAAGTCGGCTAGGTCAGAGGTCGTCGAGATGAACGATTAAAAGTGTGTGCACCTTTTCAAAACTTTCCATTCGCGCCCGCAAAGTACTTGCAACTGCGTAAGGAAAGTTGCCACATACATGCCCTGTGCCAAATTTTGCTTAGAGAGGAGGGCTTCAACGTCTTCCCCTCTGTCGGCCTTCTCCTCGCTGCGGACACTTAGCGTTACTTCTCCAACCGCATTATTGTCCAGAGGCATGCTGGAGATATCAGGAGACTCGCTCGCAATGTCAAGCAGATAGTCCGCAACGTTGTAACCTTCCTCGTAGGGCAGGATATCAGCCCCGGCTCCTCCTCCTTCTCGCATGTGCTTGAAATATTGTGTTGGTGCTAATCCGCCCGGCCCCGAGTACAGCGTGCGCCCGTTGGAAAGGAGGTAAACGGAGTCAAAGGTGTGGTAAAGACGTGAACTTGGCTGATGCACGCTGCAGATAACCGCCACGCCCTTTCGATGTCCATGTGAGCCTTGATGACTTACAGTAACTCCACCTTCACGTGCGAGTTCTTTCAGCACTTTGACGATCCTGAAAGCGCTGACTGAGTCTAGTCCGCTGGTGGGCTCATCACAAACGAGCACATCCGGGCAGCTAACAAGTTCGAGCCCGATGCTAACGCGACGAGCTTCTCCGCCACTGATACCTCTACCAGTCCCATCAGTCGCACCAATTCTAGTTTCAGCGATGCCATCCAAACCTAGTTTGGAAATGACGGTGGAGACCAGCTCCGCCTTCGAGGATGCAGGAAGAGACTCGGGGAGGCGAAGGGATGCGGCGAATGTAAGGGCTTCGCGGACAGTGAGCATTGAAGGAAGGATGTCACTCTGTGGGACAAAAGCTACCCTTGGCCGACGTCCAGGAGCATAGGGAGGGAACGTGATAGACCCTGTGCATTGGCCTGATTTTGTCTTCCCAGCGATGAGTTCAACAAGAGTAGTCTTGCCTGCTCCGCTTGGACCAAGGATTGCCATGAGCTGACCTGATTCGATATTGCCGCTAACGCTATCGAGAATGATCTTTCCCCCCCGAATGGAAGATTTGGAAATCAGGGAATACGGTGAACTTTTAGGCGATTGCACGATATATGAAATGTCGGACCACCGAACACTTATTCCGCCACTTTGGCCCCCATTGAAGGGTAACTTTTTCGCTGCTCGTTGGACATACCAACCCCACGCAATGAACGCTAGCCCAAACGCAATTATTGCTCCAACAATAACGAGTCCTGCAATGACTCCCCCGCTTAGTTCGGTTCCACCCGACGTAGCTGCAGCGGAAGAAGTAGCGTTTGTCGTGTCGATGACGGCCTGAGTGACACATTCACCAAAGACGCAGCCTTCCATGGATAAACCCTGACTTCCGAATACTGAATTGATGGTATCCTGCTGAAAATGGCAGGTATTGGTGCTATCGCACGCAACTACCAATGTTCCGGTGAGTCCGCTAATGGTAGTTGTGAGGTTTGAAACCGGTACACCACCGCAAAATGTGGCATTCTTGATACAGCTACATGAAAGATTTTGACATGTCCAGGTGCTTGAGGCGGTATTACCCGAACTGCCAGTGGTGGTGGAGTTTGATAATGTCTGGGTGCAAGGCGAAGCAGTGCAAAAGAACTGCTCGACGCCAGCATACATGAGTTGAGCATAGATAGAGGAGCTAGTGGAGGGCGACAACAACGTTCCACTGGTGTTGTGCAATGGTGATAGAGAGCCGTTCAAAGTACGGAGAATGTTCAAAGTAGATCCGAGAGGATACAGTGCTTCTAATGTTGGATTCTAGATTTAAAAAAGTCAACTTTGGGACACTAGACGCTCGAATTCAGCGATCTTGTACTGACATTAACTTGACAGCTAAGTTCGCCAGCTGCCCATACAGCAGGGGCAGTATTGCAAACTATCGTATCGTTCAAACCAACCTGACCGTCAAGCCCCGAAGTTGTACTTGCATTGCCATTGACCGCAGCATACCCGACCTGGCATGCTGAAGAGGTAGTACAAACATTACAGCCCACTCCTCCCCATCCGCTTCCGCAGGTGCAATCGGACGCGGTCAAGTTCGCAAAGCCAGACGAGGCTTGAGCTAAAGAGCGATGAGAACCATCGAATATGGTACCACCACATCCTGGTTGTGCACAAGTAGCACCTCCAAAGCCCGGAGGACAAAGACAGCTCGAGGGATTAGATGGAGAAGTTTCACCGTAGTTCATACATGCTTGCCCAATAACGTTGACTGAAAGAATTGATAGGACGAGGAGAACGCAGGAGAGATGATACAGCCCATGGTTCTGTGCCACTAATAGTGGCATCATTAGGTTCCAAGTAGTAGCTGTCAGACAAAGTCGCCATTGGAGTGTTTTATTACTGCCAGCTCAGCTCGCATAAACGATTCAAATGATATGATCCTGACAAGGTCCGGTCTTGGCGAAACGGGTGGGGTGGCTTGTTCAAGGGGTTAACTTCCCAAGAATAGGTGCTCTTTAGGGGTCACCTTCTCTCTTTGGAAATCATTCGGAAGTAACAACGGGGTGCGGAATTTGAAAAACGGTCAGGTTTGAAGCTGCCCTGTGTACCTGTGAAGAGTCCGGAAGTCACCGATACTCACTTGAGCCCTTGACACTGTCACAGCCTTTGACATTGGCCACATAGTACGTACATCATAGCAAGACTTGGTCACCAGTCCACGCTACCTCAGCAGCACTCATGTTCCAAAGCGTGAGTCTATTTTCTTCCCTTCTTTGCTGTTTAACTTCTTTGTATTCGTCTTATTCAGATTTCGTCTTGGTGGTCACCGACACCGACACCAACACCCGCACCCGCACCCGCACCCGCACCCGCACCCGCACCCGCCCTGAAAGAAAAATATGATCCCACAGACCCTAAGATGAACCCTCTCAACCCTCAAGGTCTTAAACCGTAGGTACAAGCTTTTTTTTGCTATCCCGACTGACTGGGGCTACTTCCGTGTGGACAGATGTTGTGCCTGCCCAGAAACGAAATCCTCTCGCGATGCTTGTTTTCTACAGAATGGAAACGAAGAAGGAAAATGTGCTGAGGTACTCAAGAAGCATGTCGAATGCATGCGAGGGCTCGGATTCGACATCTAGTTGCCGCGATCATACTGTCGGTAACGCCGCGCACCCAGCAACAACCCGACTCCCGTTGGCTGGCACCAGATTTTTTGGCCAGTCGTAGAAAACCCCCTTGTTTCCTTGAGATCAAAACACGCAGAGAGATGAGTCTATACTTACACCCCCACTCTATTTCGTCTATCGATAGTTCCCCGCTCATATTTGTTTTTAATGAGATCATCACATACATTTGAGTGACCCTCCGCGACAGAGTCACATGGTTCTTGGCCTTCCATCCAAGTTGTTCCTTTACCTCCAGAATTGCCTGGGGGTTCGTCGCTTGAGATGTAGCGGGATGGTTGTGGTCCTTACTGCTTTATGATTCCGCTGACCCATGACATGTTAGCTTCCTCGCAGTTCATCGAGTCGTCCTTTCTCCCCCAGACGTGTTTCACTACCAATACATTTCCCGCTACGTCATTTACGTTCGCATTGATGCACACTAACCTCCGAATCAACGCGTTGAGTGTTACATAAACTGCAGGATGTTCTCGTAAGAACGTGTACCCAAGTTGTTACTCCCCCCACGGCATATCCGTAATCAAGTTGTACGTTTTACAGAAACTAACCCGTCGCGGCGACGATGAGGTCTGGCCTGAGCTCATCTGCCCGATTTGGGCTATGGTAGCAAGAATGAGGGCAGGTGACTTGACCCTCGTTATCCAACATGGTAGAAGAACCAGGACGACAGGGTCCCGGTCTTTGCCAAAGTCGAGAAAAAACTATTGCATCGGTAACAGTAGTGATATGTGCCATCGCGCGCGCAGGGTCAATACGAACTTCAGGGGAGAGTGAGTGGCATCGCGAAGCAAGAGAGGGCGGACAGAGTTGTGTCATCAAACGCGAGACTGGCCGTATTCTAGGGTAAGAATGGTCTAGTGACTTGTGGCCAATGGTTTCAGGACCATTTGCCTTCTCCTGTTATGGGCTCATTAGAACCAATTTGTCTACTTGTTTAAGGATATCTACAATATATAAGTAGATATATAAGTACGAAACGTTTGATCCCGCGGAACCAATTCGCGTGACTCTCCTGTCTGTGCTCCACCTGTGCTCGTGCTGAGCTCCACCTGTCCTCTAAATTGGTCTAGCGCCATGTGCGCCTGACGTTTATCGATCACTGTCCTCCCAACTACGTACTCCTGTGCTGAGCTCCACCTGTGCCTGCTTATGCCGCCACATTCAACGGATGTCGCGAGAATGCGGTACTGGACCTTCGTACAGATTCGTTCGCGCACACGCTGTTTCCTGCAGAGGCTGAGGAGAAGACTATGGCGAACGTAGTATACAGACACCTGTTATTGTGATTGACTGCAAACAGACACGCGATGTCCGAAGGTGATCGGTACTCTTGTATATACTATGACGGACCCTCGACCAAATGTCTCCTCCCTGCAGAACAGTCGGTAATATTTCCCTACACAGTACTGCTAGTTGGTACATGTGCACGATCCTGGAAGACAATCGAATTCATGCTAGTGTCTGCGTCGGAGTTGGCTACGATCTCAGCATGATATTCTCGAACACTAAGGATGAGGCGTGGTCCCAGCACAAACATCTGCACGGCCAAAAAAATTTGAAGAGCATCAATGAGTATATCAGCTCCCATAGTCTGTAAGTTGATAAGCAGTGGTTATAAGCAGATTTCAGCAACAGGTCGGCGCACCGAGATCTCTGGAGAGAGAACCAAAAGTTCGAGGCAAGAGACACAAACAAAGCTAGCAGCGAAACTTGAGAAAAAATATGACCACATTCGCATGACAAGCTCACCTCGCAAAATAAAGCACGTGAGATTTTATCAGCACTCTGAAACACTCCCCGATGGCCGGTCCTGTCAATGGGCTGAGTCGCCGCAGGTCACGGAAATGTTTTACAACAATCCAGACTGAAAGGCACAGTGCTAGGACCTCCCAAACAGTGTTGAGCACCCAAATCATTGAAATCAAAAGCTCTGAGTTGAGATCCTCCCGATATCCAAAATCGCACATATACGTGCCAGAGAGTATGAACTCCTCTGGTGTTCATATAATGAGCTGCGTTCTTCAGGTCAACAATTAAAGCTCACCCCCTACGAGTTGCTTGAGTACTATTGCCGCGATTACTCCACAGGTGATGTTTACAGCCAGGAAAATGATAACAAGGAAAATAAGCATCATTCTAGATCTCTGATACATGGCATGCAACCGAGCAATCATGATGACTTGCATTATGTTTCAGTCGAGCCAATATCACTGAGGTGTTGCAGTTGGGGAACTTACCGCACAATATGGCAGCTATGAGCACATTTGTCCCATTTCTTGCGTAGATCATAATATTGCCTAAAACACCGAATTAGTGATCAGCCTCGTACTAAGACCAAACACTCAGACTCACACCTATTGAATCGTTATGTCGAGTCAAGTTCAATGGTTGGAATCTCACTCACCCCTACATGAGTATATTCATTGGATCAATTTGGATGGGAGGTGGTTGCGCAATACTACTCACTGTATCAGTCAGTGACACCGATGGCATATTTACTGTGTTCCGCTGGTCAGAAGAAGTGAACACAGCGTACAAGAGACGTACGCAGAACACTGATACTGGTGATGAGAGATGGGCTGTTAGCACAACGCTATTATGTCGGCCTCCGAACATACACAGAATACGGTAGTCCAATGTAACGTGTCTAAAACAATTTGGAGTCAGTACAACTACCAACCATGCTATCATGATAGCACAACATGAGGTACGAACAGCAAAATACAGCACGGTCATGAGGGACCAACGTTGCCTCTGTCGTGAAATCATTGTGATCTCCTTGTATTTCCTCCGATATGAGACTTTGCCACCTACCCAGATTAGTTCAATCTATGACATCATTCTTAGCGAGTTGACTGCTCCAGCGACAACATCGACCCACCTCTTGTCCAAGCGTTAGTACTGGAATTATCATGAGAATCTCGACGGAACTCGAACACTATCCTGCTCACCCCACTCGTATACCACCACAACGCCGGCGGCGACTGCGATATCATAAGTCAATGTTAGATCAAGAGACACGGCCGACTGATACGACGAACCGGCCCAGTAGCTGAAAGAAATATTGAAATTGATTATTGGCCACCAACCGGGATCATTTAAGACTACAGTCATAGTATTCGAGGGATGGGGGTGTGAGCTAGTGGGAGATAAGTTGGAGATGTTAACAATAGCGTTCGTGCTAGTACTAGATATACCACCATTCAATATTCAGCGCTTGTATCGCCACAATCGGTATGACCATGATATTGGTAGCCATGAGACCTAAACAATTAGTACTATGCGTATCCATGTGTTCTAGAGGGAACAAAAAGAAATTTTGTGTTGCTCGTAAGTATAACAACTTGTTAGCTAAACATGCTTGGAGGTGCTTCGTTGAAGTTGTCCTAGTTGTACAGATTAGAAAACTAGGATGGGTGGAAAGAGATACTATAATCGTGACGGAGTCGGGGACTGGGCGCACATGCACCGCTATTAGGGATGCTGTACAAGGTGAAACTCGTGACCACTGGTAGATCTGTCGTTCTTTTGTATATAAGCCAGGACTCCTGAACTGGGACTTCTCAAATTTAAAATTAATTACATAAGTATTGCTTTTTCGTACACGTCGACTGGGGTCCGGGGCTGTGCGATTCTGTGCGAATCGTTGAGACAGCCATCAGCTTTTTCATATAATATGGGTGCTCAGCGCTCAGTGTAGGTCCGAGTCATTTACTACTAGTATAAGGTATGTTCTTACTTGCATAGACGGGCTATGACCGAGATGGTGACATAAAATGGTTAGACTCTCGCCGCTGATGTCCAAGTGCATGTGATTGCAATAGTCTATTGCTTTGAACAAATTTGACATGATTCACTTCAGCAGAAGACTGCTTGTCCTGTCCTTATTTGTGATGTACTGGTGTTGAGAACCGTCCACGAGGCTACAGACACCGCGCAGGTACGGAGAATTTGCCTTGTTGGGGTGATCCCATACTCAATGTTCTTATCCTTCCTCTCTAGAAGTAGTCTTTGTAGTCATATGCAATGCAACGGTGAAGAATCGCCGTGCTCGGCTTGTCCGTACATTTCGCTACATACGGACATCATACGAAAGGAGAAATACTGAAATGATGACATTTCAACCCGACTCTGGCGGTGCGGCTCAATTCCAAGTTGCCCTCGGTGCATAAAAGGGCTCTCATGCGGTATGTAAGTCATTCAATTTACTGCCCCAAGAATCCTCATCGTTCAGCAAGTCAATTAATCAATCTTCCATCGAAAACCCTGCTTTTGTATCCACGATGAAGTTCTTAATCACTTCTACCATCGCTGCCCTCGCTACGTGCGCCATCGCTACATCTTTACAGCCTCTCTTATGATACCAACTACGATGTGGGATCCAACTCACTCAACACGGTGGCCTGCTCAGACGGCTCCAATGGTTTGGAGTCGCGTGGCTACACTACTTTCAGCTCTATTCCCAACTTCCCTTACATCGGAGGTGCACCCCAGATCACGGGCTGGAACTCAGCATACTGTGGGTCGTGCTGGGAAATCACCTACTCCAGCTCGTCGGTAACTACCACTAAATATGTTACCGCCATTGACGTTGGTGATGAGGCACGGGGTGGGTTCAACCTGTCACTTGAGGCTATGAACGACCTCACGGGTGGACAGGCAGAGTTTTTGGGGCGCATCAATGTTACGGCCACCCAAGTTGATGAAAGCAATTGCGGTCTGTGAGACCGTGAAATTAGGGTAAGCAATATACTCTGAGCCCCGTCAAATACAAAGGCATCTCGTATTCACCAGCTTGATAGGTGTGTGGAGCATTTTCTTTTCTTTTCTTTTGCAGTTGATCTTTGGCTTTCGTGTACGGACAATATGGGCACTCGCAGAGACGTTGATCACGAGCAATACATGTCTTTTTTTTTGGAACGTTGGTAGTATACTGGTCTCACACGACCCACGCGTGAAAAAGAGTACCGATGAATTTGTAGGAGAACGCGTTGTTTGCATATCTATGTGCGCCCACAGTTCGGCCTTGACTAAGTTTCCATGCTGTAGGCTGATAATAAACGGAAGTATTTGTATGTCACGTGACCGTGTATGATTTGAAATGCCACGCGTTGAAATCTGTTGAAATGCTGCTTTTGGAATGTGCTGGCAGCTTTTCTGACCCTTACAGTCCTATTCTTATCTTGAGTTCATCATAAGATCTAGACGATGTCCTCTGGAACATCTGCGCAGCAGTTTATCACGAAGCTCATGACTTCGCCGCAGAACAGGGCGTTAGCTATGGAGGCTGACACGGTTCGGGGGCTTTTGGGCTTCGCTCGCCAGCTCCAACCTGGCGATCCAAAGCACGTAGAATACCGGGGAAAGATTAGCCAGATATTGGTAAGTTTGAGCTCAGGCTTTTCTATGTGTACTGAACAAATCACCCTGTAGTTCGTTCGTGTACAAACCCTCATACCTGCGGCAACAATGTTCGACCCCATTTTCCTGTCAGCAGCGGTAGAGATAACCACCGTCTGCCAGAACAAGCAGTGGGTCGGCATACCCAACTGGCAAAATATTAGAGAAGATGACCCAAGGATCGCAAACCACCCACTGATCCACAAGACGTGGTATGTTCATCCGGATCAACAGATGTTGCAGGCCCTCCCTGAGGGTGTCCTACTACTTGCTGACCCACCCACTGCTGCCGATGATGTTCCTTTAATCACCGATAATACTTCCGTGGCTTCCAGCGCAGTTAGCGAGCGCCGTCTGCGTGCCTTTGGCCCTAAGTCTCAGTCTCGTGCGGATGAGAATGACGAAGAGGAGGAAACACTATCGACCGACCAGTCTAAGGGCCTGTCCAATCACCGGGGGTCTAAGAAACGGGGCTCTGAGTCACAAACATCGCTTGCAGGAGGTATGAGGGATGGGGCGCACAAACGAATCTGTGCAGACACCAAGTCCAATACCGTTACCAAGATGGGAGAACGCGTATCCAAGGGAGTGATATATGTGCAACACCCTGGAGCGAAAGTAAGTCACTAACAGTAGTCTGGTTATTTTACTAATCACAGGCTTCAGACCAAAACACCGACAGCTTTATCTTTGAAGGCAAATGACAATTCGGTAAGACTGATACGTTTGATTTCTGGTAGCATACTAACTTATTGACAATTATCAGGCCAACACCTTGACAACACGACCGGGCACCGTCAGCGCCACTGATCCCTGTCCTCGTTGTGCCAGGGAAGGCAAGATATGCAGGAGAGCCAGGGGCAAGACTGGCCTCCTGCTGGTTTGCACTGCATGCAAGCAACTGAAAAAAAAGTGTGAGTTGGATGTCAACCAGCTCACCAAGCAACGAGGAAAGTCGGGCTTTCGAGGCGGCCTTCATTCTCGATCATCGGAGAGGGTGAAGGCGCGGAAAATGTCCACTCGCCGCATGGGCACTTCTGTTGTGCAGCGAAAACAGCCTAGAGTCGGTAGGTGCATCACTCGGTTGATATGCAGTTCGCTAATACATCCAAAGTCATGAGCTATGTGTCAGTGCCCCAGCTTCCTATCTCAGCCCCCGACTCCACAACCGTGAGGCTGAGCAACGTGAAGAGAAAGATGAGTAGCATGGAGAGTGTGATCGACCTCCTCCATCACGAGATTCAGACACTCCGCACGATCATCGATGCCTCGAACTGACAACGCAATTCTTACGGTGTATACATGGCTTTGATTTCACATTAAGCTATCCTAGCCGAAGTACGGTCGATTTACCCCCCTTCCCAACTTCTTCGAGTGTTAAGCTTGAGCGTATACCACTATCCACAACCGGACTCGCGACCCGAGTTGTGGATGCACTCAATGATATTGTTCTAGCAGTCACCCTTTCTTTACACTTTCATGCCTTATGCCTCTTGATACCATTTTTTCAGTTTTATGACTAGCCGATTGATGCCTTGTCACTTCAGTTCATGCCTACGCCAATTGATACTCAGTTTACTTACCTCGATCTTACGTCATGCATTAATTACTACTCTTTGCATTCGCCCCCATCAGCACGAGCACGTGACCCTAAGTTATTGACCAAGTCCTGGAAATCGATTTCACTTAAGCTGCACCAATATCAATATTGGAGATCTATCTATATTCTAGAGTACTATCTCGATTCGTCAGAACAAACGCACGTACCATATTTGATGGTTTTGGGACGACAGAATTACAAAGAATGATTTGTGTAACATCCGTCCATTCTCCATGAGTAACTGACACAGGTAGCGAAACACAGGAAACAATGTGTAGTGTAACGACCACTATAGAGGTAAAGCGTTGCTGAGTTCAACCCACGCCATGGTACCTGTGAATTTGCCTAGTAAATCATCCATATCCGATATTGTTTCCTCGGCATTTATCTGCTCGTATGCTCCTTCCCTCGATCTCAGCTGAGCAAGGAGAATACAGTACATGTGATCAACGCGATTGAAGTAAGCTTGCCTGGACGACCTGAAAAATTCCACAAAGAGAGCCCATAAAGGCCAATCTATGTCCAATTGAGAAGTTTGAAGGTCCGGGGATAGATCATCGAAAGGATTCACTAGAAAGACTGACTTCTTCTTGACACATGCAATAGCGTCTAAAGTCGCCCACTCGTCGAGAGGGCGCAATCTACGCGGTAGAAGGACTCCCTGCCTATAACGCAAGCGAATCCAGACGAAAACCCACATAAACGATTCTAGATCGTGGCGATATAGGTGTTTCACTTTGCCTTGTTGACCATTTTTGGTGAGAAGCTCGAGCGCCATGAACGGTACCGTGCCCGTACATTCGTTTCCCTGAGGACCCACTACATTCGCTAATGAGGATAGATCGTAGTCGTTTAAGACACCGATCAGTCTACCGTTTTTCCTGTACTACATCAAGTTTCCAAGGCTGATATCTCGATGATGAACACCTTCCTTCCACAATGTGAGGTGGCCTGTAGGCTATGTCACTGAAGAGCCACAGAAGCTGAATCAAACACGTACATAAGATACACTGACGCCAGACGTCGAAAAGATCCCTGCCGTGAAGCTCCGTGATGCGGTGGAGCTTGCGGAATACAAGAATATAAAGCGAGCGACTTCTTATGATGGGTTCCGGAACACCGAGCGCTTCTCGGACGGCGGACGTGGGATTCGTGAACGCGTGGTGCCAAAGGAGCTCAGGAACATGGTCTTGGACAGTTGCGTGCCTCTTAGCGATCTCCTCAACCTTTTTCAGGATCTCTGACTCGCTAGTGCGACTCGCTTCTCCCTAAAATACTTTGGCCACCATTCCATCCTGGAAGTTGCCATAATTCTTAGTGAGCGCTTTGCTAGTGACAGGAACCACATTGGTGGCCCGTCCTTGTAGTCCGTAGTGCGTCACTCTTTCATCGTGGCTGGTGTGAAGCAACAAATCCACCGTTCCAAGATCTTCATCCTTGATTTTGAATTCGCGGCATTGTTTCCCCTCAGCTTGAATTTTTTCGTGGTAGATTCCAAAGAGTCCACAGCGTTGCGCTTGGAGCTGGACCCGCCCTTGGAAGGCCGTGTAGCAGTGAGGTCGGAATATTGAATTGCTGCTCGGTTCATTCGGTTTGATCTTGGATACACAAAAATCAAATCACTTACGCGCGGTGTCGGACGCGAGTTGTGTTGCTGGGGTTTGCGAAGGGCCTGGTGCAGGGACTTCAGCCTTGAGATGATCCACCGGCAGATATTCGGGTTTAGTAGGTACATAGTCTGTCACAGTATACGAAGAGGGACGTGACTTAATCCCTTTCGTCCTCCCTGGCGTCTGTCTCTTGAACTCGATGCAAGCCAGAACATCTTTCCAGGGGAGATTTTTCGGATTTGACTTTGCATTCTTGACCATGTGAGCCTTGCGCTTCTGACCGGCCTTTGTATCGTCCTTCTGGTCGTCCTGGTGGTCATCCTCCTGGTCGGCCTTCTGTTTGCCTTTCTGTTTTCCCTTCTCGCTGCCGTTATTATCCTGAAAGGATGCGCATGCGCTGCTCAAAGGAAGGGTGACAATGTCGGGTTTCCGAATTGATGTCACCGTCTCGTTCTGCTGGCAGATCATGTCCACGGTGGAGACAGGAGCACGCATCCCGTCAATCTTGATCTCTTCAAGACAAGCGAGCGCAATGTTCGTGGCTTCAATAAAAGGGCTGTAGAAGTCGTTTTCTATTTCTGGACGTACGCTTGTAATTATTTCATTGTAAGCGTGGAAGCGTCTGATCAGCGAAGGAGCACTCACTATTCTCTCAGGGATGTCTCAATGCCCGAAGAGGATATGCCTCCAGCCGAGACCTGTCCATTGCAAACCGGCAGAACTCCCTTCAGGCACTTTTGCAGGAGCTCGGGCTGTTTCGTCTCCGGGGCGCAAGACGCGCGCTGTAGGAGGGCTTGCAGCATGGCATCTGCCTTGCACTGCTTGTCCTGCTCAATGTCCATGACCGGACCTCCTTAACCCTTCATGGAACGTCAGGTGCTACTCCATAAGAGCAAGAAAGGTACGTACTGGACACCGACCAAGCTGATGTTCTTGCTGACGACGGAAACCCCACGGCTGTTTAAAGTAGATTCTATTTTACTGCCACCTTGACTTAATGCATTAGCGCGTGGCGGGGTAGAGGACGCGTTCAACACACGCACGTGACCCTGACTTATTTCTTCAAGTCAAGTCCGGTCGTACCGGAGATCTATAATGCAATAAGTACCCTAGTACTCTGTCAATTCACCAGGGAGATCATATTTTTGCATACTGAAAGGAACTCCGGCTATGAATCTCGTTCTCGGTTATAATCAACAGAAGTTCTTCTAAGAATTTTGATTTTGGGATTTATTATGTCAGAGTAAATTTGACCATTGCTAGTGCATAATCTTGAGGACCAAACGACACAAGCCACCGATAGCAGAAAGTCAGCTTGTTTTGGAATCGAATATGAGTTACTGACAAGTGTCGCAGCATCTTGTCACGGGCACCTTCTTTCCATATTTGAGGGTGCTGCGATGCCCGCGATGACCGTGACGCCCGCGACAAATAGTACATAGTGTTATAGCGTAAATTTGGAACGTCGCGGCAGATACCGCAGCAGTCGCAGCATTTTCCTTATAGCACTATGCCCCTACTACTATAGGCTGTACGGAGGGTGGCAACTTAAATATCGAAAACCTGAATCGAACATAAGCGCTCGCACCATGGCTGAACATGATCGTGACCAACTTGAACACCACTGCCCTGATAGCCATGGTCATGGCTCTCCCAACCCCCATGGCTCTTCCCAAGTCCACGAGGAGCAACACAATTTCAAGGAACATAACAAGAATTATTTCAATGAGCATGGTCATCAGTACAATGATCATCCCGACGGACATGAGCTAGCTCGGCGCCTTGGAGCAGCCATGATCAACGCCTATCCATTCGAGGAGGACTCGACGTTGGTTCTAGACTATGCTTGTGGCACAGGTCAGTCATGTATACGAAGGGTTTCGTAGCGCTGTTGTGAATTTGTCCGTCGTACTCCAGGCTTGATCTCCAGACAACTCGCTGCGCATGCCAAATGCATCGTGGGCGTGGACATCAGCCAGACCATGGTCGACCAGTACAATCAGAGCCTTTTCAATCAGGGTATACCACCCGAGGAGATGAGGGCTGTGTGTTGTGACCTTACTACTGAAGCCCCAAATCAGCTGGATGGAATGAAGTTTGATGTGGTTGTGGTACGTCTCCGCCTGCAATGTTGAATGTTCCACGCTCTCACCTTGACGAATTCTAGTGTGCATCGGCGTATCACCATTTCCCCTCTATCGAAGATGTCACGAAGGCTCTTGCATCATACCTGAAACCAGGGGGTTCGCTCTTGGTCACAGATTTAGTGAAGTTATCTTCTGCAGAATCTGTACAGGCGTTGTTTCCCACCGGATCACTCAAGTCGAATCTTGTTGCGCACAAGGGTGGATTTGAGGAGGCAGACATCAAAGCCGTTTTCGAAGGTGCTGGATTGATTAACTTCTCATTTGTGACAGCCTGCAAGGCGAAGATACATGGACAGCCTGTCCAGGTCTTCTTAGCTTCTGGGACCAAGGAAGTTGCCGAAGCATAAATTACTCCGTATTAGATCAAACCATCATTTGAGAGATAATGAACCACCAAAGCGTCTTCTGGCAGCAGTATCGACTTTGGTTTTCACTTCCCAGAATGCTTTCCACCAAGCTTTCCCGATGCTCTCCGCAGTCGACCTTCCATCATGATTCTCCTCCGCGCCGCTCGCGCGTTCATACACCTCCCAATTCCTCCTCAAGAGGATAAGCCACCACTTCATTACACCAATGGTTTTTTCTATGCCTGTATCAGCCGATTCTACGTTCCGCACCAAAAATTTGCTGAAGTAGTCAACGTCTTTTTGCTTCGGGGGATATTCTGTGAATCCCTTGACCCATGACTCGATGACGGTCTGAACATCTCCAGTTTCCGCGAAGTACAATTTCTCCCCTGGCTGCTTGCCCTGCTGCTTCAAAAGAGGAGGCTCCGGGTGCTTAGCCTGAGGAGGGGGTTTCTTGCGATAAGGTGCAGATGGCGCGCGACTAGAAGCCTTAATTATCTTGCGTTCTTGAAAGAGATTTCCACTTCTCGCATGTCGAGCCATGATCACCTGCTCGCGCTGCAAATCCAAAGGTAATGCAGCAAACACATCTGGGTCAATATCAAGTTTTCGAAGCTCTGCGTTAGATACACGCATGTACGATGGGACATCACGTTTTGCAAAAAGCGTGCTTTTACGGGGGGATACGCTCGTTCTGTTCTTCGGTGCAAGCTGTTGAGTGATTCTTTTGACGTTGACACCTTTGACTAAGATTGTCGGTCGGACGTCATGGGAGGGTTGTTCCGCCGGCATTGGCGAACGTGATCTGCGTTGATACTCAACTTCCAGTTCCTTTTTGACATCGTCTGGTAACGCATTGAAGACGTCCTTGTCGACCTGGGAGAAAGAGGGAAGGTCCAATGTAGGCAATGGACGTGAAGGACCGGCCTCATTCTCATCCTGGAGTGGATCATCTTGCGAAGGGGGTTCAGTGATAATCCTAGGCACTGGGAGGACATCTTGTTCAGTGTTCTCCTGTATAGTCGTCTTGGAGCTTCTAGCGTGGAAGGGCAGCTTCACTTGCCCAGGATCGGCGATGTCAGATGCCGACAGCGTATCTAGCTTCTGTACCTGAATGCCTATTCCGCGCAGCTCTTTCGGATCGAATCCCCAGGAATCCAATAGTGCCCATGCGTGGTCACCGATATCCTTTGGATCGCTTGTAGCCCTGCCATTTGCGCTGCTTAATAAAGTTTGCTTGCTGAACGTCTCGCAGATACCGTGTCCCATGAACTAAACAGTGAACATTCATCAGCACCTGGTTTGAATAAGGTCTACGATCCTCGATACCTTAGGTCCCTCAACAGGTGCACTTGGATCGCGTTTCATAATTTTCAGTGTTAAAGAACGTCCGCACATGTCGATAGCGTTCAATCTCCGGGAAACTTCTTCGGCCATCTGGTAGATGAATGCCTTGGCCTGGCCGTCGTTTTCAAAACGTATTCCATACTAGGTTAGACTCAGAGCTCAGTGACTACATAAACCAAACTACCTATCAGCAACTCACGTTGATATCACATGAGACAGACTTCCTCGGTTTGTCAGACTCGAGTTTTCGTTCATCGATGCCACGGATCGCATTGTACAGAGTTTCGCCAGTAGTCTTGCCAAGCGCATCGCACAGTGCGGCTTTGCTTTTCTTGGCGAGTTCGCCGAGATTTGTGGCTCCGAGCTTCTCGTTCGCTTTTTGGCGCGTAGAATGTCCGAAGCCGTGAAGGTCATCGATATCTAACGGCGCTAGAACCTCTTGTACATCTTCTAGTTTCAGATGGAATGATCCTGCAGGCTTGGCCTTACGTGTCGCAATGCGAGCAAGTTGTATGTTCTCCGCGATACCAATGCTAACTGTGGCTTGTGTCAGTAAGTGACGACGGACACATTGATGTGAAGTACCTTCGCAACCTGTTCCTTCGCTGACCTCAGACCGTATCTGTTCTGCAAGGGACCTTGCGGGATCATCCACGAATGCTAGGGAAGACGGCCGGAGAGCATATCGGGAAACACTCGTGGTAACCTCGATTAAAGCCTCATCAACGGAGACGGCCTGAATATCATCGGCATGACGCATTAAAATAGTGTAGAAACGCAACGATAGCTGTTTATATCTGATCTCGTGTTGGGTGAGTGTAGTGAATGAAAAGACAGATACATACTTCTCAAATTCGTAGGGCATAGTCATAAGATCAGGGCATAATCTCCGACCTTGCTGAAGGCTGAAGATAGCTATTACTCACAAGTCAACAAGTGAAATGTATGTAGCATACCTCATCCCGTTTTTGATCCCAAATGACCTGGCTTCGTAGCTTGAGCTTGCTATTTCACTTGTACTCGATGCACCCCCTGTGCTCCCTTGCGAGTGACAAACGACAACCGGTTTGCCTCGCAACTCAGGGTGACTCAGAAGGCCGACGGAAACGAAAAAGCAATCGAAGTCGCAGTGCATGATAACACGCTTCAAACCCGGGGCTTTTTCCTTTCCTTTTCTTTTTGATGGAGACCTCGCCGCGAGCTGTGCCCCGCTCATGTTGGCATCACTCTTAGCCATGTCCTGAAGGTCGCCTATGAACTCATGTATCAACCCATTCTCAACCTCTTCTTGGGCTTGTTGAACCAAAATTTTCAGCTCAGCCTTCCATGTGGACAGATAGTGCAGTCGTGAGTGTTTGTAAAAACCTTCTATGAAATCCGGTGCCACAGAGGTATGTGCGGCTCTCCATTCAGGATTAGCCATCACGCGCTCTGCTAGCGGGTTTGATGTATGAGCGGCGTACCCAGGGACGCGTGCAGCGTCTTTGTACGTGCCAGGATCTGTAACATGCAGCAGTCGGGGCGAATAAGACGCGGGGTCACCAGCCTCAGGGGCGGCAATACTTGTCATGCCGGAATCAGGCGTTGTCGCAGAAACCTGGTTGTTTGATGGTGGCTGTTGATGCTTACGCATACCGGAGCATGCTGCTGTACGTGAATCCGTAGATAGATAACTTTGAGGTGTGTGCGCTCCTTGATGTTGCTCGACCCTGGCCTCAGGTTTGAAAATGTAATTCCTCCAGGGAATTAAGGTTCCTGCAGCGGCACTATCCACCAACCAATCAGGCCTCACAATCTTCATGTGCTTCCATTCTTTGATCTTCGCAGCTGTCAGTGAGCAAGTGATGATATGGGTCCTGTATAAGGGGCGATGAATCTTTGTGAAATAACTGAATTGATAAGGAAGGTGCAGACACTAATGATTTCTTATCCAGGTAAGGTTGAAACACACCCCCGTGCGCCACTATCAACTGACGCAGATCTTGAACTGAAGGATTCGTCCACCCGTTAATCTGGGATCAAAGTCAAGGCTCTGCGTTCCTGGGATGACAGCGGAAATACGCACGTATATTGAAAGACCGCTAAACGTTTTTGTTGTAGTGCCAACGCCTATGTCTGCATTCTGTATCTGGAGTTTGGCGCGCTTGCGATGCATGTATTCTCCGAAATGTCCAAAGCGAGATGCGCCATAGATCTCGGGATCATCCTCGGCGTCACGGAGTCTATGGGTCAAGGTCCCGTGTGAGGTCGTCTCAACTTGCTGCTCGTCACTTTCATCACGATGACGCTTGCGACTCAGTGACTCTGTGTCAGCTGAGGGAGCTGTGATTTGATCTCCGGGTAGCACCGCGTTCCTGAGAGCTTCAAGGAACTCTGGATCGTCAGGGCCGAACAGGTCGGAGGAATCGGTAGACGCAGAGGATTGAAGTGGCTTCGCCATCAGTCTCCCTAAGGCAATACAATGATGTATGAGGAGAGAGGCATATGGTCTCCGCGTCCTGTACGGCAGCCCGGTGTTCAGAAGGAACCGTTAGTTGTCCTTATTTGTCAACGGTAAACAAATTGCAAATACACTAGTCGACCACAACAATTCCATATGTGGGTTAGCAAGCATGTTAAAGTAGAATAAGTATGTTCTACTATCGCCATATAATACAAATATTATAAACACTGTACAACAATAGACACATCATCTAACCAAGGTGAGTCCATGTTCAAAGTCAGAACACGAGATACGCTCGTCGGATCATTACCAAGCGCTTGCCAAAGCAGTCGGAGGGCCAGACTTTTTTCATCTAGCTCTCTTGAACTACTACATGCAGCCGCACGGGCCCACCGATCAACAATTACATGTTGGTTTGTGCCGCATATGTCCGTGAACCCATCTGAGCAGAGAATAAGGTATCTGCGAGGAGCTCGGGGCGATGGATCAAGGGGATAATGCGTGACTTCCGGCGTGGATGAAATATATGGAGGCGTGTGATTCCTCATGAGAAATTCTTCCCAAGGAGATGTGTCATGCTGACCAGGGTATAGATTGTAGAGGATACGTCGAGTGAACTCAGGTGGTTGTTTGAAGGGGGTGTCTCCTAGACCTGTTCAATCGAACATGTCAGCGAATAGTGAAATCTGAAAATGTGAACGTAACATGCATCGAAAGGGTGCAATAGCTCCAAGCACACGACCATCCAAAATACACTCTGGCTCACCAGGGTGCTCATTTATGACGCGTTGAACCTCGAGCGGGTTTTCTCCATTATGAGATCGCGTCAAGACCTCGACATTCCACGCTTTCTGATCAGTCTCTGAGACCATCACTTGAATCAAAACGTTAGCCGTCACGACAAATAGCATTGTCACGCTCTACGTACGTCCTTGGCAGTCACCTAGATTGGCGAGCCATAGATTTCGATGATCAGGGTCAACAAGAGCTACGAGCGCAGTAGTACCATACAAGCACAGCCTTGCCTTCGTGTAATTTTGCCCTCCTGAAAGTTGATCATCGAGAACTTCCTGGATCTGCAAGTCCGACAAGCGAGACAGAGATGACAAACCGCCCGGGAAAAGTTCCAGGACGTCATTAGCGATGGCGTCATCGAAAGCGCGAATGGCCATCGCAAACATGTCCGCAATTAAAGGCGGTGGTACAACACGGTCACCGTGTTTCTGAGTGATCAACTCTAAGTGTTCCCGCACAATGATGGGCATGTGATGGGCCACATGCTCGACGGTATGGCTGCCGAGGTGACCTGTGAATAATTCCCGGTAACGACACAATGACAAGCACATTGTCAAAAACTGCGCCTACCATCAAAAACCGCAGACAGGGTCCAGACGCGTCCCTGAATATGTATCTGCTGAACTGCATAACGGTCTTGCGAGGAGGTCTTGGCGCAAGGTTGGAAGTTGAGGGCATCTGCCCGCCACCGTCCAGTCGGGTCAAATTTGACGCTGTGGAGGTTGGAGGTTGCCGCCAGGTGATCCCAGGCATCGTCATGGTTCAAATTTCGGAAAGGACGTGGCCAATCATCTGTAGGACTGCACAAATTACCAGGGATATCGCCAAAGGATGCAGACGAAGTTGGACCAGCATCCCAGGAGCATTGGGACATTCCATCCATGAGGCGCCGGTCACGGAAGAAGCAAGCGCAGAAGAAATGTGGGGAAGCGGAATCCCCACTTTGCGGTCGGGCCGCTTATAAGTCATCGCTGCTGTCATGTGCAGTACTGAGCGTTAAAGTTCAACGTTAATTAATGACATATATCAATAAATTTGGAGTCTTTGAAGCCGTGCGTATACACGTGGCGTCAGACGTCGCCGTGGTACCACATTGGAAGTTTGGGACGGAGATGAACCCTTGGCGATTCAACGTGATGGGATATAGTTAACTCCCGCAATGCTGTGTTTGGCTATAGGGTTTCGCGCGGTCATTCGATGCAACACAGGCACTGGGAAACCTCCATTGAGGGACGAACACAAAGGGGAATAAACCTCAAACTTAGCCAACTCTCACTCCATGCCAGTGCAATTTGCAGGACAGCTAAATTACCTAAAAATGTTATATACATTACACTCCTTATGAGCGGCGTTATCTAAGAGCAACCAGAATCATAGTCGTAAGCTACAGTATAGTGACGAAAAGATGTGTACAATGCTATAAACTTGTAGAGATCGTGGTAGGTAAAGATCCAGTCTAATCCTCAAAAGTTCATGCTGAATTATGACAACATGGCTTGTTTATTACGGAAAGGGTTGCGAGATCCGCCCGTATCTGAAGGTGTTATCCAATCCGATCCAGGTTCCGGGGACTGTCTTACGGACGCAGCGTATCGCTCAGCGGCGGATAGCGGTTTAGAAGGTGTTGGCTGACGTTTTAACACGTTTGGTTTCTTGAGTACCGAAGATCCAAATGTCGTTGTCGAAAACCGAGAAGTCAAAGGGTTCGACTTGACAGGCTGCCGAGGTTCAGGTCCGGAACGAACCATCCCTGTCGTCTGGGAATACATGGAACCCGCCGATAACCTATGAGCATCGGAGTAATCGTGTGATCCGCGACGCTTGTAGGGATGAAGCGAGGGGAGAGGCGAAGGAGATCGGCTCGATCCCGTGCAAGAGTACTCCTGTGCACCTATGAGCTTCTCCATTTCCTTATGGTGCCGTGCCTCCTCCGCAGCGCGCAGTTTCCATAAAGCCACACTCTCCGACTCAGGCCGCGGGTTACGGTTGTGCCCAAAAAGCTTCTCTCCAAAGCGGGCAAGTCGCCATCTCCAACTTTGCTTGTGGAGGGCCTTAGCAGATGCAAATGCCGCTGTGTCCTTTGCTCGCTGCTTGCGAGCTCGCCGGCGCCAGCAGTACAAAAAGGTCACAAAGATGAAGGCACATCCAAGCGCCATGAGCAAAATCTCCCACCACTGCAATCGCTGGGTCGTGATTATGGTAGGAGTCGATAGCCCCGAAGGAACTGCGCCTGAGCTCGTACCAGAGGGCGAAGATACTACAAGTTCTGAAAGGCATGCTCCAAGACCTGGGACAACACTTGTACCGCTCGTGCAGTTAGCTGAAGTGCAAGCACCCTCACGCAAAACTTGACTAGAACTTGAGCAAGCGAGGCAGCTATTTGGACCGGCACCTGAACAGCTAGCACAGCTGGAATCGCAAGACTGGCATGTCGAGGACGTTGTGTCGAAATACTGGTTCTGGCTGCAAGTAGCGAGGCAACGCCCACTCGTAAGGACAGGAAGTGCTTTGTTGCAACTTGTGCACTGGCTGAAGGATGCGCCTGAACATGTTGCACAGTCTGGGTGGCAGGGAATGCATGCCCCAGAAGAACTAAACGTGTTGGAGGGACAAGAATTGACACATTGCCCGTTTGAAGCCAGCAAGTTGTTCGCGCATGTCAGGCAGTTGGTAGCACTTCCCACACAGCTAGTACAGGATGAAGAACAAGCTAAATAAATGATAACGTCAGTCTAATTTAGTAATGAATCGAGATGAGACAACCCGTACCTGTGCACGTCAAATTATCTTGAGGAGAGAGGAAAGTACCAGACGGACAACTCGTCACACACTCCCCTTGTGACAAGACGAAACCAGGAAGACAGCCGGTACACTGAGCTTGACTAACAGTGGATGCTGCATTGAAATTGGATATCTGGCAGGTCGTGCATTTCGGTCCACAAGCTGAAAATCGCAAATTGAGCACATGCTAAGCACGCAAGGTGCGATACACTTACCGTCACACTCGTGCTTGACATTGTTAGCAATCAGATTAGAGCCTGAGCAAACACCCCCGGTGTTGGTCGTCACGCATGACCCATTAAACTTGTACGTGGAGGGTCCGCAAATGATACAATTGTTGGAATTCGGCCCGGTACAAGTCGTGCAAAGCGGCGAACAAACCGCGCAAGTAGACCCAGCGCCGTAGCTTCCATCTGGACAAACCGTACCATTTGACGTAGTTTGCGGAAGGGCGTCGCACTTTGTGCGGTCGTTCCCGTCCTGAGTAAAGCCCGATGCGCAAGAAATGCAGTCCCCGGTGCCATCGGCACATTGTTGACAACCCAACTGACAGACTGAAAACAAAGATGAGATTGGGAAGACAGGAAAAGAACTTGTCGTAACTCACTTTCACAGTTTCCGCTTGTATCTAAAAAGAAACCGGCCGCACATGCTGCACATTGAGTTCCGTTTGACGCCGAGGTCCAGCCGCCGATACAGGTACACTGTCCGTTAGCACCACATTCTCCGTTGATACAGTTGCAGCTCGACGGTAGGTTTGACACCACTGGCACCAAGCAACGCCCCGTTCCTGAGATTCCATCATCACATGAAGTACACCCTGACGGACAGGCCTGGCACTCCGGTCCAAAGAAACCAGACGAACATGACTCGCAAGATGAACCAGTGAATCCACTTGAACATTGACATGTTCCAGAAGCAGAGCAAATGCCATTCCCGGAACAAGCCGGTGAACATGTTGATGATTGCAGGTTGAGTAACGATAGGGATCCTGAGGCGCTCGCAGGGAGCTGGCTAACGTCAGGAACGGAGTTCCACAGAATGACACGGCTACTGCTTCCGGCTGACACAGCTGCCCAGACGTTCCCTGAGAGGGCAAATGAGGAAGCAGTAAATGGGATGGATGTATTTCCGACGGGAGACGTAGGGAGGCTTGAATATGATCCTTGTCCTGAATAGAAAGCTTGCGGATAGATAGCAAGACCAGGTTGAAGTGCGATATTTAGTGGAAGGGAAACCGAAGATCCAGCACTCGAGTTTCCGAAGCCAGTGGACGGAGAAAGTTTGGCAGAAGAAGACGTTAACAGCTCATGAAGTAGCTCTGGGTTGGTCGTGGATGTATATTGCCCAGGAAGAAGAAGGACTTCGGTCGATATTCCAGATGCTGAAAGAGTTGCTCCAACTTATCATAGCCATGAGTACGACGATGTATGCTCTAGCGACTTTTGACTCACGAGTTGTATTAGAATAACCTTGCAGGCATTGACCCGCAACGCATACAACAGAAGAAGAAGATTGCGCGACTGAGCAATGGCTAGCGTCAGACATATCGGGCGCAATGTTATGCAGTTTCGCACTCACCGGCAGACGCGCCAAAGGCGAAAGTAGCAGCAAATATGCTCGACAACATGTCGAACTAAGAAACGTGTAGTGAGAAGGAAGCAAGAAATAAACGCGAAGCTCTATCACAGAAAAGCATTGGCGAGCGTGGCCTTTTGTTATTTAGAAGAATAAGGACGGTGGGTTGCTGCTCGACCAAGAGAACAATGCCTCGTCCAAGAACAATAAGCAGGTCCATTTTCAAACTTCCTTATTTGGCAATCCATGCCGACTCGCGACATTACATAATTGTTCCAGGCCACAATGTACAACGCCGTGGACTGCGCATATTATAGTTTGTTTGGGGGAGATAGAACATTATTTGATGATGACAACATAGCGCCTAAAAATTCTAGCTCATTCATGTCAATTCCCACTGAGCGCTGATTACATGAGGTAGCGAAGCGGCCAAAGCCAAAGCTCGGGGATGTGGCATGGGTGCCTTCAGCGCAAAAGTTCGAGAGTGTCGGCGATAAGAAACATCTCACAACATGTAAATAACATAAGGCATAATATTCTAGCTCAATTGAAATAAGTACATTCGTAATCGTATGTTTCTGGCTGCGGCGAGAGTCCAGGCATGTGGTTATGGCTGTTATACAAGTCCATTACAAATGACTAGGGGAAATGATGTTAAAATACCTCAAAACAGGCCCCATAAAGGATGCCGACAACCTAGAAGCGATAGGTCAGCATCAAGTTCAAAGCAGCATGATAAACATGGATCAGAAAATTATTTGGCAATAGAAGTTATCTCCACAAGGATCAGAACAGGTCTGAAGTATCTCATCAGGAGAAGGGCACAAGGAAAGACGCTCACATGGTGATATACAGTGTGCCGACAGTATAGATATAGTACAACAATTCGCAGTGACACTGTGGAAAAAAATATTAGCACCAGGTTCAAATCATTACTTGATGCAAAAAGGGTCAGAAAAAAAGGCAATATCAAGATGTCCGCATGTAGGTCTCGGAACAGGTCTGATGTGTATCATCCTGAAGGAAAGGTGAAATATAAGACTTACACGACTTTTATCGCACTCGCATTGGTGGCATGGCTGTTGCTATAGGTTTCCATCGTAGCCTGGCCGGGGATGGACAACCATACTCCCAGTCGACCCCCTCCGCATCATCATCATCATTCATATCGCAGTCCTCGACGTATACCCCCACTCCTACACCTTCTTCAGGTTCCAGTAGCACTTCTCGGCTAGACCGCCTCTCCTGCAGTTTCAACTTGTGAAGTGCAGCTATAAGATCATCTGCGAGAGGCGTAGCATTTGGTGGTTCTTCACGAATTTGTTCCCAGCCGATGGGTGGGGATCCAGGTGGTGAGATAAGGAAGTTCTTTTCAATTGGTGGAGGACGTAATAAATTTTCATCTGCCGTTGGTGATGACGGTGAAAATATGGGATTGGGCTCGGAACGATATACTCTCAAAACCGTGGGTATCCTGCGCAAAAAAAAAAATGAGAAACACGATGAGTACTTCGAATCAGATCACGTACCTGTGTGGGAGAGCCAAAATAAGAGGATCACAAGCATTCTTCGCGACCTCAGCGGCCTCCTCTGCATAATATACCAAGATTATACGGCAAAATGATGCTATCGGCACCCATTGGTTAATCTCGCCGTATGTAGCAAAGTGGTCGCGCAAAGCATTGATGATCGAAGGTTGGAAAAATGTTCGAGGAATTTGTGTTATTACAAGCGAATTTGTGGGCTGAGTAGACTTGGGTGATGCAAAAGAGTTTGCACGCTGGGTCAGGATCGAAATATCTGGCATGTCGTGGCTAGTGCTGAGGTGGAAAGTAGTCGTGTGTTGCCTCGAACGACATCGAACTTTGAACTTATACTCGAAAAAAATATCCGTGGTTACATAATCGCAAATGCAGCTACACTGCCTTCAGGGACCGGAAACACTCCAGTAGGCCAGCGCAGCAACGATCGCAGCTTGAACACAGGTTATTAGTTACAGTATACAGGGTGTGTCGGAAATGCGGTGTCGTGGGCAGTCCTTATAGTTCTTTTGTGTTCTCTATCGATGCGAAGACCTTTGTCCTGTCACGGCCATTTCTCGAAGGAAATTCGGCTGACTCATCTGGATTTGATGGTTTCACAGCCCAATCGCACGAACAATACACGCAGTGTTAATAGATTGTGAGAATGTGTATGGACAGGTCCAGATGTTTCTTTTCTAGAGATAGTAAATCGAACTTCAGCAACGCCAGTGCTTTATCATACACCCCGACTTCCGAGTCTGCCAATGTCCAGGCTCCTACAATCATCACATCAGAACGATCGTTATGCACGCAAGCGTTTCTGCACAGCATCTTGTTTCTCCTTGAGAGACTGCAATTTCTCGTCCTTTGTGGCGTCATAAGCGATGGTGACCTGATTAAAGCTGTAATGATGAATACGCATGGATCAGTCGTCATATTAAGAGGCTGTATAAGCCTGATGACTGACGGGTTATCCGGTGATTTCTGGAACTGCTTGTGCAACAGATCCTGTATAATTCAAACGTCAGACATCTAGAAATTGCACTCACGACGGCACTGACCTGATATTGCTGCAGGCGCAGCCCAGGATGCTGCGGTTGAGAAAATAGTACGTTAGCCTTGTACTTCGCCTACCCGGGATGCGGCTGTACCTCGTCTTTCAGTTTTGGCAGCTCGCGTTCCTTGTAGGCTTCAAACGCAGCCTAGGGATATTATAAATCGTGTATCAGAAATATACCATCAAGTGAGTTCTCACCTTGAATCGCCGCTATTAGGTGGTAAGTGTGTCAGTTATTAGCATAGCCTCAGGAAGAAACAATCTTGCCTCTGGGTGCCTTTCGATACCTGCAGCTTGTTGCCCTAAACTGGCCTTGTCCATCTTTGCGGTCACTACCTCCAGTAGATCAAGTGCATTATCGATGCCAGTTGCAGCATAGCTTTCGATCTCCTTAGGCAGTTCATCCTTGACATTCGTCTCTGTTGCTGGTATTTCTTGACTCGAGCTGCCTCCAGCTGCGATTGCTCCAGGACCAGCTGGTTTGACATCTTTCTTCTTTTTGGGCGCTGTCTTGATTTTTGCGGGAGGGGCAGCTTCCTCCTCTGCAAGCAGCCGCGCATTCTCGGCTTTGCGGGCGAGCTCGGCTAGACGCTTGGCTTCCTTTTCCTCCTTAGCTTTGTTTCCCTTGGCGCCATCCTCCCATTTTTCAGCCTCTTTTTTTCCCTGTCAACGCCGATTAATGAGTTCTGTACAAAGGCCATGCTGATACACGCACCTTCTCAGCAGCTGTAGCCTCTTGCTTCTTCGCCTCGTTCTCTGCCTTCTTGGCTCGACCACTCTCTTTTTTTGCGTTGCCACCTTTGGGAGCCATTTCTGAAGGTGCGGATATCAATCTGGTATAATCGAGCGAGTTCAAGGAGCCTTTCAAAGAGCCCAACACTTAGTCAGATATTAATCTAATCTAATCTGCAGCGGGACCCGGATAACACAGCCGACCTCATGTAATTCAAATAAATAATGACAAGTGCATAGCTTAACTTAGCCGTTGAGCAGCCCCATTTAAAGCGCTGCTGTACCAGTACTTTTTATACCCCAACACACCCGTTTCTTCTGTGTTCTGCATCTCTTTTGGATACTACATCATCCTGTCGTAGATCCCCATCAATACCTATTAGTACCATCATTTCACACGACGCTCACATCAATGGGTGATTCAACAGTGGGCAAGTGGTCTGCAGGAGTAGGCTGTAAGTGCGATTTTTCAGCTTTGTGTGTCGCATACAGATCGATGCGCCCAAACAGACGGTCCAGTCCTCTCTCAGACTGATCTTTATCTGCTCAACACTGAGCTGCAACTGCACCCGATCATGTCTGGTACAAACCATGGCTTCCACCTCATGTTCAACCTCGTCACTGGTATGTCACCTCAAAATTAATATCTGATAAGAGCTAATGTTTTCTAAACACAAGGTTCCACTGGCGGCTTCAATCCTAATGACCGGAATCGTGATATACCATTTTCTGCCAAAGACGAGCCTGCGACGCTTCCCCGCGTTCAAGATCTTATCATCATTACCGAGTCCAGTCCGTGGTGCACGGTGGTGCACAATGACCGTGGTGTTACTATGGGCGATGTCTGTAGCACGATTTGGAAAGAGTGAGTACCTGTTCAGCCGCCTTAACGTCCGAATCTGACTTTACCGACCCAGGTACACCGAGAATTATGTGACCGACGCAGAATTCAACGTTCTCCCTCCAAGGCTCCAGGAACAAGTAAAGAGGGCCGCTACGCACAACAATGCCTCTGGTGCATCTTGGAACATGTATTACAACACCCCTGCACCAAATCGGTATAAACGGGTTGGTGAGTTATCCGTGTAACTTTGCTGTTATGCAATGTCTCATTCATTTTCTGCAGATTGGCTTCGAGACAAGTACTACTTTGACGGTCTGTCGAAGAAGGACAACTACTCGATTCAGCGTCTCGGTTTCAAGGCCCCCAACATTTTTGTATTAAACCTTACTTCATGATGGGCCCCGTACCGTCACGCTTTCCGCCATGCTTCATGATGTATCATATGTCGCGTACTCTATGCCAACCCTTGTCATATCGAAGGAAGGCCCCATCCCCGCATTAAGCTGTGAACATATGATCAGGCGATTTTCGTCAGAGCAACTCTGAGCGAAATCAATGCATTGATCTGATGATCAAGTTGGAGCTCTGCCTCCGAGATCATCGTCGTGATCGGATCTACATTCATTTCAGCATGGGAATCGAATGGTTCATGAAGGACCAGGAATGATCACCCCAATGGCTACCGGCATTGCCCATGCCAAGCCCGAATTGTGGCGAGTTTCAAGGGCATAGGGTCTCTAGTGTAACGTTGGAGCCCAGAAACGGAAGGGGGCCCCGAAAGGTACAATAGGGTCGACAGTTTTGACCCTCAATCTGACCGCACTGGCGATTGGATGCTAGCCAACATCAGCGAACTTGGTGCCGCTGAAACATCGTGGAACCGCCTTGGTTGTAGGCGGGATGTTTGTCTTATCCCTTCTAACTTACTCTGAGATCACTTAAACTTCTAGCTGGGGAATTATAGAATTGTAGGTGTCGGAATGTTATGTGTTGCGAATATACACTTTGAACACTTCCGGTTTCTCCTGGAAGCAAGTGCGTCACAAGTCCAGGAACAGGGGCCTATCACATTGATATTACAACTCCAAATTCAGCGCGACTGTTCAAATCAGTAGCTGGGGCCCAAAAACTCGTCTGCTGTCCAATTCAAGAAGTAATTCCTAGGTTGACTAATGGAAATGAAAACCAAGGAACCCCGTGTAGTGTTGATCTGTCAGCATCGGTTGTCATTGCCTCACGTTATACATACTCGTGCGATACGCGGTGGTGACTACATTTAATTGCCCAAGCTCGGATCCAAGGTCCAAATCCACGTCCAACTTGGATGATAAGTAATCTGGTGGAAACTTCTCACATCAAGAGCACAGCGAAGCCGCTCAGCGGGCGCGCAAAGTTCCATCGTGCGCTTAACTACTTACACCTGAAGGCGCTCGAGCTGCATTATGATGCCATCATGATTCATAACTAACGCCCCGGTCCCCAGATGTATAAATGGATGTGACAATGTGCCGCAATTATGTAAAAGTAGGCACAGCCACTAATCACTGACTCCCAAGGGTAGCCGTCGGCCCATCTAAGTCCTTTCTCATCTTCCCACTGCCTCTTTTTTCCTAAAGGTCATTTGCTTGCATTTTTTGAATCTTATAGCAGCAGCTGTGTCGAGCGCTGTCTAAACCTCGAAAGGCTGTGGGACTGAATCAGTGCAGGGAACGTACGAGGTTCCTGAAATCAGTCGATTTCACCATTTAGATTCACCACATACGTTGAGCACGTTCTCTAACTGTACCCGCAGGTAAAGAGATACTGGCATCTATCCCGAGATATGGTTGATATTATGTTCCCTTCTCAGGCCTTTTTGAGTACTCAGACCGAGATATCGGCACAATCTATTCGAATTTATCCTTGAACCACCTCAAGTTGAGCCTGTGCCATACGTCCTTACCTGTGTATTAATAAGCGTGACATAGGTTTCCTTGCATTTCCTGTGAGGCGAATTCTATACCATTATATTTTAATCCCGAATTGATGCATTTATTGGTTTCTGTCAGTGACGGCGTGACACACACTGCAATCGCATTTATATCTAGAACATCAGCTCAAAATGCTATTTGAATCACCTGAGACAGCCAATACTCCCTTCATACCCCCCCTTCCCTCTCCCGAAAGTCTCGCGCCACCAGTCATTCCTCCGGTACCTCAAAACCATCACCCGCCTGCGTGGGCTCAACAGCCCCGCACGCCAGGGCAATACCCATATTACCCCCCGACACCGTATAATACCACGCCATTTATCCCTCCCGTAGCCACCATACCCACCGCACATTCTACTCCTATCATGCCTCAAAGTTCCTACTTCCCCCCTCCTGCCAATCTTCCAAACATATATGGAGCGCCACCTGGCAATGGATTCTCGGCTGATTATACTGGATATCCCAACGGCAACCCATCACCTTATGTGCCTACCCAACCTCCTCCGGGTACACCCTGGCCAGCGTCAGCACCAGGGACAGGATACACGTTCCAACATCCGCTACCGCCGGGTCCTCCCGGCTGGGGTCCCCAACTAGGGGCGTTCACGCCAGGATATCCTCTGCCAGGGGCATTTCCTACTCCTGCAGGAGCGTGGGGGATGCCTCTGCCTGGTGGGCCACCGTCGAACATGTATGCTGGTCACACACCATGGGTGCACCCAACTGCACCGCCCCCTGCGCCGCCACAACCGCCTGACACTGCTCGCGCGAACTTCCGGTGGACGAGCAGTGCGGACCATATCAACCATTTTGCCGAAGGGCCACATTGTATGCACCTTATATTCAGGCTGAGATGAATGTTTTCTGATTCAGTATCATCTTATTAGATGGGCCCGTTCTCGAGCCTTTTCTTGTAAGGGCGGTATCGGCAACGATTAGCATCAATCCTCTCCTATCTCCACCCACAGACTCGCATGAAGACTACCTCCGCTGGAACATGATTTTCCCAACGAGTACTTGTTATCGCACAACTGGGCCAAAGCGTTCATGGATTAAAGGACGCGAGGCACCCGCTACGTTCCCGCGCCTGTCACACATCCGCATCATCTCACGGTCATTCCCGTGGATGATCTCTGTCAAAGCTAGACGCCAAAACATTGGTGTGACTTGCGGCGAAGTGATAGAAGCCATTTCTTCCTATTTTTATGGGGACGTCGCGAAAAAGGAGTACGAAGGAGTTACAACCCGTCGCCGACGGGAAATTTGGCAAGCGTATCAGTATAACCGCTCGACGGACAGCAACGTCCCCGGCGGCCACCTGGGAGAACAGCTGAGACGCCTGGATTGGCTCTGCAGTCATTCGAGGTGGGGCGGTCTTGTCTGTAACGATGAATTTATCAAAGAGGCTTGCGGAGACGTCTTGCCTTGTACTTTCGAGCTCAAGTGCATCCCAAGCTACCCACTTAGTCCAGAGGAAGCTAGCGAGCAGCAGCGGATCGCGCGGCACGCTGAAAACCGTTCTCGTTCTCGTCCAAATTCTCGTCCAAGGTCTATGGCATCTCGATCTAACTCTCGTGAAGGACGTGACACAGAGACTACTACTGAGGATGAACTGGAAGAACCGGAATGATATATTTTGCATGAACAAGACACGTTGCACGGATTTTTTGTTCTTGTTTTACGGGGATTTCTCTTCACGATGTTTCATATTGTAGCCGTGACCTTTTTGGCACGTTTATTTTTCATATATTGCTGTCCAACAGCTTTTTGGAGTAGAGTTCACTTCACTCTTGTACAAACAATAAAACCAAATGTTCCGGTGACTTAGACACAATAACGCATGGTTCTGTACGCTGGTCAATGGTCATGTATTAAGCAAGTGCTACTTCGAGTTCCGACATCAATATTTGAATCATGATGCTTCGCAGTTACCAAATCAGGAAAGCCGTCGGAAACGTATGTTATGAGTCTGCTAACTTCGACATTTCGAAGTTCCATACGGGGGATGGATCGATGAGACCTGAGAGAAGAGGAAGACAATGGAGGTAAGGTGAAGAGTGAAATGATGACTAGTATTATTGAAATTGTTACAGGTTGTGGTCCTGATAGCAAGTCTCAGTGTGATACTGGTAACAATGCATACAATGGCTTCAAATTGTTCCACCATCCACATCTGCCTGACATACATAGTGGACATGGATATGGTATATAAAGCGCAGGCATTTCCTCTGCATCGTTATCCCGCTTCATCTCCTCACACAGTCAATCATGTTTAAACCAATCCTCGATGAACACGGACTCATTCGCTGAATCTGTGCTCTGATGATCGTCCCGTGCTGCACTGGATGTCAGGCAGGGCGCCCCAAACGTCCTGCGTGACATCCAGATTGTCCCACAAACGATGCTCCTCTCAAAGTCAGGTGAACACCCCACAATGAAACACATCCAAGTTGCGGAGTATTCACCTGGCTGATGAGTTATGCATGACATATTAATCTTTGCGTGTTTTCCCCATCAGGGGCCCCTGGCTCTCAACTTGAAGCGCGGCGTTTCAGCCTCGTACAGGCTATATAAGTAAATCGGTTGGAGGTCAACCAAGGCTCGCTGCGTCTCCCGTCAAATTCGCAATATGATTTACTCAGCCGAAAAGTCACCATGCTTTAACGGCCCTACAGCCTTCAAAGTACAACAAAGACTGTAGCACCGTTAAAGTATGTCAGTCCTTCGGCTGACTAGATCATATTGCCGAATTCGACTGGAGACGTGGCCACTGGCGACCTGACCTTTCATCGATATATGTGGCCTGTATGAGGCTGAAACGCCGCGCTTCACGTTAGGAGCTATGGGCCATGAAGCGTCTGCAGTGCTTGTGTGCAGCTAGTGTAGCAATGCAACAAGATGTTGATTGACGATTCGTTTTGCCTATTTGCTTTTCAAATTCACTTTAAAACATTAAATACAGCTTGAATGTACAGTACCGCAACGAAACTTGAATCAGACAGCACATCATCCCGGTGCCTGAAAAATACCCGACGACTGTCAATCAGACCGAACATCTCCTATGCTACACCCCGCTGGTTGAAATATTGGAAAGGAATTGACAACATGCCGGTTGAGTCCCAGTCGCCCAGGAGCTTAGCGTTATATTCTCGAACGCTAAGGATCAGGCGTGGTCCTAGCACAAACATGTGCACGAGCAAGGAAATTTGATAAAAACAAAGATACATTCGAAATTCCAGGGAGGATGTGTCCTATAGAAATTATGAACCGTGAACGCAAGCACAGATGTGAGAGGAATCGGCGTACCGCTGAAATGGTTGAAAACAAATCGCTGAGCTGGAAACAAGAAATAGCAAAAAATCTAGCGCGTGCGAAAGGTCAGCGATAAAAAGGGACCATATCCACATTACGAGCTTACATCGAAAAGTAAATTAGGTGAGTTTGCATTAACACCGTGAAACAGTTACCAATGAGCCCTCCTGCTGAATATCGTTGCAGTTCACGGAAGTGATTTACAGCAATCCGGACTGCGAGACACAGTATAAGAACTTCCCACACAGTACTGAGTGTCCAAGTGATGGCACACACAAGTACGCCATCTCCCTTATAGCTAAGGCTACACTGATACGTGTCAGAGAGAACGAGCTCCTCTAGTATTCGTGAATGAGCCTATTGCATCTAAGTCTGTGATCCATCAGTATACTCACCCCCTGAAACAAACCTCACTGCGAGTGCGGTCATTACTCCGTCATAGATATTGATAGCCAAGAAGATGACAACGAGAAATACCAGCATCTTTCTAGATCGCTGATACATGGCATGTAAGCGGGCGATCATGATGACTTGCGTAATATTTCAGTCAAGACTGAAGTCTGGGAGACGAATCGCTCACCACCTAGCATTACATTTCCGATCATACTCATCCAATCTAGTGCGGCATGCATAACCAGGCCTAACGAATACAGTTGGTCACCAGCTTCAGGGGATCATGCTCGAAAAAAACTCACAGCTGTGGTAGTCATTATCCCAAACCAAAAAGCTAGTAGAAGATCTTACTCACCCCTGCATCGGAATGGATTAGTTGGACTAAAATGATTGTCATTGGTGGGCAATACTCACTACATCTGTCACCGAGATTGTCGGAACATATACTGAATGTTGCCAGTCAGAAAAAAAAAAGACGGTGTATGTTTCCTCACATACACAGCATGCCGATGCTAATTGTGAGAATGGCTCATTAGCGCAACACCATTTGCTTACTAGCCTTCCAGACATACACGGAAAACAGCAATCCAAGATAGCGCATCTAGGATATCTTCTGATCAGCATGTATCAGTCGCACTTATATCACGAACTACATACACTCAAATACAAAAAGGTCATGAAGGACCAGCGTTGGCTCTGTTGCGAATTGATGGTTGTTTTGTTCTGACACAGGATTCGACTCACCCAGACCAGTTCAACCTTTGAAACCGTTCTTAGCGAGGTAGCCGCTCCGATAGTGGTATCAACCTACCTCTTGTCCAAATGTGAGTACTGGAGAGACTATAAGGTTATTGGTTGCTCTTGAAAACTATCTTGCTCACCCCAATCGTACATTACCCCGGCGGAGGCAGCAACTGCGAAACCGCGGCCAAAGTTAGATCGAGACATCATTATCATCATCATCAGACTAGTTCTACACGAACCTATAAGATAGCTGAGGAAGAAGGCCGAATCGATGGCTGGCCACCAAGATGGATCATTTGAGACTACGGTCATGTTTCTCGCAAATGGATGGATATGGGGGCGTGAACTTGATCGACGTACGACAATTACTTCGTGCTAGATATACCACCATCCAGCGCTTTTATCATAGGCCGACATGATCGCAACGGGATGAAGTTCGTTCCTGCCTTCATTGATTGACCCAAGTATGCTCACATGATAGTAGAAACGTGGGTTAATCCCCGCCGGCTTTCGATTGAATCAAAGTAGACGTTGATCGTGAAGCTGCAAAGCCGTGACTCACGCAAAACACGTTGGAAGTTAAAATACTGGAAGATTCCAGTAGCTCGCGGCCGACCCGTGTGTCTACCCTTGCGACGGTCGTAGCACTGGGTCGCACAAAAACACATAACGTCGCTGAAGAGCGAGCATTCACTGGCATGTCCACCCGTTTCCACCCATAAATGATGCTGAAAATATACCGTTGACTATGGTAGTGATGGGGTGCTCGAACCAGACACGTATTTAGTCCACAGGCCCGGGAGGCCAGCACGCGAAAACGTAGTCCTTAGGAGTGTATTCCAGGTTGTGTGAGCCTAACTTGTTAGAAGACGAACGTAATACATACCACTGATGGCCCGGCGACCGTCCGACGGGCCCGGAAGTTCGGCAACCATCCGTTTGGGACACGCAGAGATAACGAACCGGAAAATTTCCAGGAAGCTCTTCCACAATGCCGTTGTCGTTCAATGGGACCCGAGCACGGGTATTGCCGCTAACCCTGCCAATCCTGGGACTTGTGCCTAAACATATATGTGGTACTGCCAGTGGATATGCTCTATGGAAAGAATCAGAAAAATATCAAAGGCCAGACCTACTGAGGGTTAGGAACATGAGTTACAAGGTTTAGGATCTGTTTTTAAGCGTTGCGCCACGCGCCGCAAGTTTAGACCGGTCCAAAACGACAATGATATTAATGTGAAATGGATGTATGTTCGGCGGCGTTTTGGCAGCCTGAGTCGTTTCAAACGTGACATCGTGCTCGTAACGTGGTTTCTACAATAGAATATATGAAGATAGTTCCTTCTATCACACTGACTCTGCACAGCATGGAAGGTCACTCGTTCAAGTTGCACTTTTACATAAACCCACCTAGACAATCGCACAAACATGGTGATGTGCGAGAATATTGCAAGGCATGATTTTACGCAAGGCAGCAAATTTATAGTAATGACTGCTTCGTAAGAGTACCAAGAGCTGGTTTCGAGACATACATCTTAACAAATATCTAGTGACTCTGTTGTACAAAATGACACTTTAGGATCTTCCACATCGAGTCTGAAGGATATGCTCATTCTTCTGATACGGGCGCTTGAACTTCTTTCCGCAGCCTGCACAAACAGCCTTGAACCTCTTCTCGTGCACTTCTCTGACGTGGCGATTGAGGCTAACCTTGTTGACGAGTGCCGAGCATCCGGACCAGGTGCAATTTACTTTGCCCTTTTCTTGGCTGGCCCGCACAACGGGGATAGACAGTTGCGCATCGGATCCGCCTGAAGAATTTAACGCGACTTGCTCCTCGGAATAAATGCCCTGAAAAGGTTGCACACCGTGCTCATAGACGGAATCGGACGTGTCACAGAGCGATAATTCTAGTGATACAATGTAAGCGTTTCAACGAAAAGATACAAATGATAGCGAATTCACCGAGGGGAGCATCAACATCCGCCGATGATGGTTCTGTGACATGTGGATCACAGAATGCCAAGAAGGCCTCAGAGTACATGCTGTGCTGAGCCTGAGTTGCATAGTCGGCAGAACTGGGGGCGCTGTAGGACAAACGGCCTATACACAGTGAGTGTCTGAAGGAAAGGTTGCATATGAAGAAACTTACCTTGAGGAGAACCTGTACCCTCTAACAGCGAGCCAGTGACCCCAAATGTTTCATGGGATGCAGGCTGTGACACAAGATAGCGGTCGTGTGAAGATACAAACGGTGGAATAGCATTGAGGCTATCAAGTCCAGCTTGGGAGTCGACGGTACTATCACATACGCCCGAATTCTCGCTCGTGACATCTGACTGGTTGTTGTTAAGGATATCCATAATAAGGCTGCGGATCTCCTGGATCTCCTGTATTTCCTCGGGGACGCGACGCTCTAATCCTTCGAGGAGCTGAAGACACGACTGCAGGAGTGGTCTCCGTTGGTCAGGGGCCTGCTCTGGCCACGAGGACGACAGGTCTTGTAGTGTCGATCTGGATGATTTCAAGGTGAATTCGTGTCTGTTTCTATGATGTGCGCGCAAGTTATCCATCGGTAGACTCTAGGTGACAGGTGAAGTGGTGCGAATGCTGAAGAATACATGTCATCTTCCCAGCTTTTATATCATATGCTTCATGCCCATGGCGCGCCTGGCAGGCATAAGCTCAACTACTCTGATCCGATGAGTGACTTGTAGCTGCCTCGTGTGGTATGGGATTAATTAGCGAGTTTTGAAATGAAGGGCTGACATGGACACCTCGAGTATGGCCGCACCGCATTTTTGCCTGGGAGAAACGTAACATGAATGCCATTGCCATTTTGTTAGAGTGTAATTTAGCTTACTTTGACGCAATTTGAGAACGCGCGATCAAGATATTGGAGACCAGCAGGAGGTTTTACGACGTTATAGAGTGCTGTTGTATTCCGCAGGACTTGATGCCGTTGTGTCCGCAGAGGAAAAGATAGCTGGTACTGAACCAAACGCACATAAGAAGAATGTTATCGTGCTTGCAGTGCCAGTTTCCATTCGTCCGCCTCTATCAACTCTGCGCGGGGGGCAATGGCGGGGGCCATCAATCATCAACCATCAGTCGGTGATCTTCATGCTACCTCAGCTACTGGATGAAAAAAAAAGTAAAATCCGACTTCAAGTCAGGCCATCACCGAAGTCACATACTGGAAGTCACAGCAAGCCATTGCTCAAATTGAGGAGGTGATAATATGTTGTACATGTGGTAGATTTGAGCCTTCGAGGGCTCAAACATCTCATTAAATTGAAATTGACCCAACAATAGTTAAAAATTATTGAAATAAACTGCGATAACTGGTGTGCTGTTCCTGTCGCGGAGAGTGAAACACAACCAGCCGAACTTCCCGAACAACTTTCTGCTGTGAAGGAACACACGAATAGAACAACACCGACGAAGTAGAAAGAGAGAACAAACCTCTTGGAAACTCGCAGTTGTGCTCCTCGATACCGACGTTTGTGCAGAGAACGATGTATCCCAGTCATAGTCTCTGCCTTTGCACTTCGGCAGCTCGGCATACAATCCGACTCAGCTCACTCCGCCATCTTACCGATAACTCCACGCATCAAAGAACGTTGAGTAGGTTTATTTAACGCATGTTACAGTTTACTCCAGGCTCCTCCGTTCTCTTCTATTTCATCCGCAATACAGCCAATCACTGCATTCCAAATGGGTGGGAATTTGGTCCGCCACCGGCCATGGAGTCTAGTGAAAAAGTCGTGTTAAGCCACGCACGCTAGTTCTCCATTCAACCGGTCCATTCTCCTTCATTTCATTCGCGATATAAAGTCAATCACCGGCCAACTTTACCTACGCCCATTCCAAATGAGCTGGAATGTTCTCTTCTATTCCATCCGCGATATCATCAATTGGCTTTACCCGTGCCCGTTCCGCCGGAATTTGGTCAATCACTTTAGGGAATCAAAAATCATGTTGAGCCATGCACGCTGGTCCTTCATTCTCTTCTATTTCATCTGCGATATCAAGCCAAATCACCAGCTAGCTTTACCCGTGCCCGTTCCGCCGCAATTTGGTCAATCACTCTAGGGAATCAAAAATCATGTTGAGCCACGCACGCTGGTCCTTCATTCTCTTCTATTTCATCTGCGATATAGAGCCAAATCACCAGCTGACTTCACCCATGCCCGTTCCAAACAAGTTTACATTCGGTTTACCACTGGCCATGGAGTGACGAGTCTGGTCAATCAAAAGTCATGTTGAGCCACGCACGCGGCACGCTAGTCCTTCGCTCTTTTTCATTTCATTCGCGATACAGAGCCAATCACTGGCTGACTTTATCCGATGGGCCCAATCAGGCTAAATATTCCGCTTGATCCCACTGAAACAAGATCTTGTAGTCCTTGCAGCAGCATTCCTGTCACAACAACCACTTCCTTACCGCTTGAATCACCTTCTTTGGGTGTTCCACCTCGTCGTGCACACTAAATAAATGACTTCAAGCCTGGTTTGTGATGTTGTAGCTTGAATAAAACATTTTAATTCTCGCGTTATGACTGCGGAATATCACTCGTTCTCCGTTGACCGCCACAATATGTGATTGCAACATGGCTGTATGGGCGAGTCCTGTGGTGTTTCGTCTTGAGACATACACGTTGCTAGAACGGGCTGAGAAGAAGCGCATGATCCGTATGTCACTTCATTTGTTCACAGGAAACGGATTGAATCTGTTGGGCATCCATGGAGATACGATAGATGGTACTGGACAAAACCCGTCGGTAACCCCGCACAGGGGAAGAATGTCATCATGGCGCAGTGATTTCCACCTGCGGGAGTCGTCCATCGACCTCTGCAAACGTTTTCATATTATTGAGTTGGGCAGCTCAGTCAACCGGTCAGCGGTGCCTAGCGGTACTCGGGTTCACAATGATAACGATATTAATTAAAATTGATTGAGCATCTCCTGTCTTGTGCGAAATAGAAATATATGTACTACGTTCGGTAGCATTGTGCCAGCCTGAGTCGTTCCAAACGCCTGTCGACAATACGACATCGTGCTCGTAACGTTGTTTCCCCTACATATCATAGATATGAAGATAGTTCCTTCTATCACACTGCGTGGTCTGCAGACTCTGCAGTGTGACTGCCTTTTGTCTACTAGAGGTCACGCGTCACACTCAGGGCATGATTTGACACAAGGCAGCAAATGTATAGTAAAGATTGTTTGTAAGAATACTACTAGTAAAAACTGGTTTCGAGTCCTGACATACATTCATAAGTAACGAGACAGATAGTACTACATGTAGATCATATACTTGGCACAAACACATTTAAACGAGGCAAGAGTGGTGAATACAGGCACTTCTACGAAACACGTATGAATCAAGCTTAATACTCAGTTGAGTGATTTGGTAGATTAGGAACGTTCGCCCCGGAGACGGCGTGCGAGAGCGAGATCTTTGGGCTGACTACGAAAATGTGTGAGCAAATGAACTACTAGTAACTTGGAGGAGTAAGCTTACATGGTGACCCTCTTGGCGTGAATGGCAGCCAGATTGGTATCCTCAAAGAGAGATACTAGATAAGCTGTACAAGAAAACATGGATGAGCTTGAGTGACAGTCCAATGATGCATCTACTTACCCTCGCTAGCCTCTTGCAGGGCAAGAACAGCGGACGACTGGAAGCGAAGATCGGTCTGCAAGTGGTTAGCAATGTCAGTGTTTGTGTTACATGCAAGGGAAATATGGGCATACCTTGAAGTCCTGGGCAATCTCGCGCACGAGCCTCTGGAAGGGGAGCTTGCGGATGAGCAGCTCGGTGGATTTCTGGTACCTCCTGATTTCACGGAGGGCGACTGTGCCAGGTCTGAAGCGATGAGGCTTCTTCACACCTCCAGTGGCGGCGGCCTACGATGACGAGTAGAGGAACATTAATGAGAGTCCACAGTATATGTTAGTAAATACTAGCCGCAATGCTCTTTCTAGTCTGCTTGGTAGCGAGTTGTTTGCGAGGAGCCTTGCCTCCTGTCGACTTGCGGGCGGTTTGCTGAAGTTACCAAAAAAGGAAAGTCGTTAGAAACATATGTTACAACATTAGAAGTTCCATCGGGGCACGAGAGGGACTTCCGGAGGATGGAAGATGCGGATGGAACAGAATGCGTGGTTTCAAACCTCCGTGGTGCCTTCTTTGCGAAAGAAAATCACCAAACACAGGTCTTGCGCCACAGCACCCGGCGCTTGAGAACACCTCCTTCTCATACTCCCCCCACTCGGGACGATAATCATGTCCCCCTCCCCTCACAAAATTTTATACAATAGAGTGGAACAGTATCTACATACCTTAGTACGAGCCATTTGATAATAAGTGGCGTTTGTAGATTAGAATTTGAGATTTGAACTCGAAGATCACCGAGATGATGGTGGTTGGGAAGAAAGAGAGTGGGGGAAAATATATCAACACATCCTCTCTCCTTAAGCCAGCTGGAGGATTTTTTTTGCTGGCATTTCTGACTCTGCTTTGCAGTGCTTGTGGTCAGTGCGCACTTCGCTGTGACAGTCTCATGGCAGGGGCGGAGTCAATAGCGGAACTGTCGTCATGAGTGTTGACAAACAGATGTAAACAAGCGCGCATTGAAGTTTCAAGTATTTCATTAATGCGAAGTCAATCATACTTCATAGCTTCAGCTACTGATCGGGCTACTACATAAGTCTCTCATTTGTTCGAAACGCGAAAATTGCACCAGGACTTGATGGTGCTGCCAATGCTTACCATGGATACATCAATACCAATGCTATTACCCTCGACCTCAATTCCGCGTCCACTTTCACATCCTCATCTAGAATGGACACCTAAACGGTATCTCTCTGATCCTCAACCACCTCCTATGGATGATGCAAGAGTTCTTGAGCAAGAAATGGCTGCTGCAAGACAATTGCAAGATGGGAAAGCCGTAAAGAAGACAAGACCTCGGCGGACTGTTGATTTTAACGCGGGTATGGGCAGGTGGAATATTGTATGTAGCAACTTGATCATTACACGATCATACGTCTAATCCAGTGTAGCTACGCAAACACCGACCTAATTCGACATATGTCCCCTCCATGAGACCTGCTCCTCCCTTCGTTATTGACGTGCGAGTTTTTCTTTCCGTGGCGCATAGCTGCTGAAGAAATGTTCTTTGTGTATAGTTGCTCCCACCAATTGCATATCCTGCAAACTCTTCGACGTCCTTGTGCACCAAATTTATTCACACCTCGACTAACAAGATTCGTTGTCCAGTCAATGTCGTTACAGTCCGTACCACCGTTGACGTTTCTTTTAAATCTCTCAAACATTAATTTAGTGGACTCCAGAAGGACGACGAGTACTGACAGGGTCAACAAGCGGAGAATTCACCCTCTGGAACGGTCTCACATTTAATTTCGAGACTATTCTCCAAGCCCACGATTCCGCCGTCCGCGCCTTCCAGTTCACACACTCTGGCTCATTCCTAGCTTCGGCAGATCAGAATGGAATAATCAAGTATTTCCAGCCGAATATGAACAACTTGACTGCGTGGGCTGGCCATCGTGAGGCTATCCGAGGCTTGAGCTTCAGTCCAGATGATCGCCGCTTTGCAACGGCAAGCGATGATTCAACTATCCGAATATGGTCGTTCGAAGAGAGTCGGGAAGAAAGTGTTCTTACAGGTAGAAAGATTTATTCATCGTTTCGTGGTTTGGTCCGTTGATTTTATTGCTAGGGCATGGCTGGGATGTCAAGTGCGTTGAGTGGCATCCTAGCAAAGGTCTTCTAGTATCTGGAAGCAAAGATAACCAAATAAAATTCTGGGACCCGCGAACTGGGGCGGTTCTTTCAACACTGTAAGTGCACCAAAACAGTTCATTGCCATCATTAATGAGTGACTTAGGCATCAGCACAAAAACACAATACAAGGCCTGGCATGGTCTCCTAACGGCAACCTTGTAGCAAGCGCCTCCCGTGATCAAACGGTTCGCGTCTTCGACATCCGCGCCATGAAAGAATTCCGCATCCTTAGAGGCCACAAGAAAGAAGTCTGCTGTAAGCTTTTACCTAATTTCACTCGACCGCACACTGACAATCCATAGCCGTGACATGGCATCCTGTGCACCCGATACTTGTATCTGGCGGCTCCGAGGGCGCCGTGCTCCACTGGGACCTCGGCGGCCCAGAACCAACGAACATGCAATCCGTCACACAGCCCCGCGCCACGCTATCGCAAGCGCACGATTCCAACATCTGGTCGATGGCCTTCCACCCCATGGGCCATCTCTTCGTGACCGCATCAAATGACCACACCACGCGTTTCTGGTCGCGCGAGCGCCCTGGAGACGCAACATCAGTGTTCTCCGGCGGCGGCGAGAAGCCCCCAGAAATTATAGACATGAGCGGGCAGGACGACGAGGACGACGCGATGGTCCCCGGGTTCAGCTATGGTGGCACGAATAAGTGGTGGGGCAAGGACGAGGACGCGGTGGTTGGCTTGGGAGATAATGGTTATACCCAGCGCGCGCCGTTTTCGGGCGACGATCCGATGGGATCGGATGACTTTATTCCTGGATTTGGAACTTCGGATAATCTTGGGGGTGGCGCAGGTCCTTCGGGCGTCGCTCCGAAACAGAGTGGTCCACTTCCTGGTCAGGAAGAGATGTGGACGGCTGATTCGAGAGGTGAGTCGAGAGGTGAGGATTGGGGGAACCGCAGGGGTGGGTGGACAGGTCGCGGGAGAGGGTATAATCCCAACGGTGCTCGTAGAGGGCGGTACTGATTTCGCAGACGTTCTGTATCTATCATGCTATGTTCCGCGATGTCTCCCTCAAATATTGTCACCATAAATTGAGAGCTCGAAGACAGTTGTATTGGAATGTAAGAGCTGACACGACGCGTTCTATGGTACGGTGATTACTTCGTCAAAAAATCAATATGTATCAGGAGCACTACAACGCGGAAATGCATCCCAGAAGGTCAATAACGATAGCATATGAGATAGCTGAAAAGATAAACAAGAAAAATGACAATGACTGTACGATGCGAGGAAGCCATGTGTAAGAAAATATGAAAGTGCCCTAGTGTACAAGTTGTGATATGACTGCCACAAAATAAATAAAGTTCGTTTCATGTCGAGTCGTGGATGTCATGAATTGCCGTGTAAAAACCAGGGTCGTTAGTCTATAGGATTATAAGTTCTGTGGGGGAGTGAGTGTGATGCCAGCCGGTCTCTCGGAGAAGACACTCACAGTGGACCACTGGCGTGGGGCAATCGAGCATTGAATTCCCGCGTGGAGTAGTCGTGCCACTTTGGCAGGTAGAGACGCTATCCAAGCTACAAGAGCGGGGGCCATTGAAAGCATTATCGCGCAAGGGAGAAGATAATTCGTGAGGAGAAGAGCACAATAACGCTTCTACATTGGATGCCGATTGCGAACGGGGGATTGAATCAGGGGAGTAGTCTGTCAGTGAGCCAGAGCCGGTGAAGAAGCAGAATCTGTGATAGGGCGTTAGCTTTGAGTTCAGATTACTCAGGATCTGGACTTACCGGTTAAGAAATTGGCTATAATTGTCATTAATAGAAGGCTTGTCGTCAGAAGAAATGGGTGTGCTGGGCCCCGCAGACGTAAGCGGAGTAGCCAGGGAACTCGAGTCAGACCCAGTGGAGCTCGCGCTATTCATCCGAGCCATACTCTGAGCAGTAAACCTGCTAAAGAGGGATGGCTGTCCTTGCGCGGGATCACTGCTGCGAGTAGGGGTCTGCTCCTTGAAGGGACTCAGAAGAGCAGGACCTGGAAGGGTTTTACGCGGTGTGCCACCCATTGATCTGTCTAAATAGCCGCGATGATGGTTGCGTTCGCGTGCTGCGCGTGAAAGGGGAGGATCTAGGTTTAGAGATTCCGACTGCGCAAGGTGCGCCTGCTCGTGCTTCTCCAGATCCCTAGATGATCCTATAGTAACGGATCGAGTATGACGTGACGGCATCTTATCAACGCGATAAGAAGTGTTCTTCGGCCAAGCACTGGAGAGCTCTGTGGGATATGTGGGGGTCCGTACAGCTGGAGACGACAGGGAAGGAAGGCCCCCGTCTTGAGCTACGTTACGCGCAGAGCCTAAATTGTACCTCGCTGGCATAGGCATTTCTGGCATCAATGGCAAGAAAGAGCGCGGTGAAGGAGAAGCCTGAGGAGAATTCGTATCCACTCTTGCCGACTCGACTTTTAGCCCCGAAGTCCCAAAGGGAAACCCTGCGACAACGGGTGCCTTGCGCGGCACAAGCTTCCCGACGAACTTGAGCATGTAATTGGCGCCGTTGTTGTTGTCCCAGAACTGCAAGCCTGCGGTAGTATACCGCAAGGCAATAAACATCGTCTTCTCCTCGATACGCAACCACATGTCATGCAATCTTATCGTGAACATGAAAATGTCAAACGTGCCACCGTTCACGGATTCCACATAGTGGGCGGTAACTTCGCTCGTCGTCTGCCACAAATCCAGGGTGAACCGGGCAGCAACCCATTTTTCGAAGGCAATATTGCGCACTCGAACTCGCCCAGTGATGGTCTTATCGTGTTGGGATAAAGTGAGTCCTTGCAGTACCACATCCGCATCTTTTAACGGGGTGGACGGCATGTTGCGAATTTGAAGCTCAATCTGTTTCTCGGCGAAGTCGTCTGGTGAACCACGGATGAATGAGGGTAAATCACTCTCTGTACCACTGGTATCGGTGGCTAGGTCACGATCCCGCGACACTGCGAGAGGCTTTTGCTTCGAGAGAAACAGTTTGACATGCTCAAGCTTGGCATCGAAGTGCACCGCCTTCGAAAGGGTAGGCGTCGTGGGCTCACTCTGCACAATCACGCCGCCCGTTGGAATTGTCAGGCTGGGAAGCTTCGCGTGCTTGAGCGATGGTTTGATAAGCTGGCCAGACTTATTTCGAATGAATCGCGTCTGTGAGGATAGGTTCGTGGCGGACTGAGACTCAACGAGTGAGTTGAATTGGGGAAGAGAGCTGGAGCGCATTTCCGCGGAAAAATGACGGGCATGTGCCCTGGGCTTTACACTGCCAGCATTGTCGAATGGTGCCTGCGTCAACCGCACCGTGTCAACATCAGATGCATCACTGAACTCCGGCGGCTGAACACCCTTTTTGTCCGCTTGGTGTGTGCGGGGACTCGGATGGTGCCTGGCCTTGATAGTGGGAGATGATGGATTGGAATTGTGCCCACGGACTCGTCGGGGACGCGATATAACGATGTGTGACTCGTCAGAAGGTGCGGAAGAGGTGGAAGAGGTGGAACTGGACGAGTCGTATTGATAAATATCAGCGGAAGGAAAGCGTATGGATGATTGAACCATGGTTGGATCGACGAGGCTCTTGCCGTTGTCAAGATCGCTCGCGTCGAAAAAGTCCGTCATGGCGGACTCAGACCACGGACCGTGACCTAAAAGTGACATTCGTTGCAAGGTCTCAGGCAAAAGATGCCCTTCGACGCTGTCATTCTGCAAAAATTGTGGATCGGCAGTAGGGAATAAAATTCGTGGCTGAGACATCTTGGAAGCCAAAGGATGAACGATAGACAAAAGCTGTTGACCTGTCTCGAGAAGTTAGACTACGTTGCGGTGATATGAAGATGTGAACTTGCTTTTGTTTGAATAATAATACGGAGACTATTAACCCGCAGCGATTTAGAGAGACTGAGACATGAGGTTAAGATGAGGGCGAGAATAAAAGGAAGTCAAAGTTTGCCCCCACGGAAACTGACGTCACTGGCAGCAGTGATCTCGATGTAAATATAGGTGAAACTGGGTTGAACACTGTCGGTGACTGAAATCTAAGGTGAGACTGGATGAAGTTCCATTCGCCAGGTGAGTTCGGTCACATATTTGAGTTAAAGGTTCAGGACTGACTATGAGGCAATGGATTGAACACAGGTACTGGAGAACTCTAGTATGGGTATGGAGGAATGAACGTATGTGTGACCTGGTATGTAGTAGGTTGATGGGCGAATTCTGTCATGGCGATACGATTATATATGATGAAAAATTTGAGAAGGAAGACGACTCATCAACGTTACGGAATTAAGAACACACGTGCGAAAGATAAGGCTTCAGCTTGTCTCCACTTGTTATCGTTTGGTCACCGTCCAACTCAGATCCGAGTCCTTCTTTACGCAATCCTATTGGTGGTAAGAACATTCTATCTTCAACATTCGGAATCGTCGGCTTTCTTCCGTAAATCTTTGTCCTCGCATGGCGTCATGCTGCACCAATCCCAGACGACTACCGCTAGCGCTGGAGGATCCATTTTCAGTAAGTCTGGTCCTGTATCAAGAGATAAGCTGAAAGTCCTGAACAGAAACATGGAGAGGATATGGTCAGACACGTCACCGGCTATCTAAAATCACACTTAACATGTTTGAAGAACTTTTTAAACAGCAACCTCAGTGAACGCCATTCACCACCAGTGTGACAGCGTGTGGTAAGTCAATCTGTGCGGTTCGGAATGATAGATAACAACTTTAGTCACTAAACCTTTGGGCTAGCGACGTTTTCGCTGTTCACTGACACCGTGATGTTCTCTGTCAGTTTCGAATGATGGGTCTCTTAACGCCCAATCACGATACGTACGGTACCTTTCCGCCACAATCCTGGGCTCCCAATAATAAGTACGCACGGCACTAGTAGACGGAACATCTAACTCCCAGCACACTTATCTGCCGAGATAAGCAAACTCGAAGGTTATACCATTCCTCCTCGATCTCACAGGGTTCTATGTAACTGGCATACAATCTCGCTTGCGGGATGGACGTTGAACGTTGAACCATCAGTCCATCTTCAACCAGCGGACAGCGGGATTCCCATATCGCGCCGGTTGATTTGTACCTTTACAATGCGGAATCAAAGGTGCCGGCGAGGTTTCAATTTTTCACGTCTGAAACAGGCCCCACTGATCAGTGGGAGTTTGGGAACTACTTAAAGGCAAGTCAGCACGACGCTAAACCATCGCGGACTTTCTTGCGGTAACTAACCCAGCACTGTGGTTGATTCTCAAACGTCGCCTATGGTACAGATTTGCGGGGACTGGGTGGCTCAATTGATCTCACCTATCCGAAGCCGTTTGAATGGCTTCCTGGCGCACAAAGTTATGCACCATCAGCGCTCAGCTAATGACTTTCTTGATCTTGCAGTCGTGGCACTGCCAAATTCAAATATAGGGCAGCTCCACTCGGTGTGTCATCTGGAAGCTTTAAACCACAACTCTAGCTACGATATCCCGTAGTTGGACCAACACGTCAATACCCTCGATGCCCTGCCCCAGTGTGGAGCATCAGAAATAGGTGTGCTTTTTCCTTTTTCTCTACTACGATCTTCATAGCCACGTTCGTAAAGCAATGAGCATGCTGTTGAAGACAAGTATTCTTTCAGTGTTCGGTCAAACTTCTTTTTTCATCCTGCCTATGGGCGCAGAAGTCCCGAAGGTTATGAAATCAAAAGTGCATAATCAAGGTCGATGAAATCATACCGACGTCAAGGGTCGTCCTCACTCGTGGTGCCAATCAAGGGACCCGCCATGGATCATCTTCGGAGTATCCTTTTACTCGTCGGGATGGTTTCCCGACAAGTGATTCGCCCGTGGAACTTCCAGTCTCGAAGTCCATGATTTCACCGACCCTGGCGTAACTTCGTGATCTTTGGAGACGTTATGATCTAGGGTCTCATCAATATAAGGCTTTAGCAACGTATCTGCGAGGTCCTCGAACTCGGCGGTTAACTTGATCGCAATTTTATGGCTTTTCGTCGAACTTTTAAAGGCTATCTACGATAAGCGGTGAGCTTTACGATGACAACTCAAACAATGACCGAATATGACGGGTCTGCTGATCTTTTCCCAGGGAAAAACTAACGAAGCAGAACTCGAGCCACATTCATCTGCACATTTCTCGAATGTCAGGTCATTCACTCGAACTCAATGACGACTTCTCGACTGAATGTGATTACTAGCTGTTACAAAAATAGATGAAATTGATAACTTGCGTATTCATCAGTTTGTAACAGCCGCCTATGGGATATATCCGAAAATGTCGCGGAAGCAATTCGCGTCTACTTGAACTCTACATGCACTCCGCATATCTTTCACCACCATGACTTCGGCGTTCTTTTTTCACGCTGTGGCCTATATTTTCAATAGGTACATTCAATAGTAGTCGCTTGTATAGACAACCGAGCTTGCTGCAAGGCCTGAGCTGAGTGCGAAACGTTGATTCGTTTAATTGAAACTCAACTTGAATGTAACATCCTGTTATAACTTTTGCAAGGGCAAACTTTCTTCCTGCGCTCCATGAATCGTCCGTATTTAACACTGGCCAATCTTTGCCTGGTGGCACACCTGTCCTGATGAGTCACGTTTACTATCGCATGATCAGCTGTGTGACTCAACCAGCAATTGTATTTGTGCTCTGTTGGAAAGCTAGCATCAAGGAGGCCAGTACTTTCATTTCCGTCTCAGGCTGGGTCCATACATGGCACCTGTGCTTGTGCATTTTTCTTATACCATTCAACTGAAAAAGGTCACTGTGTCTCGGAAAGTTGTCGGCAGGTTTACGTCGATTATTACGGTGCTCAGTCTGCCTTAAATACCAATATCATCTATCCACAGGTCATCGATGCGCCACCCACCCTTGCACGCCATTCAACGCTCGCTCCTTAGTGGACCACAAGCAAGACTAGGCACGGTTGATCGTTCTTGGATAAATTTAAACACCCACAATGCACATCGCTCGAGCACTACGAAATTTGTTCAAAAGCAACCGTACTGATTGGCTCCGAGTCAAATGAGGTATTGCACCATCAACCATGCGAAAGCAGAAACATGACTCGCTGTCCCGACGTGCCCCTAGGGTTGCTGGCTCAGTTTTAGACTGGAATCTGGCAGATCAAACCTTCATCCTAAGGCGCGCAGGTGAGTCATGTGGTTCAATCCTGGTTGCAAAGCGACCTGCTCATACTCACAGCATAATCGTTAGCAATGATTCGCAAGGTTTGTTCTCGGTTAAACATGCACTGACAGACATAGATGCTGTCAAGGCAACGACGACGGCGAGGAGGGAGGGCCATCAGTAAACCGGTGAGTTCTTGCTGGGGATTATGCTGATTATGGTGCTTTTACATGGTCATATATTGCTTTATATCACTTTATATTACAATGTGACGAAAACCTTTCCTATATATTACGATATATAACGATATATGACGATATCTTCTTCTCACAGGTTCTCTGATGCGCCGAGAAACGCATTTTCTGTGCGAGGTGATATGAAATCTTCTGAGGGGGGTCTTGAATGATGTCTCTGAGGATGAAGGAACACTGTAGGAGGACGGTCAGCTTTTATATCCTGCAAATACCTATGGGCATGACACTAATCGATTTGGCAGAAATTTTGGTATAACCTGTAGGAGCGTACTCAATTGATTACGACCAACATATCATAACCTGCCGGCAAGCATCAAATTCTCTTCTTTGTCACCACAGAACACTCCCTCGAATCCCCGGTCTCATCCCGTCCTCTCATTCACCACTTCATCATTTGAACCTGCAATGACTCCGCCAACGCAGTACCAAAGTTGAGATGATCATGATCATTCTCGTCAATAACTCCGATTCTAATCGGTCGATATCCTACGTCATTTTTCTTTCACTCACTCGTCGCTCCCTTATATTTACTACCTGAAATTTGCCAACACAGGTATCTTTTGGAACTCGATATGAGTCAAGAGGTTGTGAAATATTTATAATCAATGATGAATAATCTAAAATCCAACTCGCGATACTGTCGCCATCAGTACTTATTCATGGAATCAGTCAGCCCAGCGCTAGCTGAGCATATCACAATTAATCTTGCAGCGCTGTGCACTCGCCGGTGCTGGGTGCCATCCAAGATTTCCTGATGATGCGGCATATACTCAACCTGACAAATCCATATATTTTAAACTCGTTAACCAGCTTGTCGAGGTTGGCTATAAAATACACGATGTGGATTCCCGTCTCCAGATCTCCAATCAATACCATTCGGAGCATTTCATACCTAGTTTGTTATAGATCACCATGTCCGATTCTTCGACCTCCGGACTCTTTTCCCCCATCCGCGTGGGCAACTTCAACTTGCAGCACCGGGTTGTCCTTGCCCCACTTACCCGCTTGCGTGTACACGCAGATGGTGTCATAACCCCACAAGCACCAGCATACTATTCTCAGAGAGGGTCTACCCCTGGTACTCTTCTCATCACAGAAGGCACATTCATATCCCAGAGCGCTGGTGGTTATGATTATCTCCCTGGGATATATACCGATGCCCATCTGGATGGATGGAAAAAGGTATGTTGTTCCTTGCTCAATAATTATGAGAGATGACTCACGTTCCGGACTGCAGGTAACAGAAGCAGTCCATGAGAAAGGTTCTTTCATTTTCCTACAACTCCTGGCGCTCGGCCGCAACGCAGAAACAGCCGTTCTTGCCAAGGAGGACAATAGTCCCCTCGTCGGTGCCTCACCCATCCCCCCGCCGGGCAAAACAGATGTGCCACGTGCGCTCACCACGGATGAAATCAAAGAATACATTGCCATGTATACCACTGCGGCAAAAAATGCCATTCGAGCTGGTTTCGATGGCGTTGAAATCCATGGCGCAAATAGCTTCTTGATCGACCAGTTCATACAGGATATCAGTAACCAACGCACAGATGAATATGGCGGAAGCATCGAGAATCGCGCAAGATTTGCACTTGAAGTAACGGATGCCATTGTCGAGGCCATTGGTGCTGAGAGGACCGGGTTCCGAATTAGCCCATGGGGCGTATCCAACGGTACATGCTACATCATTCAATATCAGCGATCTTTATTTAACTGATTTGTGGTGCAGGTATGGGCATGGCAGACCCCAAACCCCAGTTCTCCTACGTGGTTGAGCAGCTGCGCAAACACAAACTCGCATACATCCACGTCGTGGAGCCGATGCCTGCCGAAGTCACTGCTGAAAAAAACAGCGATTTCCTCCGTGATATCTGGCAAGGTGTTGAAGGCAGTACCTTCATCAGCGCAAACGGATATACCCGGAATACCGCAATTGAGACGGTAGACAAGAAAGGCGGCCTTATTGGATTCGGGAGGTTGTTTATGCCGAACGTAAGTCATTTGTTTCCCGGACTAGGCAGTGACCAACATGTCCCCTTACTAGCCCGACCTTCCGTTCCGCTTGCAAAAGGGTATCGCACTTGAGCGCGGTGACCGAGCAACATGGTACATGGGCGGTGATCTCACACCAGCGGGTTATTCGGATTGGCCCTTTGCACCAGAGAACGATCAGCAATAGATATCAGGTATCTTGTACATTCGGGAAAATTAGTGTCATACTGGCACTGCCTGACTCGGAGGATTTTCTTTTTGGTCTGAATCGCACTCTCACCAGTACTATGTAGTGACGTACGTTACTTTTTCAATCTGCTGTCACGGTAATCAATAATGATACTCCCCGGACCCCGGTAACCTAAGACCTTTATGGACGAGGTCTCCAGTCTTTAGCTCCTTGACAGTCGTTCCTTGGAAGATCTATCTCAAAGGGGGTGCTCGATACGTACATGAGTACTTCCGATAGCACCGATGACCGTATTTGCGTCGGCCATCATCTCCATACCAATTAGACGCTCTTCGGGGTATTTATATTCCTCGTGCATCCTCATAGTCATCAAGTGCTATCGGCTACGTGGACACTCGTTACTTCTGTGATGGCAACTTACGCCAAATCCTCCTTTGACAGCGCCATCTATGCGACTTTCAGGCCGACTTACCCCAGGTCCTTGTTTGACTTTGTATTCCGGTATCACGAGCGCAACAATAGTGCAAGATGGAATAGAGCAGTGGATCTTGGTTGTGGGACGGGTCAGTTCTAGCTGTACTCAATGTGGAGGGCTTGGACTCTTGACCTACTGTTGATTACTCGGGATTTCAGGTCAAGCAACAGTCGAGCTCACACCTTTCAAGCGCGTCACTGGCATCGACGCGAGTTCTAATATGATCAAAGTTGCTCAAGGTACCCTCAAGAATACGCCAACGAGAACTGGTCAATATGAGTACATACAGGCGAGCGCTGAGAATCTAACATTTTTGGAGGATAGCAGTGTGGATTTAGTCATTTCCGGTGCGTGTCACTTAAAAGGGGAAAGTATCATTGTTCATGATGACTGTGTGGTTGTAGCCCAGGCATGCCATTGGTTCGATTGGGACAAAATATGGCCTGAGGTTGCAAGAGTGCTGAGGAAGAATGGAAGTGCTGTGTTCTGGGTACGTGTTCCCGTCTCCGAGCCATGTCACTCTTAACATTTGCTTGACTTAGGGTTACTCCCAGTTCCGCTTCGCCCGCTATCCGTCACTCACGCAGAGAATTAACGCTTATGTCGAAGGCACTGACCCACTGAACAGTGTCGGCCAATACTGGGAGCAACCCGGTCGTTCGATTTTAGATAACCACTTGATTGAGGTACCAGATGCCAATGAAATTGTACCTGGCGCGTTCAGCGATTTCGAGAGAGTTTTCTTCACAGGTCTGTGTTGGACTTATCATATCGTCATGCGACGCTTCACTAACGCATCGCAGGCGACTACCACCCATCTCTCCCTTCCCCACGCTCCGTGATCATGCGTAAGAAGATGACGTGGGATGACCTGCTATCGTATTTGAATACGTGGAGTGCATTGCACACATTCCGCCAGCACAATCCCAGTGATGGAGAGAACCCGCATGGAGATGTCGCAGTGCGGTTCTGGAAAGATCTTAAGGAGGGTGCCGAGCGGGAGGATGGGAGAGCCGTGGAAGGACACGATGAAGTAGATATTGAATGGCCGGTGGCGGTGGTAATGGCTAAGAGAGCGTGATAGTGCTCGAGGGCGGTAGATAGGTTTTCTTTTGTCGGCGGCTTGCAGATCACCAGACTTATCTAGGGCAAGGTACTGGTAGTGATTCGGAAGGCCAGTTGTTAAGACCTTCAAGTCAGGGCTTGGGTTGGAAGAGTCAACTGCGCTCTATTTGTGCTTCACCAAGGGATGTTATCGTGCTAAATATTCAATCTTCGCGTAAAACGGTACAAGATACATTTGACTTGCATTGACATCAAGCGTTCCGACACCTTATTCTCCTCCTAGAGGGCGTCTGTGAGGCGCAGAACGACGACGGGATGGTGGTTGAAGGGCAGGCGTAACGTTTGAACTCCGCTGGGGTGCCGAAGCGTGCCGCGTGCCAGCTGTACAGCCGGCCTTAGTGAGATTTACGAAAACTACTGAGTACTTACTACTAGAAATTCTGGAGAGTCAGTCCTCATTAGGAGCTCGGGAGGTGACTTGACACGTATACATACAGCTATATGCAATGAATTGACATAGTACTTGCCATCGTCCGACATGCACCGGTGTCTTCGCCTGACTGAGGTCCTCGAAATAATATTTTGTCTTGTGTTGGATGTTCAATTTATTGACCCAAGCTTCGATGCCTATCAACTGCTACAGCCTGCAATCTTACCGTTTCCTAACACTAAAGGTCGACACTCCGTCCTCAACCTCGCACTTACCTGTCGTGCATTTCGCGACCCAGCACTCAACGTCCTTCACTCCTACATAGGAGATATCTGGCCTCTCAGCAAGTCCGTGCCTGGTCAACTGCCTAGACCTTCCTGGCTTCATATACCCGAACAGTTCCGCCCATCAATCCTCCGTGCTACATGCGTCCAGATCTTCTTCAACCAAAATTTACATCACCATGACTCTGCATACGCACTGCTCCTTGAAAGCGCATCCAAAGACGCCCCGCTCTTTCCCCAGCTGCGCTCGGTCGGATGGTTCGACCCACGTGTTGAAACTATCCCCGCCCTCAACCTCCTCCTGCCCACCGTCCATTCCCTCGCTCTAGATATTACGAATGATCAATTTCGCAAAGCCGTCTTCCAGAGCCTCCGTACCACCTCCTTGCACCTCAAATCTCTTGAATTTATAGCCATGGTTCACACAGGGCTGGTAATCTCAGAATTGGAGTCCTTCTTGTCCAGCTATTCTGAGAGTCTCACCGAACTTTCAATCAGATTCTTCCGTAAAGACATCCCAAACGTTTTGCTCGAAGCTATCGCTGTGTGGCCACGTCTCCAGTACCTCACTCTCCACATAGGATTCAATAGCATGCCTCTCCGTGCACCCCAACCTTTTCAGGCACTCACTCACCTCCATATATCATGCGAGAGTCTGTGCCTTTTCTCATTCTTGCTGCATTCTATTTCTGGGACGGATTCTGGTACCTCCGGATGCCCAAACCTCAAGAAAATTTACAATATCGCACTCCATTGCGGTCCCACCAGTATTTGGTCCGAAGTCCTCACTATCCTCACACGCACAAAGCTAGAGCACATCTCGATCATCGAGAGATGTAACTCTGAGCCCCACCCGTGCTATACAGGACCAGCATTTTTTGAGCTTCGCCCCTTCCTCGCCCGCCCTACCACACTTGTAAATATCAAAACCCTCCTCATCTTCCCCGCCCACTACGGGTCCATTACACTTACAGATGCCGATGTTCACACGCTTGCTCGTGCATGCCCGCACCTCTATTCTGTTAGCCTAGGAAATCACAGCACACCTGTGTCTTTGGGTGCCCTGGGTTACATCGTGAGACGCTGTCGTGAGCTGTGCGAAATCTCGCTACGTGTGGACGCGCGGCTCGATGCGCTCGGGACAATACCTCTGGACGATGACGAGCAAATGCACCTACAACCTAATATACGCCTGAGGAGGCTGGCCATTGGAGGGTCACCCATTGCATGTGTGGGTCCGTTGAACCCGCCGACTGCACCAGACTTGATGATGTCGATCCCACGGTTCCTGCACATGATAGCACCGCGACTTACGAAAGTCGAAATATCCTTAGAGTCGCATCTCGGGTGGACACATCGCAGGTACAGCCTTAGGGAAATGAAGAAAATGGATGATATACAGAGGTGGAAGAAGGTGGGGAGGGTCTTGTTGGAGTTGACACAAGGGGACACTAACTGATGGTTTTGATTTCCTTGTCGGTGGGAGCAGTATCATGAGTAGAAGAATACGATGCGGGCTACCACAACAGCACAGCAGTACCTAGAGAAATGACAAGTGTAATAGTATAGACGTGGTATATTGACCGCTGTTGAACCAACGTGCACTTTGCTCATGGGATCGGCGAGTGTGTCTGCAACCATCTCGAAGGTTGATTTCTTGTCCGTTGCCAGTGGTGCGGGAGTTTTTTCCGCTTCCTCAGCCTTCTCTGGTAACTCTTCGACCTTCTCTTCGTCATCTCCCTCCTCCTCTTCATCATCTCCCTCCTCCTCCTCTTCATCATCTCCCTCCTCCTCTTCGTCCTCTTCCGTACGGATGAGCTTACCAACATGAGCTTTCAAGTGTTCGGCGATGTTATCGAGTCCCCCACTCTCGCGCTCTGGACCGAACGATCCAAAGGACATATTACTTACAAGCCAAGTGCATCTGTTGACTGAAGAAAACGGCTATATGTGAGCCTTGACCTCAACCGTTCTGACTCCTTGTTCCCCTCCTAGAGGGCCCATCTGTGAGGCTCGTAGTCGCGCAGAACGACGTCCATAACGTTTAAACTCCGCTGGGGTGCCGAAGCGTGCCGCGTGCCTGCAGCATCCATTAACATTTGCTCACCCATGATGCGTGATGGCTCGCCAATTTATTGCTGAAACAGAACGCCTCCCAGATCACGCCCATGTATTGCTCATAACAACTGGCAGCGTAGCATCCATCAAAGCTCCTCTCATTGTCTCAGCGCTTCTTCAAGTCTGTCCCCGTCCTTGGAATCCTGCTCTTGCTCATGTTGTGTGCAACGTAGTACCAAAATATCAGAGTAGAAGTGGTTGCGACCAAGGAGTCGCTCGCATTTTATGACCCTGCAGATGTAGTCAATGCAGGCACCCGCGTGTGGACCGATGAGGACGAGTGGTCGGTGAATACACGCGCTTTTCAGAAGAGCTTGACCGTCTTAACGTCCATGACAGGGGTCATACAAGATTGGAGATCCGATCCTGCATATCGAGTTGAGAAGGTGGGCTGATATTGTTCTTGTCGCTCCCTGCTCGGCGAATACGCTCTCAAAGATTGCACACGGACTCTGCGACAATCTTGCGGTATGTTTCCCAGCGCATTCATATCGTGCTTCATGGCAAACCTCTTGCTTAGACCTCTCTGCTTCGTGCGCTGGCACCTACGACACCGACTTACGTATTTCCGGCGATGAATACGCTCATGTACGAGCATCCGCTCACAGCAGAACATTTGCACGTCGTGCGGGATGTTGTGCGCTACGAAGTTGTCGGGCCAATCGGAAAAAATCTTGCCTGTGGGGACGTTGGTATGTGGTCCCGACTTTTATTTCTTGCCGTTGCAGATAAATTGGCTCTTTTTCAAAGGACTCGGTGCCATGACGGAATGGCGTGATATCGTGGAGATAGTGGTGGATCAAATGAAACTCGTTCGCAAAGACAACGAATCATAAAACTCTACAAGTCTAATATTGGTCAAATCTACAAGTATTCCTTCTTCTTTGCGAATACATGTATATGTGCTAGTCCACGAACGCTTTGTATCCTCTGAAAATGCTCAGCGTCTGATGCAGCGTAGCCAGAGTCACTCACTGGGGGGTTGACAAACCATGCAGTCTCCCATTCCCTCTCCACCCACCTTCGTTTCACAAAACCATCTATTTCTCTTCCAGCATCCCTCACCATATCTTCGATCTCTGGATTGCCCCTGGGGCTGCGAATTAATTTATCCATTGTAATTCCCCACTCCGCTAGGGCAGGCAGACATTCTGGCAGGGTGGACGGTGAGGGTGGAAGCTCATTGGTGCCTGTAAACCCACACAACCCATCTTGTTGAATCCGGATATCGACTTCTGCTGTGATGAGATCTGGATGGAAGATGGGTACTCGCGACCAGATGAGCGTATGTTCGACCTCGATAGGGACGGAGTAAGGCCAGTCGTTCTGAATGATACTGATGAACTCCGAGTCGAACGGGATATCAGCTTTGAAATATTCGGGTGCGTCTGGGGGAAGCGGTGGGAGAAGCTGATTGAATTTGGATGATGAGATGGACACATCCTTGAGTCTGATATCGCTATCAAGTGCTGAGGGTAAGAGCGAAAGAGTATCCGGCTTTCCCCATTGAAGACGATGGTTGATGAGGTAGTTCTCTTCAGGCTGTTGAGCGATCTCTACATCCTGACTCTACGTTACCTACCCAATGAGCCGTGCTCCTTCACGACTCCTGGAGACCATGCGTTATATCTCTTTTGAAGCGCCTTGTTACGCTTTAGCAGCCCGAGATCCCTTTTGTGACATTGCAGAGTCAGCGTCGTCTGTCTTGTTGATACTGGTGGTGAAATACAAGTACCCAGAATTCACGAAGGTCTTGAGCTGGTGCCATGTGAACTTGGCTGGATAGTGCGCGAGCAACTCTTCCCTTGTTGGAGGACCTGTTCGCAGGGAAACTTGTATGATTTTTCGGTGGGAAACATCATCTGGTGTATCCAAGGGTGGCTCTATGGTCATGGTCGTTGCAACGTTGATGGGTATATACCTTATGTAACTTGTTGATCATTTGTTTACCTCTGCATCGTGTCCGTTCTACCTTAGTAAAACATTTTTAGCAAGGACCTAATTCCCCGGATTGAAAACAGGGGACTTGATGCCGAGGGCATTCATCGCATGTGTTCTTTCTGAAAAAAAAGAAGGATTTTGCGACTCTATAGTCCAACGATATAAACAATAATGCAAAAATCTCGAGAAGGTGACTCGGACTTGACACGAAAAAGTATACGGCTATATGCAATGAATTGACCTAGTACTACTTGCCACCGTCCGACATGCACCGCTGTCTTCGCCTGATTGAGGATCCCTCGAAATAATATTTTGTCTTGTATTGGATGTTCAATTGATTGACCCAGGCTTCAGTTTCTATCAACTGCTACTACAGCCTACAATCTTACCGTTTCCTAGGTCGACGCTCCGTCCTCAACGTTCAACCTCGCACTCACCTGTCGTGCATTTTGCGACCCAGCACTCAACGTCCTTCACTCCCACATAGGAGGTATCTGGTTTCTCATCAAGTTCCTGCCTGATCAACTGGATTTGTCACCCAAACCTTCCTCGGTTCCGCCCATCAGTCCTCCGTGCTACACGCGTCCAGATCCTCTTCAATCACCATTTCCGTCGCGATGACTCTGCATACGCACTGCTCCTGGCAAGCGCACCCAAAGACGCACCGCTCTTTCCCCAGCTGCGCTCGGTCGGATGGTTTGACTCACGTGTTGAAAACATCCCTGTCCTCAACCTCCTCCTACCCACCGTCCAGACCCTCGCTCTAGATATCACGCATGATAAATTTCGCAAGGCCGTCTTCCAAAACCCCCGTACCACCTGCTTGCACCTCAAAGCTCTTGAATTTATAGGCATGGTTGACAAACTGGCAACCTCAGAATTGGAGTCCCTCCTGTTCAGCTATCCTGAGGGTCTTACTGAACTTTCGATCAGATTTTTCCGTGACAACATCTCAAACGCCTTGCTCGAAGCTATCGCTGTGCGGCCACATCTCCAATACCTCACTCTCCAGATAGGATTCAAAAGCATGCCACTCCGTGCACCCCAACCTTTTCAGGCACTCACTCACCTCCATATGTCATGTGAGAGTCTGAGTCTTTTCTCATCCTTGCTGCATTCTATTTCCGGGACGAATTCAGGTACCTCTGGATGCCCAAACCTCGAGAAAATTTACAATATTGCACTCCATTGCGGTCCCACCGGTATCTGGTCCGAACTCCTCACTATCCTCACACGCACAAAGCTAGAGCACATTTCTATCGAGAAATGTAGTAACTCTGAGCCCCACCCGTGCTATACAGGACCAACATTTTTTGAGCTTCGCCCCTTTCTCGCCCGCCCTACTGCACTCGTAAATATCAAAACCCTCCTCATCTTCCCCGCCCACGGCGGATCCATTATACTTACAGATGCCGATGTCCACACGCTTGCTCGTGCATGCCCACACCTCTATTCTGTTAGCCTAGGGAATCACAACACACCTGTGTCTTTGGGTGCCTTGAGTTACATCGTGAGACGCTGTCATGAGCTGTGCGAAATCTCGCTATGTGCGGACGCGCGGCTCGATGCGCTCGGGACAATACCTCTGGACGATGACGAGCAAATGCACCTACAACCTAATATACGCCTGAGGAGGCTGGCCATTGGAGGGTCACCCATTGCATGCGTGGGTCCATTGAACCCGCCGACTGCACCAGACCTGATGATGTCGATCCCACGGTTCCTGCACATGATAGCACCGCGACTTGCGAAACTCGAAATATCCTTCGAGTTGCATTTCGAGTGGACATATCGTAGGTACATGGGTATGGAGGTAATCAGTGATATAGAGAGGTGGAAGAAGGTGGAGGATGTCTTGTCGGAGTTGGCACAAGGGGACACTGACTGATGGTTTTGATTTCCTTGTCGGTGGGAGTAGTGTCATGAGTATAAGAATATGTCATAACGCCATGCGGGCTACGAACAACAGCACAGCAATACCTAGAGAAATGACAAGCGTAATAGTATACACGTGGTATATTGACCGCTGCTTATCGAGTCCACCACTCTCGCGCTCTGGACCGAATGAGTAGCTTGATCAAAAAGGCGCGGCGGAATGGACTCTCGACAAGGCTGGCCGGCAAGATGTTGAAATCAATACTTGTGGCAAGATCAGCGATGCCTTCGTCGTGCAGCCTCGTGCTTGAGCTTCTCCGTTCAGCGCAAGAAAGGCTAGATAATCTGTGGTCAACTAGTGATGATTGTGATATGTATTTTGCCATACATTGTGTTTATCATGTAAATGATCTCCAAAGGATATATCACCTATAAGTCGCGTGTTAACCGAAGAACACCGCCATACGTTCTCCTCGATCCATGTTTTGAAATAAGCATGCACTTGTCAAGAGGACAGACCCTCGGCAACCTAGCGCAATATCTCGGTTGTCTTTGTGCGACAGCGAGGGTTGCATATCGAAGCCCTCGTCATCAAACCTCGATCAGAAATCAGACTTCCGTATCGTTCGTGCTCGACTTCGATGGATGAATATGTCTACAGGATGCGGAAGGTTTTCGGGCTGGAATTCATTAATAAAACGAATAGCTCATATGTTAAGCAGCTCACCTTCGAGTCTGATAGATCGGCCCTCAAAGCTGCCAATGATGAGAAATAATAAACAAGCAACACAGATCGAGGGTGAGCCTAGTAGAAGGCACTGGGGAACTGTCGTGAATTAGTCGCTTTGTTGATGCGCTTGAGGAGTAAGACCAAATGGAGTCGGACGAGGGCCATGAGTGGACTCATCGATAAGCACAGAAGAGGGATCGATAAGGGCGTAGGTCATTTTCAAGGATGAGGAGGACATCGGAGATGTTTCAGATCAATTCCCTTGTCAAAATTTCTCAACAAGATGGACGTACATGTACAATAGTCTAAGGTGTCTTAGTGAAAATGAATCATGATGGAGAGGATATATGTTCGTTCTTGGCAGCTACAATATCTCCAACGTCCTAGCATCCACCATATGATCAACAGAAGCCATGTCCCTGACTCGTGCGATGATGTTCTGATCCGACGCGATCCTCTTGAGTCTTGACTGCCTGCATCAGCAACGCGGAGAATGAGAAGGTTGCTTGTTCCTCGAAAAGCATGATAAATATACACGAGCCAAAGTCTTCATACAACACTCAAAGATGAGACACATCTACACTTGCTGTAGATGCAGCATCATATTTGAGGCTGAAAATGACAAAAATCATGTTGAGTAACGTTCGAGAGTCGAGACATGCATGGATTGCGCGATCGATCATGACTTGATGCCAGTAGTACTGTGAGAACAGAGAGTTGGAATGCGGAATTTCCAAGACTAAACTCTCTGCACCACACAGATTTACACGATGAGTACTGAGAGCCTTTGAACTCGGTAGTTCACCAATTGCAGGAGACACGTCGATGGGAAAAGGCCTTGGAAGTCGGATACGCGCTCAAACTCCGTTTAAAATTTACCACGCTTCTGTCCCGAATAGTTATACGGTCAAGACAGGGAGCGCCCATTTCGTCTTTCTCCCGACTTCTCCGGTCAACAAGACTCAAGTATTCGTCGGTCGTTGGAGTTCAATATGGCACCCTCAGATGAACTCGAGTATCTGAAGCACCTCGTAGCGCAGCTCAATGACAAAATTCACGCGCTAGAGGCGAAGGCGAAAGCTTCTGTTTCTCCGACGCCTGCTCAACAGCTTAGGACTATTCTTATGGGTCCTCCTGGTGCTGGTCCGTCTCTTTTACTTGAATAATGATGTTCCGGTGAGATGTATTAACGTTTATGATGATTCACAGGCAAGGGAACGCAAGCCCCACGGATACGCGACGATTTCTGCGTCTGCCACCTCGCAACGGGCGACATGCTCCGCGAGCAGATAGCCAAGAAAACCGAGTTGGGGAGGATGGCTAAGAAAGTCATGGATGCCGGTGAACTCGTCACGGATGATATCATGGTCAACATGATCAAGGATCAGCTTGAGAATAACAAGGAGTGCAAGGACGGGTGCGTTCTATCTATATCTTTCTATTCAGTCGCGTCGGTTCTGATATAGGGCTCAGATTCGTATTGGACGGGTTCCCGAGGACCGTGCCTCAAGCTGAGAAACTCGATTCCATGCTCGATTCCCGTGGTGAAAAGCTCGACAGCGTCGTCGAGCTTCTCATCCCCGATCAACTCCTCATCTCCAGAATCACCGGCCGTCTTATTCACCCGGCTTCAGGGCGGACGTATCACAGAGAATTTCAGTACGTCTCACACTAACGCTGTGCACTCATTGACGCTAATACATTCCGGTATTACATAGTCCGCCTAAAAAACCTATGGCGGATGATGTCACCGGCGAGCCGCTTATCCAGCGGTCCGATGACAACGTAGAAACGCTGCGTAAGCGTCTCGACACGTTCCACAAGCAGACTGGTCCTGTCGCAGCGTACTACAAAACAAAGGGCTTGTGGCATGGTATCGATGCCGCTCAAAGTCCCAGCGTCGTTTGGGATAATCTTCGCCAAGTGTTCCGGGCTCCACCGGCAAAGTCGTAATATCGCACGCTTTTGGGTTCGACCGGTGACCATACATAGACCCGTCTCTTTCGTGCATAAACTGTTGTACACAGTGCTTTTCATCTACATATTTGCGCTTGTCAAACAGCACGTACATAGAGCACCAAACTTGCGAGAAACAGATAAAGCGACTATCGACGCATGGCGGTGATATTTTACTTCGATAACTAAGCACGGCTGAGCGATTACTCTACTTTGGAACCCTTCTTCCGCTCGCCTTTGACATCTCCTGCAAGCCACAAAGCTGCAAAAAGGAAAAATCCAGCGCTGGTGCTGATGGCTCCTGCATAATACGGCCACGCGGCGCTCAAGAAACGAGGGTACTGGTCATGTCTTGGCGGCACGACAGGGACGGTCGTGCTTGATTCGAGGTATGAGTAACTAATTATGAGTCGGTTGGTCAAAGACGTCAACGCGGAGATGAAGTAATGCACTAACCCCTTCCTCTTCCAGTTCAGGACAAACTTGAAAACCCCGTGTCTATCAGGAGCGCAAAACTGGACTTGGTATGCACCAGGGGAGCCAGGAACAGGTGGAAGAGAGGTGCGGATGTGAGGATCGAGCATGGTGAATTCTAATTGCAAGTCGTCGATGCCGCTGTAAGGCTTCCATGTAGACGTCTCGGTGTCGTACGCAGAGATATGCGCTGTATACACCTTTCACAAGACGTTACGTCAAGCAAGTACCAGGAAACCAGCAAGCAAAACTTACGATCTCATCATTGGTAGTATACATCTTTGGCGCCTCGCTCTCACCAACTCGATGATGGTCAACCGCATCGATCCTCAACTTCAACTTCTCCTGGAAAACCCAGGCAGCCACATCGGTCACGAACAAAGCGTTCCCAGGAGACCCCCCAGAAGGAAGCTCCTTTGTCGCATATTCGTCACTGAACATCTTCACGCCGCCGGCGAACACCACGCGCGAGTTCACGTTCGTTTGGAATCCAGTAACTAAGCCCATCTGACTTCCGGCCCAGAGGCCTTCACCACCTTTTTCGGAAGCGGTTACGAGGGCGTCACTGTCAGCGTCGCTTGTGGAGTCGGCAGCGAAGCTTTCTGCGGGGGCGCGGAGAATGGGAACGAGCATAGGAGTAGAGCCTAGTGCGTGAGGTGCGCCTGTAAACCAGACTGGGGGTATTCCTGGGGTGAGGATTGGGCTTGATGATGAGACGGTGACAGGGATTGTTGTTTGGGGCTCTGAACGAGCGGGGTGGTGCGAAATAAGTGGTGTTTCTGGGGGCGGGGGGATGAGTGAGAACTCTGCCGCGAGACTTGTGAGGGGCGTTTGTTTCGGGGAGAGCGCGATGAGGAGGTTGGTGTTCTCTGAGAGGAGGCTTACGAGTGACTGGGGAGTGATGTCTTTTGCATACGCTGTGATTGGATTGAAGTCAGCAGGTTTGTACCTTATACTTTGTACGCACATTTTGTGTCTGGTGCGAAAAGAATGACGTGTTCATAATTTGGCACGCCATAGTCGGTGATGGCAGGAGTGGTGTCTTTGGGAGCACGGAACGTTAAGTTATAGCCTCGTTCTTTCAAAGAGTCAGACGACACAGAACAAACATTAAAACTAAACACAAACTTTCAAGTCCACCAAAGAAAATCGAATAGTTCTCCCTGTCTAATGATGGGTCGAGCACTACAAGAACAGAACTCGAACTTGCAAGGCTGAATGTTGTAAGTGTAAGGAGAGTTACGAGCGCAGAGTTGAGAAGCCGCATCTCTGTGGTACTGTTGATGAGACTGGCGTTAATGTCGCGGCCTTCCACGTCTTGGTTGTTCTATTTTTGGACGTGTTTAAGCGTGGTTGTGTAGCCATGTTTGGTGCCGTTGCCAAGGATTTGTTTGAGCTACAGTGGTCTCCTATCAGATTGAAACATACATTCAACCATTCAATTTTAAATCGCGCCTCGCGCTCGTCACCACCCGACAGCTTGATCATCGCGCAATCTAATCCCAAGAAAGTTTGGATTCAAATCTTCGTAGGTTGTCTCTTGAATTAATCATCACCTGGAGGATTTCTAACAGCACCCTCGAACCCAATTAGTACCTTTAGTTGGTTTGCTTACCACAACACCAACCTTCATCAATGAGTAACGATCAATGTCAGTACTTCCATATCTTATCTCTTGCACAATCTCTAACCTCTTTGATAGTTCTTGAAGAAATTTGGCTAAAACACTCTCAGGTTGCTGTCACAGGTGCCCAATACAACTCTGGTGAACATTTGCCCCACCCGAAATGTTTGAAAGGGACCCGAGTTAATCTCCTCAAATACATCCATGAATTATTGGATGACTCAGAGAAAAATCAACTGTTTTGGCTGCATGGCATGGCTGGTGTCAGAAAGTCTGCCATTGCATTTACAGTTGCTGAAACCCATGAGAGGTCTAAAAGTGACCAAAGAGACGAACATCGAAAAATGGCTAGTGGGAACATTCTTTTTCTTGCACAAGCACGCAAAACATTGCACGACTGGATATTTCTTTGCGATGGTTGCCTACCAGCTTGCCACCAATTTTCCAAGCATCCAGATGGATGTGAGCAGAGCGATCCACAACAATCCTGCACTACTAAACCCAGATATGCCTCTATGCGACCAGATGGAAGCTCTCTTTCTCCAACCCCTCTGGAAACTTCGACTCAGATTTCTGGGATGTCTGCCTTTGTCGTTTGTTGTCGATGTGCTTGATGAATGCACATCTAAACCTGAGATTACTTATCTCATTCTTTCCCTCGCACAGGCTCTTTGTGAGCCTGACCTTCCTGTGACCCATATTCTGCTCACAAGTCGCTCAGAATCCCATATCCATAAAGCCTTCCAGAATGAAGAGGTGCGCCTGTTGGTGTGCGAGATACCCGTGAGAACTTCTGGGGATGGTATTTCATTGGATGGCATAGATGTTGATGACAACATCTGTACTTTCTTGCAGCATTCCTTTGAAGAGCTGGAAAGTCACCATCCCGATTTCCCTAAGCTATTGATAAATGATCTTGCAAAGCTGGCAAGCCGAGCGGGCAGACATTTCGTTGTAGCATCTAGATGATGAAGACAAGGATCCCTGTGATCAATTGCAGCTGATGCTCAAGCTGACGAGCAAGTTACTACCAGGAATGGAGGTGTACAAGTTTTATGACTGTATCCTCTCCACATGTGCCGACCCCAAGCGTGCTTACATGCACTTGTCCATTGTTGCTACTAGTGATGTCTCAGCTCCAAGCTGCATTTTTCAGAAAATGAGTATAACATCAAATTAAAATGTCCATATCTTCACACGGTAGTGTCGGCCTCCCACGCTATAGGGAACATAAATATAGCTAGGAGGCGGAACTTTTTGACACCTCCCTATAGCATAGTCAGATTCTGACACCCTGACTCATAAGAAAGCAATTACATGAAAACCAACAAACATCGAGACACTTTTTTGAGCCACTGTATATAGTGCTATGGAGCACCACATGGTGCAACTGTAGTAAACTAGTAGTAGATTGTAGTTCATAGGAGTGGAACTCCAAGCAACTATATAGCGCACCATAGTGACTCAAATCATAGCACACAAAATAGCAACAAATCAATGAATTCAGATCAGTCAATACCAACAGTGGTACTGCTACAAGCCTCAGCTGCTGCTCTCGCTAGCCTCACCACGCACTCTCCTCCTGAAGTTGGTGTTCTTGAATAGCATCTTCAAATGCCTTGTCACTGATCCTGGATGTGTTTGAGACTGTAGTGGGTGTCTCTATACCTGCATGGAAACTTCGCAAATTAGACTGGCACTTGTAAAATTTGAGTGAAACTCACTGAGCCACATCATGCAAATTGTCACAGATCCTTTCAAAGAGCTTATAAGGTGCCATGTGCTCATCAAAACACTGCAGCGAGTTCAAATGATCGTTGTAGACAGATCCATATATGATGGCTGTGAACTTGATGTCTTCCTTCATGCCCTGCATCCACTTGTCAATATAGCATTCAATCTAACAATAATTAGGCATCTGAATGACAGTGCGAACACGAGAGATGACTTACAGCTGTAAGCATGAGCGCAATAACCTTGATAGGCATAGGGTTGAAAAACTTATTGTAGACAATGCCTTCATCACTTTGGTTTGCAAACCACATGACATTGATCCCATCTTGGAGTAACTCAGTCTTGTATATCCCTGTCTTCATTGTCCAGTCCTAATACCCGCAGTCAGTACTTGAAAGTGGACCATTGCACTACATACCTTGAAAATGAATGATGAACCCTCTTTCAAAGATTCCGCTAGATCTCAGTTTTGCCTCATCACGTCCCTCAATTCACTCGACTGAAACCCATAGAAAGATTGAGTAAGAGACCGCATCTTCATTTTGAGTTCGCCATGCACATGTGATGTGCATTGCAAGAGCTTTCAAAAGGTAAGATATAATATAAGTCAGTCCAAGAATGCATAGATAATAGACAGTTTACCATCTTCATTGCTAAAGGCATCAATTTGATGTTGATGCCTTTCAATTGGCAAGCCTCATGCCAGGCCTCTTTTCCCAGCATTGTCTCATCAGCAATGGAATCTGGAAATGGCACCTGTGTGACAATTAGATAGCGGAAGATAGAAATTGCGGTTACAAGGATGTCTTTGGAGATATCATCGAAATCAGCAACTTTTATACGATGACGGGAGCCATCCGAATGTTTCTTCATCTTCAATGCTACTGTGGCAGCCTCTTCAGTGTCAAGCAGTCATTTGCTCACCCAAGTAGCAGGGATTTGCTCCTCGATAGAGTTGTCATCCTCTTCATCAGTCTGGCCAGCCCCAGCCTCAGATTGAGGATTGTTGTTCTTGTCTGAGTCGTCACTAAAAGACTCATCATCATTAGCATTGTCATAATCAAATGCTAGTGCTACAGGTCAAACAGAAGTGTATTAGTGTACCATCAATTGATGAGCAAAATCACTTACCCTTCAACTGGTGTGCACTGCCGCTAGTGATGCATGATGCTGGGCGTATTTTCCCCATACTGAATGTCAAGACCTTTGTGTTGGACAGCTTCGTCTGCAGAGCATGGTCTGAGAACTGAATAAAACAAAAACAACCAGCTACTATTCAAGTGGTGGGAAACAAGACAAATGAGCAAACCATAGTGTCTTCATCTCAGTCAGCATCACTATGCAGCTCCGAGGGTTCTTTCTCGAAGTCATCAGGGTTCTCTTGATAGGTCACCTTGAGTGCCTGTTTTTTCCATTTTTCCAGCTTTTTGTCCTTTGTAGCCTGACAACAGACTGTGCTTTGTGTTTCAGATACTGTAGAGAAAGTGAGTGAAAGTGTCATATCATAGTTGTGGTAACTTGCCTCAATAGTTGTCTTTTTCAGTTGGTCATCATGGCCAGCCTTTTGAGGTGTGCGCAAGCAGTTGGTTACTCTGTAGTGATGACAGAACACTCGTCTTTGCTTGCTTGAAGGTGACCTTGCGAGGTGGCATAATTCTCAAGTTGGTCCTCAAAACACAAGGTGCAAATGAGTCAACAACCTGTAGTTCAGCTGCTTTTATAATGTTGAGCAAGAAATAAACACTCACAGTTTGAACCTTGATCTTTGTTGATTTCAGGGTTTGTTGATTGAGCATAACACCATGCTGAAAGATGTGTTAAACAGAATGATAAAAGGTAGGAATATACTGCTGCAATAATTTTCACTGCCATGGATACCTCCAACTTGACTAAGAAATGGTGCGGAGCATACTTCGAACACTCACCCACTCTGACAGACCTTACAGATTGATGTCACTATCCACTGACACAGAGGCTTGCTATAAAGAAGGCAAAAGCAGCATCAAAAGGTAATCTACATCTTCTCAACGATACCAAAACTTACTATTTTGCAGGCCAAAGGTTAAGGAGCCTGACTTGGATGCAGAGCCTATCAGGCCCAAGTGTAAAGTCACAGTGCCCAATGAAGAGACCATGTTTCTGCATCCCCCATATCATTAAACACCTGGCCCCATCTCTGTGTCTCAGTCATACTTACGAAGACTGATTGTAGAGTGTTGGGACAATGAAATTCATTACTGCGAGAAAGCAAAGAAATTGTGTCAATTAGAAATGGGACCAAGCCAAGGGCTCACCATCATACAAGCAAGCTTGCAAAGACTTGTTGCAGAGTGCTGGGATGCAGAAGTAAAACATTGCGAGGAGGCGAAGTGGGCACTACTTTTAGAGTTACTTCTTGCTGCTCATGGTATTACTAGAATGGTGTAGTGCCATGCCATGCTATGCTGTTATGTATATCTGAAGCCTAGACCAAAACCTAAAAAATTTCAGTTGAAACTATGAGCTAGTCTTCATAATAGACTGCATTCTCAGATTGAGAAACAATGGGCCATGATGGACTACATTCTAGGGTTGGGAAATCATGGGCTAGTCTCCATAATGGACTGCATTCTTGAACTGAAGAAATGGGCATACCTGGTGGCGCAAATCTCCATAACAGAGTGCGGTCTGGGGCTATGCACCTTATGTTATGCATCAAAATGAGCCTGAAAAACACTTGAATCACTTACCAACCATTACCAACCATGCCACACAACTGCAGATTCTGTGACAAGCCTTTCAGTTCAAGTGGGAGTGTGAAGAAGCATATAGCTACCCACCCCAAATGTCAAAGAAAATGGGAGTCCATGGTTAGAGATACAGACGACAAAGACAGTGCACCAGTTGACTTTGCTTACAACAACTCAATTTCCCCACTTTGCCGCTCACACTCCGAGTCTTTCAATTTTGAGGAAGACAACCCAACAGCATTGAAAAGTCGACGAGTCACTGTTGAAGATGTGACAGATAAAGAAGATGGCAGGCAGTATTTCGAGCCATATCCTGAAGCTAGTTGGATGTTGCAATAGGGCCAAACTAATTTTGAAAGGTATCAGCAATATAAGGAGGGTGCACTGGGGAAAAAAAGAGATTATGGACCGGTGGAAATGTCACACAAACTGTAGATTCTACTTAGATTATCACTGTATTTTAACTACATAACCGCGAAAATGACAATATGGTACATATTCTCATATCCTTGTGCCATTCTCACCATATTCTTATATGCTGGACTTGAATGCGGAATTCAAATTGTTAAAAACTCTACCCTACTATGTGTCCCTCCTTGTCTTCACACCACAATGTTAACATCGACATTGTTGATTATGGGTGTTAGCTATGTAGTAGTACTAAGTAGTTGCCACATAAGTAATAGTAACCATGACCTTGGGACTTTTACGGCATGTCGGGCATGTGTACATAAGTAGATCTATCAATGACATTCACTTTGCGAGTTAGTGTGTGCAGCTAGCGCTATAATATGGTCTGCAATAAAGCTAGTACTAGTATATGTGCATGCACCCACTATGGTCAAACGGACCTTTGAGATTATAACAAATGAGAATGTCCTCTAGAACATGATCAGAATACAATAAAAATATAGTAATAATGTGATCATTCTCTTCGCATTTTCATTTCTTCGTAACCTGATTAGAATGTCACAAACATTTGGTGCGAATCTTGAGGTTCACGCCACATTCTCATTTCATATAATCTCTTTTTTTCCCCAGTGGTGAAGGTGAAGATAAGTGGGCTCCCTTTGGCAATGAGTAAGAGTTGCATTTCTCGTATCTGCAAAGAAAATTAACTTTAGTTCTGGCAGGGAAGAATGGGGACTTGCTGAATGGCTTGTCAAAAGCCTTGGACAGACTAAAACAGATGAATTTCTGAAGTTACCAATAGTGAGCTTGGTATCAATGACTGAAAACATGTACTGACCATAGTGATAGATGCAAAACTGCACCAAACCTTCATTCCACAACAGACAATGCCCTTGCCGTTTTTCATGCTCACAAGGATGTGTTACAGGAGCTCGCAGTGCATGAACATTTCAACATTCCAAAGCTACATCAATTGTCTCACTATGTACAGTCAATTAAATTATTCAGAGCTGCAGACAGATTCAACACTGAACTTCCCAAGTGCCTGCACATCGACTTCACTAAAGAGGCTTACCATGCAAGTAACAAGCACGACTATGAGGAACAAATGGTGTTACGGCTTCAACACCAGGAATCAATCTTCTGGAGAACCACTTACCTTGAATGGGTGGCTGTGCATGCTGCTCGCCAGGACAGAACGGGAATCTGAGTATAATTCTGACTCTGATGACAAAAATGAGGGCTTTGATGTGGTGCCTGTTGTTTCACAGGATATCATTCATGTTCTGGCAAAGACTGCCCCTGATCCTTGGCAATCTGTTCAACATCTTGAAACCATGCATGGTGCCATCAATTTTCTACCCACTCTCAAGTTATTTTTACAGAAGCATTTGCTGCACAGTCATATTGTGCCTGGTCCCCAAGATTGGTTCGACATTTTCCATCAAGTCATCATCATCCTTCCCCCCGACCCTCATGTGTCTGAGCTGCCCAAGTGCCTGCAGCTCAGAGCGACACCTGAAACACTTCCTTCGTCTTCTGGATGGAAGCCAGGTTCCCCAAAATGATTCGACATGGCACTGGTTAGCAGTGATGGTGTCCAAGCATTGAAGGCACTACTCACACTGAATGGTATGTCAATAGCTTCCATTTTATGAAGTATTACAATGACAATATCTAAATTATAGCTGCTGTCCATGTTGCACAGGTCCATGTGTTGTTCAGGCTGCCTCATCAATTTGGCACATACTTGTGATCCCTTGCATACATTGAATGGTTTACCCCGTTCAGAGATCCAGACGATAGTGAGAACTAGAACGAGACGAGTCTCAGCGTGTGATCAAGGACAACACTAAATATATTAATACCTAGAATGAGACAAGTCTAGGTACACGTTAGCAAGATGTACAAAAGGTATGAATATGAGAGTACTCACCTCAGCGTGTGATCAAGGACAACACTGAGGTGTTCTGCAAAAACAATGCTACTGATATATGAGTATGGAGGATCTGTGGCTGAGTGTTGAAGGTGAAACTGTACAGTATGTAGCGCATGATGCAAGGAGATAATGAGAAACATAGTGTGTGTAATGTATGTGCCAAGATGAAGAAAGTCTGAATGAAGATGTGTGATTGCCCAACAGGCCAAGATAAGGAATGTCTGAATGAGGACGTACAAATGCAGATGTACGATTGCCAATACACCCCCTCACCGAGACACCAGCGAGAGGTTGGAGATGTGTTTCAAGAATAGTGGACGCGCGAGAGGCTTAGTAAGGATGTCTGCCATATTCCTATGAGAAGGTAGCCATTTCAGGAGGAAGATGCCCTTCTCGATGTACTTGCAAATGAAGTGATAATGAATGTCGATGTGTTTGGAATGGATATGATTTTTGGCCTCGACAGAATGAGATGGCGCCAGTGTTATCCATGTAAACGACAATGGGAGTGAGGTATGTGATGTGAAGCTCATTGAACAAAGAGCGCAACCAAAGTCCTTCCTGAAAAACGTGAGTCACAGCCATGTATTCTGCCTCCGTAGACGACAGGGCATGAGTGGACTGCTTCTTCGACGCATGAGCAATCAAACCCCCGGTGTAGAACCAAGCATACCCCAAGATTGAAAGACAATCCTCAGGGTTACTGGCCTAGTTGGCATTGCAATAAGCGTGAAGGCCCTCATCGACGGTCACCCCCATAGTACATGCACACATTGATGGTGCCACTAAGGTATCAAAGCAGGTGTTTAGCAGCCGCATAATGGCAGGGAGATGGATTTGCGTTGTGCTGTGCAAGGGAATTGATGGCAAAAGATATATCAGGGCACGTGCAGATGGAGAGGTACAACAACTCCCCAACCAGCTTACGGTAACAAGAAGGGAGGTTGGGAGTGACATCATATGCGTCAGATGGGCGACCGAAAGGGTGATTTGCATCCAAAGAGAGGAGGACAGGGTTGCAGTTGAGCATACCATATTCATCGAGCAGGTAGCTGATGTACTCCCCTTGATGTAGCCAAAGCCGGCATGCCTCACGGTCCCTTTCAAATTGAATGCCTAGGAATTTCTGCACAGGACCTAGGTCCTTAATGCCGAAGTGTTTGTGGACTTAGCTCTTAACCCAGTGAAGGAAGGCGCAGTGAATTGGAAGTACTGAGGTCATCATCAACATGAAAGCCGATGATGCAAATGATGCAAGTGCCTTCCTTTAGGATGTTGTCATAAACAAAGACTGTGTAGTCAACAGTGCAATGAGTGAACCCCAACTCCCGCTGTCTTCTTAGATAGATGATCTATAGATAAACACCTATAAACACCTATATCTCCACGGTCAGTGATTCAGACAAATACCAATGACTGATAATGTGGTTGTTCGTGGGTGGCTGTTTACACTTCCCCAAGCTACATTCAGACAACAGTACTTCTGTGAGGTCAGCAACAAATGCAATCACTCCAACAGTATGGCAGTGATCAAAGAAAAAAAAGAGAAAATCAGCCCAACAGTATGATGCTGATAAAAAAATAGAATGATAAGAGAAACCCTTCCTTCTGTAATAATGCTTTTTGTAATAAACTTTCTACAGAAAGTCGTGCAAAGTTACAACAATCACCCCCTCAGCACAAACAGGTAGAATCAAAGGTCAGGACTAATCAATGTTCAGTAGAACTCTTAGCTCACTATTGAACCTGCTGCCAAGGAACTCACAATGAGTATTAAACAGAATCAGGAACGGACGTCCTTGGTTTCAGTACCAAGTCCCCTATTCAATAACTAAAGTCTAGCAGACAAGGAAGACCCTGGCTCAGTATCACTACTCAGATGAGTGAGGTCAAGTGTCACTATCAACTCCTGAAGTCTTCCCGCTAAGCCTTTGCCTAGATGGACGTAAAGACAACACAAAGATCCTGGAACAAATTCAGAACAATGACACTAATATGCAAATGAATTGAAGAGAAAAAGAGACAGATAAAAAAAAAGAACAGCAGAAAAAAAAGAAAGAGAGGTTCACCAGCAGAAAATCAAAGAAATGATCTGGCTCACTGTTGAGCACAGTGAGCTCAAAATATTTCACAGTTGCGCTGACAATGAGCTAAAAGTATTGCTTGCTGTTGCTTACAATGACCTCTTAGCTAGCTGTTTTAACAGCTCTTGCCACTGTGTTTTGGCACTTATCACACTTCACGCTCAATTTATCTTTCAAAAGTGAGGGCCTTATTCTTTATTATGAGCAAAATTTGGGGTCTTATATAGACAAAATATGGTGGCTGTGCTACTATTTCCCACATTCTATAGGAGAAATGGGCTTATTCAGTCAGTACCAGTAACTAGTTACATGAGTCATTTGTATCATGATTGTGTCATCAGTCCTTAGTCACTTCAAGATATAGCTTTATCATAATTTGTGTTAGGTCTTAGGTCACCTGACTGTCGGGGTTATATCACATGTGACTAAAAATTATGTAATAAGTTGATTATATCTTGCAAAAGATGTATTCAAGATTTATTGGTCAGTTGGTGCCTTGTTCTGATGTTACATTGTACCCATAGAAATGATGCGAGCCATGTATTTAGGGTTTTAAAGGAGTTTCCATAGGGTAAGTCATGCGAGGATTGTTTTTCATAGTTGCCTGACATGCATGGGATTTATTCTGAGTCATCATTGAGGGTGACTAATCAAGATTTATCGCAAAATTAAATGTACAAAAATATTCAGCCTATCTTAGTCCTAGTGAATTGGAATATTGTCTGAACTGCCTTGTCACTTCAGAATAGAGAGAAATTGTTTCATAATGGTTCTTGGGTAATTAGGCTCATGAGAAAGCATTAGTCGTTCATGCATCAAACCAATTTGGTGCAGGTCACCGCATGATAGCACACACTTCCTCATGCCACTCCATTGCCGATTGCTTGAGGCTGTAGATAGTCCATAGCATTCACCAAACTAAGACTCTCCAATCACCCTCCTCAAAACCTTTTGGCTGGTGCATGTAGATTTCTTCTTTCAGGGTACCCCAGAGGAATGTGCGTCTCGCATCGAAGTTGTCCAGTTCCCAATTTTTCTTGCAGGCTAAAACAGAGATGAGGCGGATCTAGGACGTCTTGAGAACCGGGGCAAACGTGGCACCATAATCAATGCCTGGAATTTGTGAGAAACCTTGCGTGACAAGGCGTGCTTTATAGACTGAACCTTCCTTATTGTCCTCCTTAAATTCCAATACCCATCTGTTCCCAATCGCTTTGCGACCCTCCGGCAACAGCACAATGCAATAGACACTCATCTCCTTCATGATCCCAAGTTCTGCCTGCATAGCTAACAGCCACTCATTCCTGTCCGGACACTGCATAGCCTCTTCAAACGTAGCGGGCAGTACCTTCATGTCGTAGTCTGGACTGGAGGGATTGCGGTGTTTATTGCTACGAATGCTGATGTTAGCCTGTTCTTCGATGATGACGTTGGCGATGATGTCCGGTATGTCTATGTTAGGCTCAATGTCAGCAATGTCTGGATGGACATTAACAGAGGGAGGAAGAACAGACTCAGAGACTGAGTTGTCAGCAGCAGGTAGTGTGATGTTCTTCTCAGCGCGAGCTAATCTCACCTCTCGCAGATTCTCCAGCTTGGCCTTGGAAGAAGCCATTTCTTCGGCATAAGCTTGGCCAGCCTTGGTGACTGTGCGAGTGCGAGATGAACACTGTGGAACTGGAAGAGACGGCTTGGGAATGATGGTCATAGTGGAGTTTGGCAATGTTGGAACAGTGGAGTTGATAGCATTGGAGTCGGAGTCGGAGTTGTAGGTTGGTGTGACAGATGGGAAGTTTTCATCAAATATGATGTCATGAGCGGTGAAGAAACTTCCGGTGTCCTTGTCATGAAGGTGATAGCCTAGGAAGATGGCTTGTCATGAATGAGGTCCCAACTTAGTCTGTATCTCAGTGGGAATGCACGCAAAGCAGTGAGAACTGAAGATATGTAGGTGCAAAAGATCAGATTTCCGACTGTTGACAAGTTCATAAGGGGTTTTGCCTGGAGGCAAGGTACTGGATTCACTCTGGTTCCAGAGGTAACAAACTGTTAATGCAGCTTCCCCCCACAATGTTGCTCACAAGTGAGCTGTCTCTAGCATAGGGAATAAGCGCCCCTCGATGGTGCGTATCACGCGCTCAGCCTTGCCGTTCTGTTGATAAGCATAAGGAGCAGAGAGTTGTTGTTCTATACCTGCTCCAACAAGTGACTCGGTGAAAGCTGCACTAATAAAGTCGCCCCCATTGTCCGAGCAAAAAACTTTGACTGTGCATTCGGCATGATTTTCCCATCTCCTTCTGATGAGGGACCACGCCTCCAAAGCCTGGTCCTTGGTGGCCAACAGCTGTAAGTTGAGCAGGTTGGTGTGATCATCGAGGAATATGATAAAATGATGTTTGCCGTGTGGAGTCGCAATGGGAAATGGCCCGCATAAGTCTGAGTGTATGAGGTCAAGCATGCAAGCGGCACGCGGAGTCTCAGAGGACTGGTAGGGTTTGCAAGGGTGTTTAGCTATGATGCAAGGTTCACAATGTTGTAATGTTGT